TGTACAATGTCAGGCCCGTTTGCAGTGGTGTCGCGCTCATTTGCACTGGAATGTCACTGACTGGAGTAGCATAGTCTTCAGTGATGAGTCCCAGTTTTAACTGAGCTCCGATGACCAGCGCGAATGCGAGTCTGGAGAAGCCCCGGAAAGCGGTGTGATACCAACCTGACTGTGTGCCGGCAGACAGGCCGACAACCAGGAGTGATGGTCTGGGGTGCCGTTTCATTTCATAGTAGGACCCCTTTGGCTGTCATCAGTCGCAACCTTACAGCACAGCGGTATGTCGACGAAGTACTGAAGGCCCGTTGTGTTGCCCTTCATGTCACGCCACCTTGCGCTTACATTTCAGAAAGATAATGCTCGCCACCACACTGCACATGTTTCTACTGCTTGCCTTAGTGCTTGCCGAACATTACCTTAGCCAGCAAGGTCTCCAGATCTCTCTCCTATTGAGCACGTTTGGAGCATTTTGGAAAAATTTGCAGTGTCCTTCCTCGCCGGGACAGGAACTCTGAACCTCTAGAATACGCATCGAGTTTGCTTCCATTTACACCACGAAAGCATGAGGAAAGGAAGGAGAAAATGCCTTGTATAATCCTCCTTTTAGAGTACGAAAGGGGATTAGAGAACCCAGTAGTCAAATCCTGGTTGTGAGTAATTATCGTCTACCACCCTTTTAGTTCGGGCGGCACTGTAGAGTTATTAGGTTATTTTGCCTAGGAGGCGTTAAACATGTGCATTACCCTCGCTGAGACTCAAACCCTGGACCTCTCGAATACGGGTCGCATTTGCTTCCAATTACACCACGAAATCATGCAGAAAGGAGGGAGAAAATGCGTCGTATACTCTCTCTTAAAAGGCGCCAGGGGATTAGACGGCCCAATCGCCAAATCCTGGTGGTGACCAATTATCATCTACCATCTTTTAATTCGGGCGGCACTATAGAATCATTTCGACCAGGAAACGTGAACAATGTGAAGTATCGTCTCCGAGACTTGAATCCTGAACCTCTCGAATACGCGGGGCGTTTGCTTCCAATTAAACCACCAAGGCGTGCGGAAAGGAGGGAGAAAATGCCTTGTATACTCCCCTCTTTAAAGGGAGACAGGGAATTAGGGGACCCTAGCCACCATATCCTGCCGTTTAGTTCGTACACCACTGTAGAGGCATTAGGTTATTTTGACCAAGAGGCGTGAAAGAATGTGCAGTGCCCTCGCCAAAACTCGAACCCTGTGCCTCTCGAACACGCGTCGAGTATGCTTCTAATTACACCACAAAGGCATGCGGAAAGGACGGAGACAATACCATATAAGTGGTGCTTTCGTTAATCGTTCGTTTCGTCATTGCTTTCGTTAATTTTCAGGTAATGAGAAGGTATTGGCTTGCATACTCTCAAATTTCTATTGGTAATGCATTCCCGTTGTTAAAAACAGCTCATTTCTAATTGTGGCTCTTTTGTAAGATATGGTTATACTGAACAGGGTGGATAATGATTGCAATGAGATTGGAGAGGCGTTTTTAAGCTTTTGTCTAATTATCAGCTATCTTGAAATTCCACAAATCATACTTGAAAATGGAATTTTTTCCATGAGCCCCAAATTCAGAATTAATGAATTAAGTAATGCAAGACCAAATTAAGAAGGAGGAAAAAAGATGGAAACTAGTCTTAAAGAGATTTTTTCTGTCATTATATTTCCAGCTGAAAATATTTCTTTAAAGGACGATTAAGATAGATTAGGAAATACAGTCTTATGGGAGCTTTGTGGGACAAGCTGAATTAATGATTAAATACTATCTCGCTTGTTGAATGAATATGTTCAACAAAAAGTAAAACCTGGAATACAGGTTATATATCACAGCAAGAACATTTAAAATGAGATACTAATTACAGTGATTTCTGATGAAATTATCTCTGTTATTAAAGTAGTGTTAAACAAATATTATTCAATAATTCTAGAATGTATACTAAACGTAAGCCACAAAGAACTGCAGAATATTATTTTAAGAATGCTAAGCATGTGTTTTATAGATCACCTGCCATTTAGAATTTTTTCTTTCCGATTTTGTGAATTTGGAGTTGCCATTCATACTGGAAAAAATCTTATTGAATATTCATTAGAACTTGTTACACACCTTATTCTGTATGAAGCAGAATTTAGTTGTTAGTTAAATTTTCAAATATTCTACTCACTTTTTTGTACATGGAGCAAATGTAAAGACTAATAGCCCAGATGGGCTATTAGATGGGCTCTCGAAACGGCATTTTGCCTTCAATCATTAAAAGCGTCGTACCATTTTTTCAAACTGTTGCCAGTAAATATCATCGCTATGTATTATATTTAATGAAATTAAGAATCTGCATGAATGTATATATATTTTTGCATCGTGAAAAAACAACGGTACCTACGTAGAGTCATAAAGATTTTGTGAAGCAGGAGACGTGAAAAATAAGCAATGCCCTTGCTGGGACTCAAACTTGAACCTCTCGAATGAGCTCCGAGTGTGCTACCATAAAGACGTTATCACATATGACTACAGTCCCTGCTAGACAAGACTTTTCTGAGAAACGAAATTCTGGTAGCACTGGTTTAAATGGGAGGATTCCTAGAAAAAAGAGCCCCGCTGGAAGCGAAGTCCCGCCTAGCTACGGAAATAATGCTGCGGCTACGCGGGATTTTTTCAAACCTCAGCGAAAATGTTTCGGGTCCCGGGTAGGGACCCAATCAGACGAAAGTTCTGCTTCTGAAGGATCACGTGATCCCAATTTGAGCGACAATCGATTACTGTTTGGCGTTCAAGTCTTTGTAGTAAGTGAGAAGGATAACCTACCTACGTGTGTTTCCCGGAATTGTGCGGGTTCTGAGAATTGTCCCTTTCGACGTCAAGTCCCACGTAGCCAAAACATAATGTGAATGGGATACTCCACGAAGGCATGCTAGAAGGAGGGAGGAAACACTTTATATACTCTGTCTTTTAAAGTGCGACTGCGGGGGAGGTTAGGAGACCCAATCGCCTAATCCTGGTTGTGACGTATTATTGTCCAATACCTTTTAGTTCGGGCGCCACTTGTAAATAATTAAGTTTTTCCTTGAAGCAGGAGACGTGAAAAATGAGCAGTGCTGTCGTCGGGACTCGAACCTGAACTTCTCGAATGCGCGCAGAGTGTGCTACCGTTACATCACGAAGGCATGCTGAAAGGAGGGAGAAAATACAATAATTTTGAATAACGTAGTCCTCTACCCAAACATGAGCACCTGCAAGCCCGAATTTGTTTTATTTTCTATTTCATATTTTGTAAAACATTAGCGAATTTTTGATTAACATACTCAACAGTTTCACAGAGAGCAATAGCAACACTGTACAGAAAAAAGGAAATATTTTTATAAACTATTTTTAGCCTAAAGACACTTCAGCCCAAATGCACTTGATACGTTTGTATGCGTATAAACTCTCAGATTTCTTTTTCATATTTTCTGCATCTAGAAACACTGAGAAATTCTAACACGTCGTGCATTTGACGCTGAAATAACTCTGTTACATCAGATGAGAGAAGAGAACTAAACAGCAGCATTTAAATTTTCTTTATGCCTTGTGATCCCGTATTCTTATTCAAGTCAGTAGGGTTAATTAATGATTCAACAGGAAGGCGATATATAAAAAAAAATTTGATGTGTATACCACATGACTTCCTTGTATGGAATATTAAATTATACGCATTTTTTTGCTGCATTTTATTTAAATTTATTTCCTCGCATTTCATTAGTGATATATTTCTCATTCAATTAATTCAGTTCTCACTTCGCGCCAACGCACCCCTTTGGTAAAAAGGCACTGGAGTTGGAGAAACTGACTTAATTTACTATTCTGCAAAGTTTCAAATGTAAACAAATACGGCTGCTATGGTAAAAAACATAGTCTGACAGGAAAAGACTTTTTAGTTAAAAAAAAAAAAAAAAGACAGAAAAAACGGTCTTTGAAAGACAACTTTATAATTATACCTGAAAACCTCAAGTCGTCAATTATAAAGGTATGCCACGAAGGAACTTCTGGTTATTTGGGTGCCAAAAAGACTGAAGACAGGGTGGTCAGACATATTTATAGAACGGGTTATTCCAAGGAACCCGAAGATTTTGTTAAAACCTCTGATGCTTGCCAGCACTCTGGGAAGGGAAATGACAAAAAGAAGGCTGCAATGACTTTAAGGGGCTTCATACACCTTAAATCCCTTATGATCTTCGACTATGTGACTGTAGCAAGAATTAGGATATTTTATTTATTTTAACACTAGAATGGCGGTAGAGTCATTGACCCTTGAACACTTTTGACACTTTTGATTACTTTTGTTTTATTGGAAGAAATCGTTTGGAATTTTTTGACTTTTCCTAAATAGATAACAAATATTTGTAAAACAAATTTCAGCATTCTAGGTTTGTTAGTTTTTGAAATAATGGCATGTATTCCTAGAACGGCGGACGGCGGTCATTTTGATCTCTTTCTGCTAGAGGCATTGGAAAATAACCCATGAAAAACATTCACTGATAAGGATTTTTCGATTGCATTCATACTATCTCCCAGAGGGATAAAAACCTGGGTGGTCTCACTACTTTGTAATGTCTTCATAAGTTGTTGTTCCTTTGTTTGCAATTATCTATTTGTTTGAAGAAAATACTGCAAGAAAGGTAGATGCAGGGTTTTTCATGCTTACATTTTTTATATTTTTTCTCAGAAATAGTTTATTTTACAGATGTATTTTACTTACCGCAGATGATAACAGTTAGAACAGATGTTTTCTTGGTAATCCCAAATCAGTATTTCAGTACGTATGAATTCCGTCAAGTTCATTATCACCTTTCCTTTACGCTGTGAGAATCATATGCTAAAATATATTCCCTATCGTTTTCTGATAGTCTGATATTTTTCTACTTTTTCAACTTTTACAAAATATGTCTAATAAGCGGAAAAGAGGTCTTGTGGATGAAGAAATTTAAAAATTGTTGCAGGAGCTATCTGAAACTGAGTCTGACAGAGGTGAAATTGTTAATTTTTCTGTAGAAACTGAAGATGAATTCCAGACACAAACTATTAGTGAATCCGAGGACAGCGAAGTAAACGAAGAAGAACTAAGTAGAAATAAACGGGCAAAAACGGATCAGGGTATTTGCAAAAGTGTTTTTACAGCTTCTAATAATACTATATGGAATGAAATAAATTCCAAAAATTCAGTCTTCGGCCGTGTTCCTGCTTATAATGTTCTAAAAGAAACAGCAGGACTAACATCTTTTGCAGAGTGTCGTATTTCTGAGGATAAAGTGTCTAGTACTTTCAAGCATTTTATTGATGATGATATCTTGCTGCATAGAAAGAAATGTACAGAATCCGAAGCTCATCGGCAACTTGGAAATAAAGACTGGAAGTTATCTATGGCTGAGTTAGATGCTTTTGTCGCTATATTGTATGTTTGAAGAGTAATAAGAGCAAAGGGCTTAGATTTGTATTCTTTATGGTTCGAAGCGTGGGGAATACCATTTTGCAAAGAAGCTATATCAAGAGATAGATTCAAAGAAATAAACCGATTTTTAATGTTCGATGAAAAGACAACAAGATCTGCTCGATTACAGATTGATAGATTTGCGCTTGCCTCAGATATGTGGAACAATTTATTGAAAACTGAAAAACGTGCTACCGACCAGGACAAAATATTACAGTTGATGAACAATTATTCCCATCTAAAGCTAGGTGTAGATTTACACACTATATGCCTAATAAACCTGACAAATTTGGAATAAAATTTTGGTTATCTGTCGACGTTAATACTAAATACCTCTCGAATGGATTTCCTTATCTAGGAAAAGATGAAACAGCAAATTCTCAATTATGTTTGTCTGAAAATGTTGTCATAAAATTAATGTCACATATAAACAAAGGGAGGAATATTACCACGGATAACTATTTCACTAATATTAAATTAGCAGAAATGCTAAAATAAAATAAAAAAAATATAACTATGGCCGACACAATGAAAAAAATAGAAGAGAAGTTCCTATATCTTTGAAAAATATGCGTAGTAATCTTTATTCATTGACAATAGTGGAACATGATAATATCACACTTGCCATCTATAAAGGCAAAAGAAACAAAAGCGTCTCATTACATTCTACTGGAAAAATTAAAGACAATCTCAAGAAGTTGCCCGATTCAATAACATTTCACAACGCAACAAAGTATGATGCGGATATTCGTGATCAGATGTGCCGAAAATATTCAGTTAAATCGGCTTCTAGACGATGGCCTGTACATAACTTTTTCAATATTTTGGATTACGCAGCTTTGAACGCCTGGATAATTTATATATGCGGACAGGAGTTAAGAGTGGTACATATGGCTTCAAAACTCCCATGATCCTTCTTGAGTCTTCAGAAGAAACACATGAAAAGAAAATAGATATAAAAAGAAAAAAGTGTCAAGTACAGACATGCAATGGAAACAAATCTCAAGAATATTGTGTATCTTGTTCCAAAGTTGTGTGCGGAAAATGCATTGGAAAAATTGTTAAAAATTATTTTTGTATCAACTGCATTAATTTTTAATACGTATGTGTAATATGTAATATTTTAAACATTAAATAGAATTGAAACGAAATGATTTACGTATTCCATTCAGCTACACCTATAGTGATATAACTGAAACATCAGAGAACATTTCTCATTTCTGCATTTACAGAGTGAATCATCCTCCGAGTAAGTATATAAAAAATATTATTATATAAATTGTGTTTTATTTTAGTTAACATTAGTTTTAATTTGTGAAAGCATTTATTTGAAATCAATTCTTATATCAAATTATTGAGTTATTTGAGTAATTATAGTATTATTCAATTGATCGCCATGTACTAGATACATTTACAGTATTTTAAAAAGTCAATAAATTATCATGTAATATTAAATATAAATTATGAAATACATATAAAGTACATAATTGTGCCAATGTATGGCATTTAAAATTGTTTTACCGTTGTTATTTCAGTACTTTTATCAAAGGGGTAAAATGACCCCTTACCGCCGTTCCAGTAGGTAAGATTTTCCCGCCGTTCTAGTGTGAAAAGCAATTACTTCCAACTTTTTACAGCTGACTACATAATATAGCTGCTTTGGAAGCTAGTAACCAGAAGGTTTGTGTTGCCACAAATATTTCTGTAATTTAATCCGCTTTGTGTCAAAATTTTTCGTCACGTTTCCACCTTGCGCGCATGATATTTTAAAAATGGCTAATGATACATACCTGAAATTTGATGGAATTCTTTATATGGGCACTACTTTCTAACTGAACCAAAAAATCTGAAGAATATTTTAATATTAAAAAATGAGTGAATGAGACCGTCTAACCAGACCCTATCAAAAGGCTTAGCAAATGGTTTGGCTCATCAAACCCTATAAAAAGATTTGGCTATATTAAGGAGAAGTTCAAGAGTGTACTTCTTTTTCTGTAGCCCTTCAGAAATCAGTTCGACTACTCTGCACAGCTGGTGAATAGTTGATAAGTTTTGACGAAAGCTAAACTGTTGTGCAGTCATGCTTGTGTTGGCGACGATAAAGACATTGGGTCTTGCAGTGTTGGTGCCTCAGCGATCTTAGTAATAGAAGCATGGTTCGAATTCTGGAGATAGAACAATTCGCTTCTTCCATTTTCTGGCTCCGAAAAAGTATAAAAATGTCCCTACTGTGGGGTCTGAAGTAAAATGAGGTGCACTATAATTCGTCCAACCAATTTTGCCAATTTGGACAACTCCATCTTATGCCTCTCTTCAATTCTTTATTATATGGGGGGGGGGTTAATGCAGGAACTTATTGAATTATCCATGCGACCTTTTGGGATGTAAGTAGTAGATCTACCAAACGCATTCAGCTGGCAATTGAATAATACGTGATTCGAATCCCGTTTAGGGCATAATTGATTTCTCACGTTTCCTTGCTGTAAAGAAAGTCTCTATAATATATCTGAATCCGCTAATATATACCAAAACTCACTACTTACAGAGTGGTGTATCAAAGATTATTGTATTTATTAATCTTTGATTATTAAATTAATTAATTCATTCAAAATTTATTAATCTTTGATTTGATTATCAAAAGATTATTGTATTTATTGTGTCATTCGAGTTATTTTGTAGAGAAAATTCTTCCAAAGTCATTTGTGCTTTTGGTTTCATTCAACTGAAAGCTTCTAATTAAGAGCTGGATGTGCTATTACTACGTCGCAAGGAAGAAATGCATTTAATTCCTTAAAAGTTTGCTATTCATTTTTTAAAATTGGTTTACTACACAAGCAATAGAATCCATGAAATAATGCTTCATAATATGAATTAGGGTATTTCATGAAAACTATTATTTAGAGCTATATCAAATTAGAGATGAGCTATAAGGAGGGCAACTTTGGACACGAGGTTTAATGGGCAGTTAAGTCAGAAAATAACTAACTTGTTTATTGTATAAAAGATCGCCGCCGATCTTTCTGATGATGCACAAAAATATATTCTTCCAACACTTATTTAACCACTCCTGATCTGTTCCTATACGAATGATTAAAAAATAATACCGACTTCCCAAAGCACATTAACATTAAGAGAGAACGTGAAATCCCCACTAGATAATTCGAAAGAAATATTCCAATATAGCATTCTTTATTTAAATATTCCAATTAACAGTTAATAATACCTTAAATGTTAGGAAGGGAAATAAATTCAATAAATAAAAGCTTGAGATAGTGCAAAAGCTTGAGTTTTGAACTCAACAGTAAATGATCACAGGTTCCGAACAGCATTGATATAACTACGGAATATACAGATATACTTCGGAACATAACATACTTCAGCAAATATGATTTAAGATATAAATATTTGTTGGTTAAGTATTTGATTCTAAAACCTCCTCTTTACAAACAGTTTTTTAGATATCACGGGGGATCCCAGGTGTCATATATCGATACAAATTTCATGCTTATTTTGGAAAAATATATTGTAAAAGTAGACGTATCAATAAATGTTGAGTTTTCTGGAGAGACTTCAATATAAATATTAAAACGTTTCATCTTTGACGGCAGTAGACTAAAATATCTGAAAGTAACTATAAAAGATGCTAAGTCAAAAATTACAGTGAATTATATTAAAATCTTATGAATTTAAGAATGAATTTGTGGTTAGTTTGATGTTAAATTCCTGTCACGTCTTATCTTAGTCAAGATTGGAGTCACCATACCATTGAGTTAATGCAAGTATGAAGGTAATACGCTGGATCTTACAACTACTGTTTTAATTAGATTACAAAGTTCTCCACGTTCTGTTTGTAATCGAATTCAATGGAATTCAGTAGTTGTTATCTTGTCCGTATTACATGGAACAATGATTGCCAGAGCCTACTCCGAAGAGAGGTTGGACTATTTTCCACCACCCAAATTTGAGGAGGAAGAGCACTCAGAGGGGAGATCCGCGATTTTAACTCGGGTCCGTCTGGTAGCTCGAGACGAGGACCTTTATGGCATTTAAATTCCAAAAAATTAGAAACTTAGAACAATGATATATTTCAGTCAAAAAAAAATGTTTAAAATTGCTGTAAATATTTTCATAGAGGTTCGTTATTCTACGCTACTTTTTCTCGAAAGTCCTTAAAAGTTTGAGAAAAGAACTTTTTCTTACAATTGTCATTTGGCAACAAAGAGTTTGTCATTGTTTTGAAATGTAGTTGTCTTTTGTGTTTTTACGCTTCGTTAATTTTCTAAATTTGTTTATGATTCATTGTCCATTCTTTTTAATGATATTGCGTAAAGCATTCTCACTCGAAAATGGGCGGTTGTTGTGATGGACAGGTAAGTTTTGTGATAGCGGTATTATAATTATGTAAAAAAAAAAAAAAAAAAAAAAAAAAAAAAAAAAAAATTCAAATTTTTATTATTGTCAGAAATATTCTAATTTTCTTCATGCTTTTTTGTAAGGATATTATTTCTTCGAGTAGAATTTTAGTTGCTTTGAAATGAAAACTATCATTTTCTATATTATTTCGATAATTCTAAGTTTCGATATTAATGCTAAATTAGTGAAACCAGTGCATCGTAAAAATTCTAGAATTGCAAAGAAACATCGAATATGTTTTATTTAATGCGTGTCTAGTTTAAGGAAAAAATATAAGCTAAAAATTTAATTACTTAATTGTTTAAATGTTCTGTAACTGCATTAATTAAATACATAATGCTTAGCCATATGTTAAACAAATTTAGGGCCAAAAGTATTTGGTTTTTTCTTTAATACCGTAAAATGGTTTGAATGATTAACAGTGTGAAAAAATTCTAAGATAATTGAATGCAACATTGTATTGGAAGAAATTGGGAAAATTTATGACTGTGGTCTGTATACTTAATTGATGTGTGTATGTTGTTTTATGTTTGTCATGAAACTTTTAACTGTCCTTTTTATGTATATATATGTAGAGTTTTCTTGAACTTAAAATAAGTATATTTTTTATCAAAGCTATTTATACGTAAGTTTCCATCCAAAATAAAAATATATTTATAAGTAAATGCTAAAAGCAGAATTATTTATGAAAAGGAAATATATTGCACAATGTCATAGCTAGGGTGGAGCATGGTGGGACATCTTGCCCTGGGCACAACATTCAGGGGACACTAGATTGTTGTTATGAAATTTTGAAATGAGATATTTTACCATTCTCAGCACAGAGAAGGGAGCGCAAAATCTTTAGTTGTTCCCAGGCGCTGAAAACCATGGCTACAGCTCTGATAATGCAACAGAAGTTTTAAATACATTTGTCACATACAATAAAGAAAGTAAAAAAAGATCCTGAAAATACTTCTGTTTATCTTCATGTCTGCTGTGTGAGCACACTGCAGTCATATATGAATGAACTGATAAATAACCAACATGTGATTTGATGTTCTTATTTTAGTATAAGACCTTGAGCACTAGTGTTGAGAAAATAATTTTGTGCTGAGCTTTTGGCTTAGAACTTTTTAATACTGGAATCTGAATGCCTCTTATCCATCTTGTGTGCAACCAGTTTTCATATGGGTTTTTAAATGACATGAACCTCATTTTAACAAAGCTGCAAATTTTTGTGTCTTACGAGTGTTTCAAGCCTGACTGAAGCAGATTTTCTGCCAACATTACAAACCAGTTTACTTATTGGAACAACATAATAATTCTAAATGTAAATGTAAATAGAATAAAATATTTTTTTTTTTTTTTTATCTTTGTAATTGTTTTTAGTACAAAAATATATATTGAGGCCGTTTGGCTACTCTTGTGGATGATCTGAACAGGATAATGCAAGATCTAACTGCAGTATCTCGTTTCAGGTGTTTTTCTGCTGATTTATCACTGAATGTATTTAAAGCTCAATTCAGCTTAATTTTAAGTTCATTTAAATTACTAATTTTTAATATAAGAAGCAATATAAATACAGATTATCAGTTTTTTAATCATGTCTGCTTTTTTTTTTGTACGCTTATAAGATTTTTATCTCTGAGGTTTATTTATTGATTCCATTATATGCAGTCTAAAATAAAATAACTTTTATTCCATGCAATATTTTGGAAAATTATAGATAAATTTTAATCTTAATCTTTTTGAAGTTAATTCTTGCTTTTATACAAAATTTAAGAGAATACTATAAACATTTTCATATTCATAATTAATTAAATTTGAAGCTATTTTTATGAATCTGCTTTAATGCTTTAAATGTCAAAATATTTTTTCTGAGCAAATTATAATCTCTTAATTCGTGCTCTTCTTTATTAATTCTCTTAAAAGTTAGATATTTCAAACTTCCATTAATGGGCATTTAATGGATACTCACGTTTAACACATGCTTGGTGAATATCTCAACCCTTTAGTAGTAGACTAATGCACCCCTTAACTTAAAAGCCAAATAACAGAAATCAGCATTATATTTTCAAATTTTTCACAGGACTAGTTTCGATGGTTTTACCGAACCATCATTTTTTGTTTATCTTCTAAGTTAATATTTGTTTGGCGTGTTGTTGTATTTTAATTAATGCACCCCTCTTTAGTAGATATTCCGGGAATTCGACATGGTCGAACAAAAGGCAGCATGGCGACATGGTTGAACAAAGCGAGATCACGTGGAATAGTGTTAAATATTAATGAATTGTATCAAAGTAAGCTGAAGCTCTAGTAATTCAGTTTAAAAGTTTCTTCCAGAAATCTAGAAGGTAATGCAATGTAGTCTTTCTGCTTCTTGTCACAACAGTTTTTGGTTCATTAGCAAGACAGAAGAGATTGATCAGGCAAAGAAAGTTTCCCTTCTTTCGAATCCTCTTCAACTGATGACAATATCTCCAGGCAAAAAATTTTCTGAATGAGTTATACCGTTTCTCCATAAGCTGTGTAAGCAAGAGTCTTCTCTGCTGCAAACAGTTTTATACCTTCAATTCTCCAGTTTATTTTACTTTCATGTGTTCATTTCATGTGTTCCTAATGAATCTAAGCATTCATACTACCATTCTTAAAATTTTTGTGTGTGTCAAGAAATAACACATTATCCATGAATTCATATTGCCATCACAGTTTAAAATTGAAGTTAAAATCCTTTTCTGTTCAGCCGTTATTTCCTTTTCATTTTCAACTGGTTTTGAGCGAGGCCACTTACTTTCAGCCAGTGTCAACCAACGTGGTCCCTCCTCACCATTTGAATTCCATTAAGTTGTTAGCAGAACATTCTTTAGAGCTAGGGTTTTAATAAAATATGATTGTTGTCCAATTAAATGTGATTTAAATCCTTTTAACTTTTGTTTACACAGTTCGCTTTTTAACGGAAAATCTGTATCGAAACTTCAATGTATGCTTTTGAAATGCCTTCCAACATTTCCTTTTTTTGGAAGTGCCACACTTGCATGTCATATATTGCATTCACCATTGCAAAGAAAAACTGTTCTTCCCATTCTGTATTAAAATTACATGTTTTTCATTTCTTAACACTTGTTTTTGACATTGTACCCCTCTTTTAAAATATGAAAGAGTACTATTTTTACTACAAAAACACAAGTAACACAAAGTTGTCAAGTTGAATGTTTCAAGAACTTTGTCGACTGCTAGACCCTGGAGCGTGGACGTATTCAATGCAATGAGCAGCGAACATATGCGAACGCATGAATCTGTAACCGACGTACATCATGATGTGCACCCAATGAAGGTATATGTGTCGTTTACACATTCATTAAATTATTTGCTTAAATAAACACAGTCACGTCGTTTGTGATAGCCGATTCTCCAGTCTAGCTGGCGTTGGAGTTCCATAAATATGTTTCTTTTAGTATGCGTGTCTTAGGTCTTACTAAAGGCAGTCACCCCAAAATGTCTTAGTGGTCCACCGGTAAATCGCAATCGACTTAATGCCCACCCTTGCTTTAGAGGGTAAATCTGCTGGATTTACGGCTCCTGGAACATGGTGTCAGTCTCAGTTTTTGTATTTCTTTAATCCTGTTGTTGATGAATGTTCCCCAAGTCCCATTATTCTTAATCCAAAAGAGGGTTGTAGTAGAATCAGTCCAACAGTATTCGTTCAAAATCTCAATCCCAAGTTTTTTTACCAATAAAGCTAATCTAGCTCTAATGAAACAGAATACAGTCAAAAGTCGTTAATTCGGACACCCATAATCCGGACCTCAAAGCTACAAACTTTCTGCGCATGCGTCGCGTTCACGCATGCGCACAGGCGTTTACGAGAGCGCATAAGACCCTTATGGCTGCGAATATGTTTGTGCGCATGCGCGTTTAATGTGTAACGGAGTTATACGCTAAGCTAAAGTTATCTAATTCAGTTAATGTTGCAGATTGCGTTGTTCAGTTAATGTTGCAGATCGAATTGGATCCGGCTTATTATTTTTTGCAGACTGTTAGAGCAATTTTATAAAAGTAAGCTTGAACTTTCGATTATGTCAAATAGAATTTCCGATATATATTTACTACAAAGCGAAAGTATGTTTTGAAATCCGAAATCTGTTTATCAATTTCACGCTGCTCCCCGGCAGAGGGGGGGGGGCAGAAATGTCATTATTAGATTATGATAGATTAGAAAGATTATGTCAAATAGAATTTCCAATATATATTTACTAATATGTAATTTGTATCTACAAAGCGAAAGTATGTTTTGAAATCCGAAATCTGTTTATCAATTTCACGCCCATTGGAAGTTGATCTGTCAACACTATCCTTATCTTCAGAGCAGATGTTTTTATTTTATTTGGATTATAATTCGGTACTAAGTTTAGTATTTCATCTCGATGTACTCCGTCTTTGATGTGATTTAAATCAAGTTCCTGGTCATTATAATTCGCTTCCGTTCCTGGTCATTATAATTCGCTTCCGACAGTGAAGAAAGTGACCCAGAGGTTATTGAAAACATTTCGATTGACAAATTAGTCGGTATTCTCGACACAGCAATTATAGGACTTGAAACAGCGGAACTTTGTAACTAAACAAGAAATTATGTCTGTTTAATAGAATTAAAGAGAAAGTATTATCACATGAAAACGAAGCAACTTACATTGAAGGAAATGTTTAATAGAGTAAACAAATAAATATTAAGTTTTTTCTTTTTGTAAATTTTGATACCCTTTAGATCATAATTGTTTTTATTTCATAAATTACGGTTTCATATTTTTTAATTTTGTAATTTTTGCATGCCATCTTACCAGATTTAAACTGATGATCTATAATCCGGAAAAATCGATAATCCGGAATCGCCGAAGTCCCGACGAGTCCGGATTAACGACTTTTGACTGTAGTAACTTAAGTCTGGGGGATTATGTATTTTTTTAACGGAGCTGCTCTGGGACTTGGCTTGAAGAAGCTGCATTTTTACTTGCTCCTTATTTTTGCTTTTGTAATAAACTAAGACTGCATATGAATTCTTCAAGGCACCAGTGAAAGTTTGTAGGTTGTACAACGGAGCATCATCTAAATGTTACCACCTGTCTAGGAATCTTCATTGACAATGAAGGTATGTCAGTCTTTAAAACATTCTCTTTAATATCGTTTGGGAATTCAGCATCCCAACTCAGTTTTTTTTCCTAGGTCTTTTGTAAGTATAACTTTGGAAGAAGGGTGAGAGGGCAGCTAATACCTATTGGATCAAATGCCTTATGTACAACAGATAGCAAATTCCGTCTGGTGTCTGGGGGTTCTCCTTGTCTATATTTTGAACATCACACTCTAAAAGATCTTGTTGTTTATCTCACAATAGTCCTATTACTTTTAAAGGCTCAAATTCTTTATAAATCCCTTTTGTTTCTGTTTTCAGCCATCGTCTTAAATCAAACTGTGTATTTGCCATGATCGTAGTTAGCTGATGAATGAAAAAACTTGCATTTTCATCTGAATCTACCAAAATCACTACTAGTGATACTAGTGATAGCAGTTCACAGATATAATACTCAACAAGTAGCTCTTGACGGCCAAACTTTGTGTTTAGGCTATCAATGGCTTTTGCATAGTTATCAATAGTTAGCACATAGCTATCTACAATTTCTCGTGCTCTACTGCCAACTGTCATGCATTGGATGAGATACTGAAATTTACTCATCACCATTAAAGAATTCTACTGAACCGACTCCAAATCATGAGCCAGTCTTTCACTTCCGCATTAAATTTAATAAATTCTATATTGGGGAGCTTTGATTTTGTTTTTTCACCTGTATTCATTGGCAACAGTTCACAAAAATTTGAAAGTTTATCAAGACATGCTTTAGTACAAATGGGAGCTATATCTAATTTTTCTTGAAATTCTTTAGTTTGTCTCATATTCAACATCAAAACCTTCAGATTTGGTGTTAATTAAAGCAGAAGAAATTATATCATCCAATTCAGGCAAATCTGTATAACAATTCACTAAAGAAGATTGAATTCGAATTTCCTCATGTTTGAAATCTGTTTCATTTAAAGACACTATTAGAGAACTGTAACACCTTTATAAAAGTTGTTCTGTCAGGTGTTCTTTTATAATGTTTTTCATATTAATAAAATCTTAAATCAAGTTATTAATTAACAAAGTTGCTGAGCTTTATCTTTAAACATCACATTTGTATATTATCACTGTATTAAGGATGGGTAGATTGCTAATATACTTTCTCCATAGCATTTTATTATGAACTTATTCTTTAAAACAAAAAATTAATTGTAAACATAAAGTGTTGAGAAAATTATTTTGTTACTCTTGCTGCCAGATTTGCTGTGTGGCTACCTAAAGATGGAGTAATTAAATGGGTCTTTAGCTACTTGGCTATGAGTGGGCCTCTTTATTTGAATATTATTATGAGGAATGTTGACAGCTCTACCTAAATAGGAATGAAAATTTAAAACTTGGAAGATTTTGTTTCCTGCTGCTTTAAAATCCAGGAGTTTACAACGATGAATATTCACTTACTGTTTTTAGATAATTTTTGCTACTTTATTTCTTTAATATGTTTTTTTACCGTGGCTTCTCATACAGATTTTAGTATTTTGAATCGAAAGGAAGAAAGATTGATTTGAAAGTGAGAAATCCTTTCCTATTAATACCAACCTTTTTGGCACTTTCTGATCAATCTGATGGAAAACTTGGAAAACTTTTGTTTGGCAATTGTAATGACTCATAGCTAATGTTTCATTCATTAATGATAATAAAGAGGCATTTTAATAGGAAAAAATATGTATATGGCTAATATTTATATTTCTACAGGTGTTGTCAGCTGGTCCACAAAATAATGGTTAAATTTAAAGTGTGTAAGTCCATGTGTTTTCAAACACGTGTGATACACATATGCATAGGCTTACTATTGTCATATGTGTACTCAAAATGTGTCAAAAACATGTTCTACTGTTGTGTTGACACTGGGAGTGTAAATAATCAGAAAATGCTAAATTTTTTAATGTGTTATATTTATATAACACATTTTATTTGTGTTATAAAAATATTTTTAATATGTGAATTTTGCTTTCTTTTTAATAGCTGGGATGCTGTTGTGGGTGTCGGCCATGTCGCTTGTGCTGTGGCTTCTTGCCAGCCATCAAGGAATCAACATCATCTCGTCTAATGTATACATTTTTCTTACTTCTGGGAACTCTACTAATGTGTATCATGTTGACACAGGAAGTCCAAGATCGTATCATTGAAATAGTATGATTTGTTTTTGGATATTTTAAACCAGAAGAAAGGAGAAGCATATTTATATTTTGTTGTTATTGAATTATCATAATTTTGTTTCATTTTATTTAAATTTTTTAGTAATGTAAATTTTTTAATGTCTGTTTAATTATAATGTCAGTCAGTATACTGATATATTAAAAAAATTATTTGAATTTTCAGTTTCCACAGTATAATATCACCTGTATAACACTTAAAGCTGGAGAAAACTGTGATTTACTTGTGGGATACATGGCTGTTTATCGAGTTTCTTTTGCTATGGCAGCATTCTTCTTCATCATGGCTTTCTTAACGATTGGAATTTCAACAAGTAGGAACTGGAGGTCGGGCTTACACAATGGGTAAGGTATCATCCGAATATATGTTATTTCTAACTCTCAAGTATTCTGTTAAAATATATTATATATTGAATATTAATATTTTGTTTTAATTGTTTGACACTTTGTTCTTCTTTTTTTCTGTATCAAAATTATCTGTCATGCTGAAATTTAAACGCTAATTTAATTTTTGCCCTATTTTAATCTTAAGTAAAGTTGAGTTAAAATAACATGTCAAAAAAAGGGATTGTTGGAGGTTTTAAGGCAACAAAAATCAGAGCAATTTCATAAATTTGCTGGATTATCTTTAAAAGTTTAACTATAGAACCGCTTTTCTGTAACTGCAGAAGTGCAAATGACAAAAGAGAAGCCTGTGCTTAGGTAAAAACAATGAGTAGGAAGTGTTCGATGTTATGCAAATTGTATTTCTTTCTTTGTACCGAGGAGCGGCGCAGACGCAAATTTGTTAGGTTTTTAAAGCTCGCGGTTAGAGCTTCGAGGTTGCTGTGAATTACTGGAGTTTCAACCAAGCGGAGGTTCTTCTGAGTTTGTGTTGGTAAGCCGCCACTGAAGTCGGAGTTTGTGTGGTCTTCGCCGTTCCTCTTCGCCTAACTTACTATTTGAAAGTCAATAAAGAAGTTTCGGTCAACGTTAGGAGTCTGAGGTTTTTTGAGTTCTATACTGAAGTAATATCAAGTTAATTTACAGTCCACTATTTTTAAACAACGGAAGGTACATATTTTATGGTCCGTCGGCTACGGAGTCACAGTAAATTTGGTGAGTCAGTGTGTTTTTTTATCTTTCTTATTAGATAATGGAATTTACAACGCTTAAGACTAAAAAGCGTGTAGCTAAAGCTAAGTTAAGTAAACTGAAAGAGAAAATTGCAGTGACTTACGATTCTGCTGATGTTGATCAGTTGGAACTTTTTAAATCTAGATTAAATGACTTAATGACCGAACTTTCGGATATTTTAGTAACATATTTGTAGTGTGTGTGTGAAGAAAAAGATATGTAATGTATTTATAGAAGAACAACAGGTCGTACAAGATACTGTTGATGAGTTAATTTTAATGCTAAACAGAGTTAAGAATGTTAAAGACATTAGTGTGGAAAAACTAAATCTTGTGAAATAGCGAGTATACGCTTACCTAAGCTAACTCTTCCTGTATTTAGTGGCAAGTACTGAAGAATGGTTATCATTTTTGATTTATTTAAAATGGCGATAGTGGATAATGACCGTTTATCAGGTGCACAAAAAGCTACAATATTTAAAGGGTTCTTTAGAAAGGAGATGCTTTGCGGATTGTTCAAGCTTTAACTATTTGTGACAGGAATTTCGAAATAGCGTGGCATTTATTGTGTCAAAGATTTTCACATAAGAGAGAATTACTTTCATCGTTATTAAAGAAAATCTTGTATTTATCAAATTTACAATCTGAAATTCCTAGTCAGATATTAGCGTTAGTAGACACTGTAAGAGAGTGTGTATGTTCGGTTGAAAATCTAGGATTCAAAGTGGAGCAATTCGCGGATACTATTTTAATGTTAATAGTACAGTTTAAATTGGATTCTTCGACGAGAGGATGGTGGAAAAGAACATTAAAGAGTGAGGAAATACCAACACTTAATAATCTGCTAGAGTTCTTGAAATCTCATGCCAGAACCTTGCAAGCAGGTAAACTGCAAGGTGTTAAAAAACAAGTTACAAAAGACAAATTAACTTCATTGGCTTCAGAGATTCGCGCGCAGTGTACGTATTGTAAAGCCGGTCATTCAATTTTTAAATGTAATAAATTTTTAAATCTGAATGTGCAGGAACGCGTTAATTTTGTCAAGAGAAATAATGTTTGTTTTAATTGTTTGGTTTCAAACCATAAAGCTTTCGGGTGTAGAAGTACACATAAATGTAAAAAGTGCATTAAAAATCATCACACACTACTGCATTTCGAAAGAGTTCAAAATGAACCAAAGGCACTTAAAGGAGTTTCGAACAGTTCGAATGAATTATCAGTGACGGCTAAGCCATTTTTCCCTGGGCCAGAACCTCACGCTTAATCGGCTGGGTCAGGGAAGAATATCGCAAGTTCTAGTCCAGTAATTAAATCTTGTGTTTCAGACTTTAATTTTCAGAGTGAAGTTTTATTATGTACGGCTGTTATTAAAGTGTTAGATTCATCGGGTGAATACCAATTGTGTAGAGCCCTCCTTGACCCTGGCAGTCAAGCAAGCCTGATTTCAGAAGATTGTGTACAAAGGCTAGGATTAGGTTAGCAAGAAAAATGCCAAAGTTTTTATTTCATGTTTAGGGTCTTTGGATACGAAAACTAATGGGATTACGGAAATAAACTTCGTTCCGCATTTTCCGACGAAAGTGTCATTTAAAACACCAGTATTTATCATCAATAGAATTATTGGAACTTTGCCGCATTTTACATTGGATAAGAAGTACGTTAAGGAATATAATGATTTAATGTTAGCAGATCCAACGTTTTACAAAAGTGGGCCTGTTGATATACTTTTAGGCGTAGATACTTTTAGGCGTAGATATTGCCTTACCTCTTTTAAAGGGAGAAATAATTAAATGCGAAGAAGGTAAACCGGTAGCTTCTCGTTCTGAACTAGGATGGATTATTTCAGGTAGTGTGAATAATTCAACAGAAATTAATCCTACTATCTATCTATGTAATAATATACAAGTGGAAACTGATCAGATGCTGTCTGACTTTTGGAAATTGGAATGCTGTACCTACGTTTGAACATGCTTACTAAATCGGAGAGAGCATGTGAAGATTATTTCAAATCTACATATACGAGAGAGGAAAGTGGGGTATATACTGTGAAATTACCGTTCTCACTCTCCGCCTTCTCAGCTTGGAGATTCCAGACAATTAGCTATGCGTAGATTCCAATCTTTAGAAAATTCACTTCTAAAAAGGCCTCAGATATATGAACAGTATAAGGATTTCATGAGGAATACCTTGAGCTGATGAGACATATGGAGGGAGTGCCTGAGGGAGAGATTCTTATTGACTCTACGTATTACATGCCTCATCATGCCGTATTAAAGGAATCAAGTACTACGACTAAACTGAGAGTTGTTTTCGATGCTTCAGCTAAAACGACATCGGGTCTTTCATTGAATGATATTTTGATTGTTGGGCCAAGAGTTCAGCAAGAGCTGTTTCCAATTCTTCTACGGTTTAGAATCACAAAATTGCAGTATGTGCCGATGTAGAGAAGATGTTCAGACAAATTGTGTCCACCCAGAAGATACAAATTGGCAACGAATGCTTTGGAGGGATAGTCCTAGTGAGCCCTTGAGTACATTTAGATTAGTGACAGTTACATATGGGACTGCCTGTGCGCCGTATTTGTCTACTAGAGTAATGAAACAACTTGCATTAGATGAACAAGTTAGATTTCCTTTAGCATCAAAAATTGCCCTTCGTGATTTTTATGTTGATGATTTGCTTTCAGGGGCATAAAGTGAAGAGGAAGCGAATGTTCTAGTTCAGCAGTTGAATGAAATGATGAAAAGGGGTGGATTTCGCTTAAGGAAGTGGATTTCAAACAGTTCAGCTATTTTAGAGAATATTCCCGAGCGCTTACGAGAATCCAGTATTTCTCTTGAAATAAACAGTGACAAGAAAGTAAAAGTATTGGGAATTAATTGGAACAACTCTAGTGATACGTTTCATTTTTCGGTATGCATAAGTGATAAAGAGTTTACTAAGAGGACTATTTTATCAGAAGTAGCCAAAATCTTTGATCCAATGGGATGGTTAGCGCCAACAATAATATACGCGAAAATATTATTACAAGAGTTATGGAACTTACAGCTGGGTTGGGATGAAACTCGTTGATAAAAGAATAAGTAGAAAATGGAAGCGTTTCTATCTAGAATTGCCCTTACTTTCATGCTTACAATTTCCGAGGTATGTCTTGAGTCCGAAGGCAGTAGTGATAGATATCCATGCTTTCTGCGACGCTTCAGAAAAGGCTTATTGTGCAGTCATCTATCTCCGTACAATCGACCTTGATTCGTCAGTCAAAGTCAGCCTTCTGACATCGAAAACCAGAGTAGCGCCCTTAAAAACCCAGTCTCTTCCGAGACTAGAGTTGTGTGCTGCGTTACTTTTAGCAAACCTCTTACATGCAGTATTATCATGCATAGAACTGCCTATTAACAATATTTACGCATGGACCGACTCGCGGGTTACATTGGCATGGGTTTTGTCCGAACCTCGCCGTTGGCTACCTTTTGTGGCAAATCGAGTTGCAAAAATCCAAGAAGCTGTTCCAGGTATTCAATGGAATTATGTTGCTGGGAAAGAAAATCCTGCAGACTGTGGGACCAGAGGTTTTATTCCATCAGAATTCCTACAATGTGAGTTATGGATGAAGGGACCACAGTGGTTAAACGAATCCGTAATTCATGTACAGCAAAATTCAAGTGTAGAATTAGAGGGTGAAGTTATGTTGAAGGAATTGAAAAAGAGTTTCAGTTCAAATGCTTCCAAATTTGAAGAGCCTAGTGTGTTTTCAAGATTTTCGTCATGGTTAAAGTTATGTCGGGTGTTAGCGTGGTGTTTAAGATTTAGAAATAATTGTAGCAAGTTACCTACAGAGCGTATAAAGGGTTATTTATCTACTGAAGAATTTCTGTGAAGTTACTTCTATGATTGTTAGGATTGTGCAAAGAGCCGAATTTCCAGAAGAATTATTCTGTTTAGAATCTGGTAAACCCTTGAAGACATCAAGTAAATTACTGTCTTTAAGTCCTTTCTTGGATTCCGCGGGAGTAATGCGTGTAGGCGGAAGGCTCAGAAACTCTGCAGTTTCAAATAATCAGAAACATCCTATGATTTTACCTAAGAATCACAATATTACGCGTTTAATTATTAAGCATTATCATGACACGTATCTTCACGCAGGTACGCAGCTACTCACTTCTGTCATACGACATAGATTTTGGATTGTGAATGCTAGAGATATTATAAGAAAGTGTATAAACCAATGTGTTATCTGCCGTAGAGTTAGAGCGTAGACTGCAACTCAGCTAATGGCAGATTTACCCTCTTCAAGAGTTACTCAAAGTAGAGCTTTTTCTCGTGTAGGGATTGATTTAGCAGGACCATTTAACGTTAAATATCGTCCTGGTAGAGGAGTCAAAATCTTTAAGTGTTACGTATGTCTATTTATTTGTTTACTACAAGAGCAATACACTTAGAATTAGTTGGAGATCTTTCAACAAAATCATTCCTCGCGACACTTAAGGAAGCATTTTGTTTATAGCTCGTAGAGGCAAACCGTGTGAAATTCACAGTGATTGTGCAACGAATTTTATAGGAGCTAATAAAGAATAATTAAGGAAAAGCCTTTTCTATTGTTCAACGTGATGAACAGCTACAGGGTTATATTTCTTCAGAAAATATTAAATGGTTGTTTAATCCTCCCTCTGCCCCTCATTTTGGAGGGCTTTGGGAAGCGGGTATCAAGTCTATGAAACATCACTTGAAAAGATGTTTAGGAACACTTATTTTAACATACGAGGAATTTTTGACATTAATAACCCAAATTGAATCCTGTCTTAATTCTAGGCCTTTAGTACCAGCTTCAAGTGATTGTAGCGACTTGGAGGCGATAACACCAGGACACTTTTTAACCGGAGCGGCTTTAAACGCTATTCCAGAATCTAACCAAATTCAAGAAACCATGAGCTGCAGTGACCGTTAGAGGAACGTGCAAAGGTTATTTCAACATTTCTGGAATCGTTGGAGCAGTGAGTATTTATCTAGATTGCAGCAGAGACCCAAGTGGTGCAAGGTACAACAAGACCTGAAGATTGGTGATATGGTTCTTATTAAGAACGAAAATCTACCTCCGCTACGTTGGAAATTAGGTAGAATTATTAAAGTGCATCCCGGTCTGGATGAGAAAGTTCGAGTGGTGAGTTTACGCACGTCTAATGGTGAAATAAAACGACCTATAGCAAAGCTATGCGCTTTGCCATTTAATTCTTGATTTAGAGACTTTAATTTTTTTTTTCAGGTTTATGCAGTTCAACAGTTTAAATTTATTGTTTGAACCCCCTTGGGACTTCAAGGCTGGGGGTATGTTCGATGTTATGCAAATTGTATTTCTTTCTTTGTACCGAGGCAGCGGCGCAGACGCAAATTTGTTAGGTTTTTAAAGCTCGCGTTTTAGAGCTTCGAGGTTGCTGTGAATTACTGGAGTTTCAACCAAGCGGAGGTTCTTCTGAGTTTGTGTTGGTAAGCCGCCACTGAAGTCGGAGTTTGTGTGGTCTTCGCCGTTCCTCTTCGCCTAACTTACTATTTGAAAGTCAATAAAGAAGTTTCGGTCAACGTTAGGAGTCTGAGGTTTTTTGAGTTCTATACTGAAGTAATATCAAGTTAATTTACAGTCCACTATTTTTAAACAACGGAAGGTACAGGAAGTTAAGTTATTGGCTGCATCTATTGCAATGATGAGAAATAAGCTTCAAGAATTTCATTTCTCTTGTATCGAAATTAATGAGTTAATTTCCCTTAATCAACTTTTTCCAGAATGAACGCATTTTTCAACTTTCTCTGAAATGAACACATTTTATTTTTCAAAGTAAGTACTACAACCATATGGGGGTTAGCCACGGGAAGCCTTCTTAGTCCTATGATGATACCTTTACTCTGCATGATGGTAATAAAGATGATTTAAATGAATTCAACTGATCTTGCTGTTCAGTTCGCTTTTGAACTTGAGGCATCCAGTTCTCTTCCGTTGTTTTTTTTTCACCTCACTTCAAATCATGTCATTTGACTAACCAGAAGTTAGTTTCATTTTACTTAATTTTCTTCAAATTTGCTACTCTAATCAGCTCTTTTTCAAGATCTAAACTACTTAAAAAAAAGTTACTATTCACAAAGGCTTTTCACCTGCCATTATTGACCAAGCAGTTAAAAAATTATCATCTCAGCACATCAAAAAGCATTTTCTTATTTCAGGAGATTATAAGAAGTCTGTTGTCATTACTTTCTTTCCATTGGTTAGCTGTAAAATTACATAAATTTAACTTTCAGGTTGTTTTCTCGTCCATCAATAAAATTTGCAGTTCCATATTTAAAGATTACATTTTAGATCTGAAATTCTTGGGTATATGTAGGATACCCTGCCAGTGCATTTTAATTTACATTTGTCAAACTAAGATAGCTTTGAAATTTCACATTAAAGAGTATGAGGCACATACTCTTTAATGTCTCTATGTTGGGGAAAAAGAAACATATAAATCTTCTTTGCCCATCACTTTTGGTCAGAAAATCATATTTTCCATTTTTCTGCATCCAAAATTATTAAAAAAAGTATCTTCTGTTGACAAATTAGATTTTTTAAAGATCTTTCACATTCGTAAAATTCTTTCATTCCTAGTCAACAATCCTAATTTCAATCTGTTTTTACCCGCAGCTTTTAAGGAAATATCTGATAATTGCTTTCATTTTGTATCAATAGACGGCACCAGTAGCTTGAATTCCTTCCTGTCATTGTTATCACCTGAGCACAGGCTTCTTTTTTGCCATTTGCACTGCAGCTGATGAAAAGGGTTCTGTATTTAAATTTTTGAAACTAGTCCAGCAAATAATATTATGATGATTCTTGTTGCCTTAATACCTGCAATAATTAAGTACAGTTATTGAATTAAAAGGCTGTCTATCTACCAGCAGGATGTTCATTTTCTTGGAGTAAATAAAATTATGAAAAATAGAATATTTCATACCATAACATAGGAAACAGCAGTCTCTTTGTTGTAGATCTGTCACTTGTTTTTGACCATCTTTTGGTCAGAAATAGCCTGAGTTTCTTTATCTATTATGTCAGCTTTTTAAGCTACAAGATACCGTCTGTTTGTTTAAAAAATATGCATATAAAGGGAAACTTACCCTATATATATATATATATACACACACACACTGCTCACAAAGAATAGTTTATACTGATTGGTCACAAAGAATGATTTTATTCTTTTATTCATACAAAGACTATTATAGTTACTGCAAGTTAAATTTTGTTAATACAAATAGTAAAGTTCTTTTACAAAATGGTAAACGTCCATATTAAGGTAAAAATTTTCATTAATGGCTTTTTTTCCGGAGTGTTTAATCTGTGGACATTGTTCCTTGATGCTCCAACAATAGTCAACCGTCATATGTACATCCCATCTTCCTTGGTACCGTGCCTCCATGACTTTCAAATTGCTCACCCTGCTCATTACTGACTGCACCAAGATTTTTCAGGAAGTTATCAAGATGGCTTTGTAAAAAATATGCAAGTATGTGCTCATGTATTTCCAACAATGTCTTAGACAATCTTTTTGAATGACAACTAAGCATTATTTTGAAGATCTGTTATTGTTCCAATGAATTGTTCATCTTTAAGCAGCTGCCGAATCTGTGGACCACCGAACACATTGACCTTTATCATTTCAAATGACAGGGTAGAAAATGCCAAAATGAGATACTTGAAACAGTCTCCTTCATCTGGCAAAGCTTTAACAAATTTCTTTGTGAGACCCAGTTTTATATGTAGAAGTGGAAATATAATGTTCTTTGTGCCAACAAGTGGCTGATGTAGAGTGTTTGGATCACTAGAATGTATGGATTAGATCTTCTTGGCCAATTTGATTGCATCCAATGTTTCTCACGAGCTCTGCTGCCCCACAAACACAAAAAAAAGAGAGAGATTTTTTATATCCGCATTGTTGGTCAAGGAGGAAGGAGACAGTTTCAAGATCAACAGATTTGAAGAAATATTATTTAATTGATTAGATGATTAGTCAACATTATACAATTTAAAGTTTCAAATAAAAGGAGAAGTAAAAATTTATAAAATTCTGGTAATTAGCCGGATTCTGCAAATGTCATAATAGTTACAGATATCACAAATTATTTAATCTTTTTGCATTTTTTAAATTGCAGAAGATTGAAATCCTTCTGCTAGATCATATTCTATACTTCATGATTAGATGCTGAAATTCAGAAAGGGGAAACATCTAAACCAGTGTGATTTTTTTTTTTTTTTTCAGTTGGGTGTGTTTTAATTATTTTTCAGTCAGTCAACCGACCATGCATCGAAAGACATATTTTCATCAATTATGATTAAAGATAATTTAAAAGTATAGTTAATCTGAATGAAATAATAGTATTCATATATTTTGCAATCCACCACTTTTAGAAATTTTGGAACCCACCAGCGGCAAAAATCACTGAACACTGTAGTTTGACCCAGATTTTTCTTCCCATCAAGTGGGATGGTTCCTTCATGGATATTTTCATGGTTTTCCCTTTTCTTACATAAACTGAAGCCAGTTTCATATAGAAGGTACTTCACAAATGCTTGCTTTAAGCAGATAACCCTCATCTGATATATCTTTTTCAAATCAATAGACTTATTAAATTTGATTTTATAATGCCTAAGTTCATTTAATTGCTTACACATAGATTGAAGCTTTCCATTTTCTCATGCTAGTATTTACACTGTATCATTAGTTTCATCTTTTTAAATTAAATTTCTTTTGAAATAAGAATTAAGTTTTCTTTGAATTCCTTTAGATTTTGTAATTACTAGCTGATTCTTGTAAATTCTAATATTAATCGTACAGGGTGGGGCAAATAAAAGTGGCCCCGGAGAATAGAATTACTCTGTTTTCTGGGGCACTTTTATTTGCCCCATCCTACATAATGCCAATATTAAATTCTAATGTCGATGTATGATCTTGTGGTACTTGCAATTTAGTTTATTTATTCTGTTGTGTATGTTTTCAATTATTAATAATTATAACATTTGTTTTAAATGAATTTATTTTCTTATCTAGCATGTGGGGTTTAAAGTTGCTTGCTCTGTGTCTTATCTGTGCTGGAATGTTCCTGATACCATCAGACTATGTAACTAGTTTTGGCCATAGTAAGTATTAGGTTTCTGTAGCTTTAACTCTTTCAGGACAGGCGTCCCATATACGCATCCCCTAAGAACGTCTCTTACAGCCGGGTGTCCCATCCACGCATCACTAGAGATTGCATTCAGAGGACGGGTGATGCGTATACGCATTTTAAGCTGGAATCTTTTTCTGAAGGCCACTAGATGGCATTCAATGTCCATTACTTTTGAAATGAACAACTTTTTTAAAGTTAGAGTTTTAAAATCTTTTCGGCTGGTATCCATGTAAATGTGTAATTTATATTAAAACATATTAAGTTATCACTAAGTTAATGTGAAAATGTAATAGAAATTTTTATACGGCCAGCTAATCTTATCTTATATTCTGTGATGGAAAAAGGTGCTGCTATGAATGGAATGCTTTGGGTCTTTCTTTCTGTATAGCCATATTTCTTTATTCCAACAACATATTCTTAGTAGGTAGTTTGTTCTAATATATGATACTATGATAAAAATCAAAGAATTAGATGTTGTTCATTACAGAAATTATCCACATGAAATCATTTTCAAATTCTTTTAATTTGAGTTATCTGAAGTTATGTGCCATTTTATTTCTGACCTCTTAAATTTTAGTAAGTTATTCTTAACATGTTCATTTTTAAATCTCGTTTTTGATTTTTTTACCCATGAAATATTTTTCAGTTCTATATTTTTTAAATTCTCTTATTATGCTAATATTTGTCATTTCAAAGAGTGAGTTATGTTTGAAAACCAGATTGGTTGCATATTTATTGTAACATTCTGACCTTTATGTATGTAGCTATAATCTGATTATTATTATTACTGTATTGGCATATAAGTCTATTTAATTCAATAATAATCTAGATAGATATAGACATATCTTGATATAGATAGATATCTGTAGCCAAGTCATTATTATTACATGTGAATATATTAGACATATTATATAAATAATGTAACTAATAAAGAAATACAAATTGTGATAGCCTGATATTTTTATTTTAAAATAGTTTGGATGTCTGTTGCGATGGGTGGAGCATCTATATTTATTATCATTCAGTTAATGTTGATTGTTGACTTTGCACATGCATGGACTGATAACTGGTAATTACTTTTTTAAAGTCTTTCTTCTATCATTACTATTTCTAACACTTTAAAAATATTTGTGCTGAACTGAATTAAATGCCATTTATAATCATGACATTTATGACCTGTTTAACCATGAAGTATGTATTACTTAAATAAAGAGAGCATGATATTTGATTTTGCATTGGGAGTTCCCAAACAAGTTATTGTTATGTTTGCATTTAAGCAGTTGTTATCAAGTTTGCTTATAAAGCAATGAAATACTATTATAGAAGTTTAATGACTCAGTTATATTTATAGATGCTACTTAAAAGTGAAAATGACAGATACGTTAATTTCAGAAAAAATAATTACTGTATATTCCAGAGTATAATGAACACTTTTAACACCAAAAATATGATCGAAATTTATGGATGCATGTTACATACTGGATGTAAAAATGATAGATTAAAAATATGGAAAAAATCAGCATACAAGTTACATTTTTACGTGTATTTATGCTGTTTATTTAAAAGAAATACATACCCTTTGAACTTAAAAACTTTTCATTATTGGATAACATGAAAAGTTCATCATGTTCATTTTGCATTATATTATATCTTCAGGCATATCATTGATTTCTATTTACTCTTCACTATCACTGTTACTCGGATCCATAAATAAATAATCATCATCCGTTCCATCTTTCACCAACGCTCAATTTCCTTGCTGCAGCACAATTTCCATTTTCTTTCGCAAGCTGAATGACTTTACATTTTAAACCAGCATTGTTGTTTCATTTGGCAGGAGCCATATTTACTACTAAAAGGAATGCTAGATCAATTGTATTTTAACTAAAACCTTCTGACTTCAAAATCATCAAATGAGTACGGAAGAGAAAACATCTGAATCGTAATTCCGCAAATTCTTTCGGGTTGGAAGTGCATTCTTACTCCAAATTATATCTCCCTTTTCTCAAAATCCTACAATAGTATTCTTTTGGATATTTGCACTGAATACAATGTGCCTTCTTTGCAGGTATATTTACTTAAGCATTTAACCCACACACATATTTTTTCCTTTATTGCTTGTCAGTTTGGTATGCCATTGTTTGAAAGGCTAGGACAAATCTTCAAAAAAGTGACCTCAGAAGGTAAGAGCATTGCACCTGTATCTTTTAGGTTTCTTCGTAAAGAATTGGGTGCATATTATATGGCGAATATACCTAAAAATTAAAAAATATAACTCGAAATTACAGATGCACGTTATACACTGGAAAATAAGGTAATTTGTTTAAATTCAGCTCTTTGTGAAGCATTTTGTGAGTCAGGACATAAACTCATGAATAATAATAATTTTCCAGTTGTAGTGTGAAACTTTAACCGAGAGGTAGAGAGTATAACTGAGAAATCAAAATCTATAATAATGATTACAGGTACTGGTAATCTCTATGAACATTTAAAAAATATTTATTTGATATCAGTTTCTGTGTTTGTTTGTGTATCCTTTCCCCCCTTTTTTTAATTTTATTATGCAAAAATCAAAAGGAGAAAATAATGGAAATAATTCAATCTTGAAGAACACGGTTACAGTAAGAAGAGTTAGACACGGTTAGAATTCACACATGAAAAGTATTCATGGATAAACTACTGGGAATTATCGCAATATTATTTATTTAAAAGAAACAAATATTCCTTGTAAGAATACTTAGTAATATAAATATTAGAATATCTAATTAGATATCCTCATTTATACTTCCCTGAATTTTGAATCTCATCCATTCCTATTGTTGTTTGCCACCCAGCTAGTTTAGTGATTCGTGTCTAACTGCAGTACTGATGGACCTGGGTCCAAATCTTAGAGGATTCTTTAATGTTTGTAAGTGTATAGTCTCTCTATGTTAAGGGAGCACTCAAAATATATGCCAAAAGCACTCTCGAGAGGTTAGCAATAGGGGAAGAGGGGTAAATACGTCATTCAAATTAATATTTTTAGGAATTTAATTTTTTCGCTCTTAGTATCTGATATTAAGAATAACTTATTCACAAACAATTTTTTCTCTCACTGCATCTATTTATGTTCCCTCCTGCTTTAAAATCTTTTCTACTAGATAATTTTTTTTTGCTTATGTGGGCATTGTGATGTGTTCTCTCTTGACATATAAATTTAAATTGCCTTTCAATTTTAATAATATTTTTATAAATCAAAATTAACCACTGTTACAAATGTATCAGAATTTATAGAAATTCTGTAATATATTTTAAGATTGTTTTCGTGTCTTTTATCATGAAAGGTATCTGTATTTTTAAGTGAATAAATTTTGTTACATACGGTACCGTAGCTTATTAAAATCATGTCTGTTCCAAATATATTTGAGTGTGTTAAGTGGCTGAGCTTAATAGATGGTGATGTGTTTATTGCTAATTGTGACATCGGTTTTAAATTTATATAGTAAAATAGGAACTAACAACTGATTGAATAATTCATCCTAAAATAATAATTAAGAATTATTACTGAAATTAAACTGCATACATAATTTTAAAATTTTATATAAAATAGTTTCAGTACTTTGATGAAATTTTTAACTTTTACAAATAATTGATTAAAATTACAAAACAAACACTGTCTGTATTTTCATTTCATATTGTTCATCTACAGTTTTTGAACTGTCTATTCATTTCGTAAAAGAGCTGGTAGCTTATTTGGTCACTTTTCAGTTCAGGTGATTTTTTTCTTTTTTGGAAATTTGCATATGTGCTTAAGATTACTGAACAAATTGTGATTCAGTTCTGATGTACTATATGCATTTGGTTGGATTTTCTAAATTTTAGCTTCTTTGGCTAATTTCATTTTTTAAAATTTTCATACGCTTTTATAATGAGAAAATCCTGAGTAGTGAAGGGAAGCATTTATTTATCAAAGTACTTTTAAATATGATGAAAATAAAGTTTGTAATTAATATACATAGTATTTGCATGAGTAAACATAGTAATGTAAACAAAATTAAATGCAATTATTAACAGATTTAAATTTAACATTTCTTGAATCTTCGTATAAAATAAAAATAAAAAGAAACTGTCTATGGTAAATTCAAGACAACTTAGATCAGATGAAATTTGATAAACTAAATGAAATTTAATTAGAAAAAAAAAGTAATTCAGATGAAGTAAAATTTAAAAACAATTATTCAGAAAGTCATTAGAGGTGGAATTTACCTAATTTAAGTTTCATTAATTCAGTGAATTTCATTTATTCCTGGGAAACATTTTCCTTAGTAAAGACTAAAAGTCAAAAACCAAGAAATGAGAGACTGAAAGATATGAGGATGTGTTGGCATATCATCACTTTCTCCTGTATCATATTCACTAGTTCTTTGTGTAGGTTTTCTGTTCAGTTTTTACTTGTCGTTGCAGTATTGCCCTTAATTAACACTTTCTAAAAATGAAGCCTTTATGGTGGAGTATTTGCATTCTGAGGAGAATATTTATATTTTAACATTTGCATGGTGTTGTATCCATGTTTGCTTCACCGTACCTGTGCACACATGATGTAGTGCAAGTATAAAGCACTTATACTTCACTGTTCCTGCTTGTTCGTAGTCGGCATTTGATGTTGGCTTATCATCATGTATTTAATTTCGTATTTGAATCATCATGTATTATCATCATGTATTTAATTTCGTATTTAATTTCGTATTTAATCTTTTAGACAAAGTTAATTTTTATGGTTTATTTAAGTCTTCAGCTTTCTTTTTAATGAACCATCTGACAAATGAAACAATCTTAATGAAACATCTGAAGTATTATGGCATTAAATCATTGCCACAGCTTCATAAGTTCCCTCGCTAATGTTTGAAACATTGGCTCTTGCTTTCAATTCCTTTGAGGCTTCTACATAAAAGCGACGTTTTTAAGAAATTGAGTCTTTGTATTGACTAATATGCATGGCCTTTATGAGAAGTACTGATATGGTTATCTCCTTCAATATGTTTTTCATAGCATTCAGGTCTGTTTGTCATTTTATGAGTATTTTTTTGTAACAACATTTGAAAGCTTTTATAACACTCTGGTGATAAGGTTGAATATTAAAAGGCATGTTTGCAAAAAGTGACAGTAATGTTTTTCAGGTAGAGATCAGTGAGTTTGCTGCATCGTTATCTAATTAGTAATACTACTTTTTTCATTTGTCAGTTCACTTTCCCATTAAAAAAAAAAAAAAAAACAAAAACAAAACAGAAAAATAGTACTTATCATCTGTCACTTCTAAATACTATCATAAATTAGGGATAAATTCTCGCTTTTCAAACATAAATGCGTTTCTGCTTTTATCTGTTATTACTAGAGCTGTCTTAATTAGCTGTCTAGAGCTGTCTTTAGCAAATTTTGCATCTTTTATAATGAAAAAAATAAATGAGAAAATTTTTTAATTTCATAGCTTGAAACCATTCTAGAAAAATCTTTAGTATTTTTCACTATTTTGTCTTTCTTTGAGATATTTGCATTTTTTAATAATTCATAGTTAGTTTTAATTCTTTGTTTAAGTAAATTATAGAAGTGCTACTTACAAAATTCGTAGTGTAAATATAAATTTTCACGAATAATTGTAATTGTAAATGCAGATGCTTTTTGTTGCACTTACTTAAAACATCAGTATCTTTTCAAATTTTATCATTATGGCCTAAATATTTTCAAAATATTACAAGTTAAACCCACAACAGATTAAAAAAATGCTTCTGCCTGTGATTTATTCAATATCAAAACATGTTTTTATCCAGCAGAAAGTTTGCACTTTGTCTGTTAAGTCGATCTGTCACTTCATAACAAGGGCCATGGCCAATGCTTTCTTTGTTTTGTCTTCAGTATACTGTTATTACTCTTATTCTGTTAAAAAACTATTAATATAATGCAATTAATGATAATGTTAGGAAACAGTTCATGAACTTTTTTGGCAACTTTGTGAGCATGATGTTTATAGAAGGGGAAATTTTCAACCTTAAAAAAAGGAAAATGCAGAAATGTCACTTTCACTTCCTAACAGCTGGTATTCAGAAACACTTATTCATTTACAAAGCTTTTAGAGTAGCTGTGTCCAACTGATGGCTCATGGGTATCTGGTAGCTCACAATCCTATCTTTAAGGCATCCGTCAGCCACAATCACAATACTGCCATGAGATGAAAACTTTAATCCTAATGTAAAAAACATACAATTACACATAATGTACAGGGGTATTGCATATTTATGTTTACCTACTCTTGTGTTAGTGTCTTTGCTTTTTCCTGGGTCTGTGGTTTTAACTGTATGGCTGATCAGGTGTAGAGTGCCTGAACAGAAGCCTTGTTCGATACTGGTGGCACTGCTTGCTTCCACAAACAGTGAATTGTCCATCTGACCATAATCAGTTTGGTCAAAATAAATTGATAAAAGTTTGCAGTAGTGGCTGCCAAACTGTACTGTTTCTGCAAGTTTTAAACAAAAATTTTAATTATTTCATATATTTTTTGGTGTGCTTGTTGACATGAGTGATGTGTCAGGCCTCTCGAAGAGAAAGAAAACTTACCATTTAAACCATGAATAGGAGGAAGAGCTGTTATGTACAAATGCATAATAAACAATGAAAAAGCAATTTGGTTATTATGGTATGCTTGAGTAGTGGTACAAAAGTGATCTAATGCTGAGCGTTATCATAAAACTGTTCATAAGAATTTCAATGATAAATATCCACTCATTGTCTGCTTTACGTAGACATAGAGTTCAGTCATTGAAATCTTCTCTAAAAGCTCTACAAAGGAGTCTTATTTTAGTTTAAAAAATGAAGTATCCCTCAAAATAAGTTACATTCTTGCATCATATAAAAAGGCATATTCAGGTGGGGCCATTGCGAAGGAAGCTATATTGTCAATATCAGAGTCTTTATTTCCTGAATTTAAAAACAAAAATCACAGCTATAAAAGATGTGCCTCTCTCATGAAACATAATAGCAGAATGAATGCACAATATAACAAACAACATTTATGTATAAATGAGATCTGATTTTGAAAAATTACTGTTTTTTTCCTGCAGTTTCATGAATCCATCTGATGTTAACTGACTCACAGCAACTTCTGATGTTCACGAGAATGGTGTTTCCTGACTTCTTTGTGAAAGAAGCATTTTTGTATGCTTCTTTGGCAAAACAAAATTAGACTTTGGCAAACCCAGTTGGGTTTCACAGAATTCCCTTCAGAAAAACACAATTGGAAATAGACATAATAGAAGTGACTTCTGAAAAAATTTGTAGTATTGACTAATTGGAGGTTGAATCAGAGATTATTACCCTTCTTACTGATCCTTCACTCAGAAACACAAAATTAAAAATAATTTCTATATTCAGAAACACAGAAAATTAAATTAATGGACCCTATTAAATACAAAAACATGTTTAAGTGTGCACTAACAGTGAAAGCATTTTTTGAGTCAACATATGTCTGTGAGCAGGCTTCTTTGCAACTTAAAATAATAAAAAAGCAAGTATTGTTTGACCGCCTCATCTGCGACCATGAGTGCAAATACACATGCGCCATTCGGACCGAATTATTCTCAAAATAGGGTAAAAGGACTTTCTTTCTCTCTAGTATATCTCTTTCCAGAAATGAGAAGATTTTCACGTGATTTTTCATGTTGCAGCAAGTAATAATGCTCCTTTTGGACAAGTCTATGTGTTTTGGCAGAATGCCAACCAGGGCTGTGTTTGAGACGGTCGAACTGTACAAAAATATGTTGACTCCTGAGCATGTGAAAAATAGTATGGTGTTGGCATACTGTGTATCAGAATATATGCCAGATTTTAATAAATTGCCAGAAAATAATCAAATATCTCATTAATAACAAGTTAATGACTTAATGAAATATTTGACAATTTAACATTTGTATTTTCTTGTATTAGTAATTAATTCATTAGTATGCACTTTGCTTTCTAATTTGAAATGAAGTTAGTTTGAATGTATACTACATTTGCCCTGTAATTGTTATTTAAATATACAGGGTTTGTCTGGAAAGTAGTAGGACTGAATTTTTAGGAAAAAATTATTCCAAATTTTGACAGTAATAATTTTCAAAATATGTCCCTTGTGCATCAACACAGCATTTCCAGTGACTCTGCCAATCATTGAAGGCTCCCTGGATACAGAAACTGGAATTCTCTTCAGCTCCCTTGTTATGGCCTCTTGAATGGCTTGGACCGAGCCGTGGTGCCTTCCTTTCATGACCTTTTTTAGTCTGGAGAAAAGGAAGAAGTCTGAAGAAGCGACATTTAGGTCATGGCATGCCTAGGGAAGTTGTGTGATGCCATGTTTGGTCAAGAAGTCTATGGAAGCAAAGGCAATGTGGTTCAGCACATTGTTGTGATGAAACCTCCATGATCCAGCAATTGCTGGACAGATGTGACTACTTTTCTGAATCTGAGGTGGTCAGAATTTAGAAGATTTTGCAATTTCACTAAGTTTTTGTCACTTTTTGCCGTTGAAGGTGTCCTGACCGTTACTACTCATCTTCAACTTGCTCTCTTCCCTCCCCAAACAATTTGTGCCACTCCAAAACCTGTGATAGACCCATGTCTTCACTTTCATAAACAGTCTTGATCATGTCATGGATCTCACTTGCAGTTTTACCCTGTTTTACCCTTCCCTTCAGCACGTAATTCTGCTCTAATAAATGATTCATTATAGAGATGACAAGGCACCTTGAAAGGGGTTCACCTGAAACACAATCTACACTCTGTGAAGGCTTGAAGATGACTGCTGTGCTGGTACCACCAGCCAACCAGCCCAGTTTCACCACGTTTTGGTGGGAAAAAATCAGTCCTAATATTTCCCGGACAAACCCTGTAAATTTTAAGTCTCTCCAACACTGCCTTCCCACGACATGATTTCAAACATTGTTTTTGTTAACTAAAATTATTTTCTCTAGGTTACGTAGAGTATCAGATGGTGGAAGCAGATGCTGGTTTGTTGGTAAGAAATTTTGCTTTTTAAAATATGTTATGAATTTAGATGAATGCAAAATTAAATAATATAATTCCTCATAATTCACAAAATGTGGTGGCTTTGCTTTCTGGTAAATTATTCAACTTTTATTGTTATTTGATATTTATATAAAAATTTTAATTGTTAATTATTAAGGAACTGTTGTATGAAGTTATATAAATAATTTACAAATTTGTTCAGAAAGTGTTTTATTACATTAAAAGGAATAATGTTGGCATTTTACTAAACTGATGATTTTCCCAATGTTTTTAATGGGACATTTAAGTGAATATTTCAATGAATAAAAATTTTAAAATTTCAAGATTAAACTATGTTATCTCTGATTGCAGTATTCAAGGAACTGTAATAGGGCAGCTTTAAGTAGCAGTTCAATTTTATAGCTTACCCGAAACCATTTCTTGGAATTAGAATCATTTCTGGAGTATATTTTAAAGTGCTTTTGTCCTAAATTGTTTTACTTCCCTGGATAATGCTGTTTCCTTTTCCAAGCATTGTCTGCTGTATTTCAACACTAATAAAAACTATTTGAAGTTTATAATTTTATATACTATTTTGACTGAATGAGATCAAATTGTAATTGTTACTTGAGTTAACTGCTTGAGGAATGGAACTGTTGGAGTATTGATTTTTCAATCACATAATAATTAACCAATATAACATTATATGAAATTGTAATAAGGTCTTTTTTTGAATTAATAATATGAAAATTAAGAATATATTTAAAATTTTATGTGCATGTTTCTTAAATATCTGAGAAAAGAATAAGTTTGCTTCATCTTACATCATATGTATGGTTAAGCTATTAAAAAAGTAGTACAGTACAAAGTCCATAATCTCTGCACATCCATTATCCGGAGTGATCTATAATCCGGACCTCAATGCCACAAATTTACGCATGCGCGTAAAGCCAGTAAAGCATTTACTCGTGCACGCTTCCGATAGTGAAGAAAGTAACAGAGAACGTTATTGAAAACGAAAAAATTTCAATTGACAAGTTAGTCATATTCTTGACACAGCAATTACAGGACTTGACCAGTGGAACTTTGTAACTGAACAAGAAATTATGTCTGTTTACAGAATTATAGAGAAAGTATTAGCACATAAAACGAAGCAACTTAAACAACTTACATTGAAAGAAATGTTTAATAAAGTAAACAAATAAATATTAAGCTTTTTTTTTTGTAAATTTTGATACCCTTTAGATCATAATTGCTCTTTATTTCATAATTTATGGTTTCATATTTTTAATTATATAATTTCTGCATGCCATCTTACCAGATTTAAATTGATGACAGGGTTGCCACGCTACCTGGAAAACCGGGGGAACCGGAAAAAGTCAGGAAATTCGAAAATTGACCAAAAAATTCAGGGAATTTAAGTATTTTTGTCAAAAATCTGGAAAAGTCAGGGAATTTCTTACAACGATCCCGCCAAAAAAAGCGATTTTTGCGCCGACGTCGGAAGAGATAACTTTTTTGGCAAATTGTGTATCACGTGAGTGTCATTCGGGCAGCTGGTATAGAGCCAGTTTTCGCAGCTCCAATTTGATTGTCTTTTAGAAAGGCAAAGCAAGTTTCCCGCAACTTTTGGTTTCCAGTATTCTTGAGAATCGCATGTCCAGTGCATGAACTAAAGAAAGCACCTGTTCTCGTAGAAAACAAAATGGGTTTTATCCTAGTATACGGTACCATGGAGGTTAGAATCAAAGAATATGTATTGTAATGAAGGAAAACCTCTGTGCAACAGACGTGGCTCCATTCCATCATAGAGGGAAACAGCTGTGCTTGCGTGATATATCTGTCGCCAAAGCTTGAAACTGGTGTCGAAGTTCGAAGGTCACGTTATCAAGAGTTCATAAAATGAATATCGTTTAAAATTTCTTTAACCACTTGCGCTAAAAAGACGTGCCACGCACGTCAAGATGCTTTTGTCTCAAACCTGCGAGCAATGTGAACACCACGTCGATAAGCATTTATCACAAAAATGAAAATAACGTGGTGCACACGTCACCTAACAACGAGTTTGTTTATTTCTCGAGTTACAGTTCTGGATTGCACTCGCAGATGCAGAGCGGCATAAATGAGACACTTTACCGCTTGTTATATTGTAGCGCACGGCACCGCAACCGTGAAGTTTAGTCTTAGCGCAAGTGGTTAAACTCTAAAGGAAAAGAAAATATGTTTTGGCACAAGTAATTTAATTCATGTATTAGTTATTTTCAGGGGAAAAAAAACTACGAAAAACAGTTTTTAAAATTATTGCGAAAAATCCAAGAAGAAATGTCCTTTGATAAAACGTTTCTTCTTGGATTTTTCGCAATAATTTAAAAATGGATTTTCGTAGTTTCTTTTTTGTCAAAGAACGTTTCTTCTTAACACGAGTTTCTCAATTTTCTGTACACATCACAGAGAGGGAAATTCTGGCCACCAGGTTCCGTCGCCAAATCCCTTGGCAAATTTTCCCTCCGCATTCTAGCAGCGTAATAGCATTTTACTTGTATGGAACCTTTTCTTCTTTACATAGACGTTCTTTGGTTAGAATAATCTCCATGTATATGGTACAATGGGATTTGGCGACATGATGATGCGCAGTAAATGGGTCATTTTGGTCTTGGCGACAATTTTTAAAATTGTGCCAAGGCCTTACCGTATACTAGAATTTTACCGCAAAATCTTTTTAAACCTTTTTTTTTTTTCTTTTAAATAAATACCTTGCCATTTTGCAATAAAATAAAAAAATAGGGTACTATTCGGTTTCGAGGGCTGTAAAAAGTCGCCAAATTATCGTTGATGCCAATGCTGACAAAAAGAATTGCGGCAACCCTAATAATTGCGACAAGAAAGGAAGTATAATAGTAAGTAACTATCTAAGATTGATGTTTTAATTTAGATGAAAGGTTAATTTCATATAATACTTTTTTTTTTTTTATTATTATAATTTATATGAAAAAGGCTAAACTGACTGAATGGAAGCATAAGAGTAAATAACTATTTCAGATCATTATTATAATTTATATAAAAATTGCCAAACATAACTGAATTGATGCCTGCATCTCTATTTCGCTACCAACTTATTGCTAAAGCATAATTTCATCTCGTTGGTTGTTCAAACGTAATTTTCTATAATGAATGATGCCTTTTCTTTGAAAATATTCTCGGTAAAGTGCAGATTTGCTCACTTATTTGTTTGCCGCTTTTTACAAGGGTAAAAACATTTGAATTTTTGTCAATTTTCTTTTACTTTTTAAGTGAAAATAGCTCGATGTGTACATAGATAAAGTCAAGGGTGTGTGCAGTGCCATTTTTGTGCAATTTTGGATTTTTTTTTTAAAGTGAAAAGAAGTCGATGTGCACATGGATACCGAGTATTGGAATTCTTAAAAATGCTTCAAGCAGTGGATGATTCTGTACTTTACCCAAAATTCTATTGCCGACTTTTCGTCATGGGCAATTCTCAAATTGTTAAATCCATAGGATATCAAAAAAGGATTTTAAAATTAAACTAGTATTTCAATGGCGTCTTAAGAAATATAGAACTATATAAACTTATGCAATCTGAAATCAGCGCGTGTGCTAGATTTGGCGCGCTGTTAAATGGGCGCGTTTGCTAGATCCTCAAAACAGAATAGTACCAAAAATAGTTATCAGTCATCTAGGCTAACCATGTAATATAACTATATTCGCTAAAATATCGTTGATTATTCTAATTACATTTTTAAGTAATTATCTTTATTTTTATGTTATTCGTATAATTTAATGTTGCTTCTTCCCTCTAAATTTATTTATTATTAGTAAATAATATTTCCAAATTTCAGAAAATTTTCTCTGGCATAATCCTGAAATTAATTCTAACAGTATGATGACATACCATCACGAAATTTAATGCACATATTTTTTCCTTATGTATGCTGCAAAATAAATATAAAATACTTCAATTTATTAAAATAGATTTCTTTCTTTCGTTTAGCTGCAAAATGTCTGCAAAAAAAGCCTTATTTTCAGAGGTGTTTGTGCTCCAAGGAAACCCTGGAATTCCGGGGATTTTGAACTTCGATATCCGGAAATTCCGGGGATCGTCGTTCAAAAGGAAATAGGAATAATAATGAATTATTTATTTTGATCTGGGTAATTTTGTTTGCTTTGAAAGCAGAAAACGCAAGGTCAGTGTGTGTGGTGAAAACTTTTCCTTTCTTTCTCCAAAGCAGTGATAATGTGTGAAAAGGGGGGAAAAACTTCTTTTTTGTTCTTTCCTTATTGCGAGTTATGACTCATTCCCCCGGTTCTCGGACATTCTCTACTGGATTCTTTTCGGCAAGTAGACGCAGCAGAAAAAAAAGGGAGAGACTTCGTTCGACCAGATGTGCGATCACGTGACTCTGGGTTCAAAGGTCTTATTTCTCCTGGCGTGGCGCCAATAAGTAGAGAAAGGGGATTTTTCGCCATATTAGCTATTTGTCATTGCTACGCTGTGTAAAACTTTCGTTTCATTTATTGATGCACGTGTAAATTTTTCGTTTCGTTTATTAAAATATTTTTTTATTTATGTACGCAAGAGAATTTCACTATGAAATTTCTCGATATAAATAGTGATATTATACAATTAGAAGAAGGTGTCCGGAATGCATTTAGGTGGAATTGGATTGAACGGAGAGATGGTAATGGGGATACCATCGGCACATGGTGCAAGAAAATAAATGTTGCTAGACAAGCATATTGTGTTTTTTGTAACTCACTGCTGAAGTATGGTGGGAGGAAGGATTCAAGGCTTTCACAAATCATTCTAAAACTGTGACGCACATAAAATATTCAAAGTGCATTAGACATTCAATGACTTTAAGTAATTATGCTAATTCAAAAAATACTGATGACTTACTGGAGACTGATGCTCGGCCATTGGATATAGTGACAAGAAAAGCACGCCAAGAGGTATTAATAACTTCGTTTATCACCGAGAATTCTCTTTCTTTCAATGTAGCTCCCAATTTAATTGAACTCTGCAAACAGTTGAGCCGCGATCAGACGGCACTAAACTCATTGGAAATGTCCAGGACTACTGCATGTTATAAGATGAAATATGGGCTCGCAAAAACTATTAAGGAAAATATCATTAAAACTTTAAAGGAGACTCCATTTTCTCTAAATTTGGATGAAAGTACTAGCAATGCTCAAGAAAGTATACTGGCAATATTGGTACAGTTTTAATGCAACAATCAAAATGAAGTTGTAGTTCATCATTTTGCATCTCTAAAGATGGAATCTTGCAATTCAGAAGCTGTTTTTAAAGCAGTTGTTAATACTATTGAAGATAATAATATTCCATGGGCAGACTTAATTAGTGTATTAATGGACTCAGGTAACACCATGCGTGGAAAAAAAAAGGGTGTTGAAACCAGACTACGATCAAACAAAGCACCCCACTTATTAGATATTGATGGTGACACATGTCACACAGCCAATAACTGTGCAAAAAAATTTGCTTCATGTTTTGATAGATAGTTAGAAGATTTGTTTGATGACATCTATTTTGATATGAAAAGCTGCAGTAAAAGAGAAAATTTTTTCAAAATCTGCGAATCCCTTGCCATTAAAAAACTTAAGCCTGTACATTTTATGTGTTTTAGAAAGAATCAAAGATCTGTAGGATGCTCTTATTGCATTTTATTTTTACTACTTTTTTAAAACTGATAAAGGGGATTATTTTTCTTATGTTGAAACTGTATACAATAAAAGAAATATTTCTGCAGCTCAGAAAAAAATTGTTGAAGGGGTATATTCTTGCTTGCATTCCCAACAACTCACAAAGGATGCTTTAGCTCGGAAAAAAAGAATACTAAATGGGTTATTTGTTATGCAAAACAAAACTTTATTGCATATGGCATTATATTCAGCAGTATTATCAGAGTTCAACACATATATTAAATTATTTGAAACAAAAAAACCAATGCTTCATTTAATACATTCCAGTATTTATAAATTGATGGCAAAATTTTTCTCTTTTTTTTATGAAGCCAGAAAATATAGAGTGCACATCTTATAATGATTTATTAAAGGTTGATGTCACAAATCCAGAATTCCATCTACCTAGCAAAGTAATAGTTACTGGTGCAGAAGCTTCCACTCTCCTGAAGAAATTATCAAAAAAATCATCTAATAGCAAAAGAATTCCAAATTTCTCTGATGAAAGCTTATACTAATACAGAACAGCATATGAAACAGAAATTACCCCTTAAAATTCATATCTAATTAGTTTTACAGCATTAGATCCAGAGCTAAGAGGTAAAACCAGTACAATATTAGCTTTTGAAAAATTATAATCTTTTATGTCCCATATTTTTAGTGATGATGAAAAGTCAAAAGTAGAAGCTGAAATAAGGTTATACCAGAGTGATATTGATATCACCAAAGAAATGCTCTACACATCTGATGAAAGTGGAAATCAAGTCAAGTGTACAATTGATAAATATTGGCCTAAAGTTTTTAATTTAAAAGATGATTTCACAAATGATTATAAGTATCGTACATTGGCTAAATTGGTCAAAGCCTGCCTTAGCTGCTTCCATGGCCCATTAGTGGAAAGTGCATTCAACTTAATGGATACACTTGTCACTGACTATAGAACCTCTATTAAGATTGATTCCGTAGATGCAGTGCAGACTATTAAAATATGATTTAATGGCTTCTAAAGAAACCTCATGTGAAAAATATGGCTCAAAAAATCCAATGACTGATCCAATTCACAAAGATCTCTTACTGAATATGAACAGAAGTTGAAAAACATATCAAGAGGACTTAAAAACATGTATTTCAGATGAGTCACCTATAAAAGTCTCTGAAAAACCTTCTACATTAGCAGAAAAGCAAACTGCTTCTACCTCTGCATGTGCAGTTCTCGAGGAAATTTCTTCAACTGTAAATGAGGAAAATAAAAGTCAACCTTCCTGCAATTGTGAAGTTCACCACAAAAGAAAGACAAGCCCACAAACATCAGAAAATAAAAAAAAAGTGGCAGAAATTAGATAATTTTTTTTTATTATTAATTTAGGTAATTTAAAATATTTACATAAAAATGTAGTAGTTTATATGTTTGAAAATTTATGGTTATTAATTTTGCAAAAAAAGTAATTCATTGAACTTTTATAATTAGGCCATTCAATACTTCATAATTGTAATTTTTCATTTCTCTCCCCCCCCCTTCTTGAAACTCCAAAATGTCGGTAGTAAGTCCGTAAAAGTTTCAGGGGATTTTTTGGGGTCCCACAAACACCCCTGTATTTTATTCCAGATTGGGAAGATTCTAATCTCAATCTTCAGTGGAGAAAACAACAACTATTATAATTATATTTGTGTTTTCAAGTGTTAAGGTGCCTTTTAAGAACATACCTTACACAAATTAAATTTACCTAAAATCTAACCTAACTATTTAGCATTGTGTTGTGATTTATAAGGACCGGATTAGCCTCTTATTGAACTGGTGATTATCATGAGTAATAATTAAATAAAACATACATTTGTTATCCAATGTATATATCTCAAATTTTATTTTCTTAAGTGGAAAAGTAAACAAAATTATCAAGCAAAGTATACCAAGAACAATTAAGAATAAATGTCCTCTGGGATTTATTGAATAATTAAGTGAATTTGCTACAAAATACAAGTAATACCATAATTAATTTACCTCTTAGCACAGCCAACGTACATTACGCGGATAGACTGGAATTTTCTTGAAACACACCTGGAAAACCTAGAAAAGTCAGGGAATTTCATTCTCCTGTTTGAGTGGCAACCCTGTGATGATCTGTAATTCGGAAAAACCCCTAATCCAGAATCGCCGAAGTCCCGACGAGTCCGGAATACGGACTTTGTACAGTGTATAAAATTGACTCATGTGAATCTCAAATAATGGAAGTAAGCCATTAAGTAAACTTTATAAGTTGACTTCGTTTGTATTTATCATTTCTGTTAAAAAATATAATAATATACTTGTTTAGAATTAGGAATAACACATGACTATTATGATATATAAATAATTAAATTTAAACACAAAAGTTAATATTACTTGTTTCGAATTAGGAATAACACATTCCTAATTATGACATATAATAAAGAAATTTAACACATCAAATTTTTGTATTGCTGTTTGTAATTCGGAAAAACCCCTAATCCAGAATCGCCGAAGTCCCGACGAGTCCGGAATACGGACTTTGTACAGTGTATAAAATTGACTCATGTGAATCTCAAATAATGGAAGTAAGCCATTAAGTAAACTTTATAAGTTGACTTCGTTTGTATTTATCATTTCTGTTAAAAAATATAATAATATACTTGTTTAGAATTAGGAATAACACATGACTATTATGATATATAAATAATTAAATTTAAACACAAAAGTTAATATTACTTGTTTCGAATTAGGAATAACACATTCCTAATTATGACATATAAATAAAGAAATTTAACACATCAAATTTTGTATTGCTGTTTGTAATTCGGAAAAACCCCTAATCCAGAATCGCCGAAGTCCCGACGAGTCCGGAATACGGACTTTGTACAGTGTATAAAATTGACTCATGTGAATCTCAAATAATGGAAGTAAGCCATTAAGTAAACTTTATAAGTTGACTTCGTTTGTATTTATCATTTCTGTTAAAAAATATAATAATATACTTGTTTAGAATTAGGAATAACACATGACTATTATGATATATAAATAATTAAATTTAAACACAAAAGTTAATATTACTTGTTTCGAATTAGGAATAACACATTCCTAATTATGACATATAAATAAAGAAATTTAACACATCAAATTTTGTATTGCTGTTAATGAGATTTCAGTGATTAGGAGATGGAGTTGCTTTATTATCATGTGAAGAATCTTTTCATAGTCAATCGTTTCACTTTAGGTCCATTAATTACAATAAAATGAATTTGACATTAGAACTAAGCATAATTGCTGACTATATTTTTCTCCATAACCACTATCTTCCCTTTAACCATCTTTCCTAAGGTAACTGTCATAATGTTGAATTTCCGAGTATTCAGTTAATTTTTGAATGTGTTTTGTCAGAGCATGATAACATCCTTGAACAATTTTAGAACTTCCAATTTCATAATCTCATCCAGTTTCTCAAGAATAAAAATTAAAAGTTAAATAATGTATATATTGTTTAAATCAGTCAATCCTTTTATTGTACAGACAATGGCTGTACTTGTATTCAATAATATAACTACTCAGTATAATGTCTTCTAGAGGAGTTTAATCTCTTTCTGCTTGTCTATATTCTGTTTATATAGTGTTACAAAGATGATACATAGCTAAATTATGAATTATTATTTTAAAAAAATTTTAGCAATGGTGTTTTGTTCTATGGTTATATACACTGCAGTCATCATTGGAATTGTAATGATAGCTCAGAACTACACAAGAGCTGAAGGGTGCACAACTAATAAAATATTCATTGGAATAAATGGATGCCTATGCCTTTTATGTTCTTTCATATCAGTTATGCCATGTGTTGAAAAAAGTAAGTTTATAGTTTGATCATTTTAATTGAGTATGAATTATATATATAAGCATCATAATTTCAGAAAACTGAATTACTAGTTATGCTTTTCTCCTTTAACTCTTTTTCCTTTATGTGTCCATTTTTTTCTTTTTTTACTTCCTTGTTTCATAAGGGAAAGCGTAATAAAAGGGCCCTTTATTACTTTTGATTTTTCAATATCACATTTCTGCAAGGTATTTACAATTTATAAAAATATGAAAAATTAATTAAAAATATGTATGTGATTGTTTTAATTTAACCAAATACATTAACTCTCTCATTTGTATCCCGTGATTTCCATGGGCAGCGTAGAATGGGAAGTAGAAGAATTTGTGCGACTCGCGATTTCTGCGGGAATGCATTTTTTCCGTCTGTTTAACTGTGCAACTCGCTCTTTACATGTTCATGGTTTATTTCACCTTTTCTTTGATGTTTAATTATTTATCCAGATCTAGGTTAACAGACGGCATTTTTTGTCCATATTGCTGGGAAATAGACTAGCATGTTTTGCACCATATTGTGTGCTCTTTTCAAAGCTCAAGACTGTAGTTCAACCCTCAATCCCATACAACTAACTACTCGAAAAGCCTCATAGGCAATGTGCATTTTATTGCTTAAAAAAAAAAAAAGAAAAAACTGAAAGGTTTCAGATTTTAAATTATGTCCAAAGGGGCCTTTTTGTAACATTTTGTCTGTTACCTTTACTTATTAAATATCACGTTCCTCACACTTAAACCATAAAATTCAGTTCAAGAGCAATAATGCAAAATAGTTTTCAATTGAGCATATCTCTCGAATTTCCGATACAGAGTATTGCACGTTGGAGATTTTCTGTACAACGTTGCCATTGCTCGCTTTGAAATCCTTGAGTTTGTTAATTAAAAATTTGTTAAAGTTTTACAAAATATAAAATCGATAATAAAACAAATTTCAAATTTGGGCTTCCACATGTTCATATTTGCAGTAGGATTACATCATTCAAAATTCGATGGCTGTAGGTGCCATTATTTTATCACAGTGCAAGAAATATATATACATTTATGCAGATTTTTCATTATTTAATTTCTTCAAATATAATGCAGGACTCTAACATCTGGTGGCAACAGTTTGAAAAGTGAAACGGATATTTATAGTGAACCAATGCAAATTCTCAAAATGAAAACAATAATCTTTAAGGGACAAATTAACAACCTTTAGACATTGAAAAAAAAAAAAAAAAAACCTGAAACTGGCAAAAAAAATTTACAAAGAAACACAAATTTGGTGCAGAGATTGCTATGTAGAGCTTTGCCTCGAGCCTTGTTTCGAACTTTATCATACTAAATTTTATTTCTAATAAATGTTTTGTAAGTATTTTGCATATTTTCATTAGTACATACATCTTACCTTTATAGTTTCAAAATAAATCATAATTTAACCAACATTAATTTTCAGAATTTTGCTTTTGTATGATTATTCTTCAGTTTCACTTTTCTGACAAACTTTTTTTCCAATGATCTAATATATTGGAAAAAAAAAAAACTCTTTTACAAAAAATTTTTGCAAATTTCAACTTTAAAATGTATGTAGATTTGAAAAATGTAATAAAAATATGTAATTTTTGAACCTATTTTAATAAAAATTAGGCGGCAAAAGGGTTAATAGAAAAATCATATTTAAAATAAATGTACAAAGCTGTAAATCTGTGTACATTACCGCTGGAAGTGTGTCTTCTAAATCTGTTTTGATTTTAATATATATATGTCATAATAAAATCACAAGAAAATGACGGAGCACTGTAGATGCGTAGTTATCCTATATTGAAGAGGAAGTAATCTGATTGCGTCGTAAGCTAATGTGTTGACTTCGTAAATAAAACTTGGCAGTAGAAGCGATTTTAATTCCATTTTTATTTGCAGTTGATATTTGTAGCCACAATCACTTGGCACTCTAGTCGTGCCTTTCCACAGAAGATTTACATTTTTGATATTTTTGAGATAGAAAGCAAGCCAGCGAAATTACATCTTAGCACAGCAGAGAGCAAAAGCTGAAGTGCGTAGTTATGCAAGACGGAGGCACGCGAAGAGAAAAGTTTTGGTTTACAAGGACAGTTTCAGTTCCCAATGATTACGTCATCAGAGCTGCGCCGATCATAGAGTGATCTAGAAATGACGCAATGCAAAGAAGTTATTACAATTTTAGAATAGAGAGGAAGAAATAATGTTTATAGTTTAATCTATAATTTTGATTCATATATTTTTATCTTACATATTCCCCCCTTCAAAAAGAAAAAGGCGTAGCGACAGGGAAGCCTTTTTAAAGAAAAAGAGTTAAAGCACAAGCAAATTAAAAAAAATATAAATAAATAATAAAATTTTGATCCTGTAAAGTATTATTTATAAATATCAATTTTTTTTTAAAAAAATAGATTCTTAATTTTTAGAGTCCTATTGAATTTTTCAGCATTTCAGTTCAAAAGTCTTTTTGTTTGAGAGTTCACATAATCATAATTCTTCAGGGAAGGTTCTTGTTAACACAGAATATCACAAAATATACTTTTACATAACCATTACTTATAATTAAATGTAATGCACATAAATATTTATGATACTTACTTCTATACTGATAAATTATAATTTAACATCATAAATAATAGGATTAATATTTTCAGAATTTATGGTTTCACCGTTATCATCTTTCATTTACAATTCCTGATTTTACCAAACTGGGAGCCTCGCAATACTTCTAAACAAACATATCCATCAATAGGGCTGTCCTCTTGAGCTAACCAGTGTGTTCTATGCACTGGTGACCCAGGGTGCCTAGATAGTTACTTGAAAAGGCCTCATTTCCTTGCATTAAGGTAACTAGCCTTTGAGAACTGCACTAATACATTCCATAATAAAAAATATAATAATAATAACAATAATAATAATATAAAAAATTTACATGCATTCTTAAAATGAGAGCCTCCAACATTATCTTACTTGAAGAGTGTTAAGGGAACAACTGTACAGAGGTAATTACAGGCCTCTGCTTAAGAACCCAGTACTCCGTCGACATACACTATACTTAACGTACAATCACCCATAAATTTAACATGCATTTAGCATAATTTCATATTACATATCTGTAATAATTTCACTTATTTTTTACACCTTTATTTTTAGAATAATTATAAAATTCGTATTCAAAATTCTCAACCAAATTTCGAAAACACAAAAACTTATCTTAATATCCTACCCTATGAATAATTTAAATAGCTTAAAATTCGTTACTTAATTTGCTCACACATAATTATGAAAAATTAGAAAAATTAATGAACAAGAATTTCAGATTTTTTCAAAACAAATTGCAGAAATTTTAACCAAAGTTGAAATGAAAACTATAGAATCCACAGCACATTAAATAATTTAGTTCCTGAGCTAAATTCACACGAATGTAATAAATTTTGAGCTGTTGAAAAAGCAGAAGTGCAAATAATTTTCTGTCGCACATACTTGCAAACACTAACTCATCGACCTTGAACCAGCTGTAATGCTTAATTCCTAAACAGTAATTCACTGATGATTTCCTTTTCACTAGGCACTCGAACTTCTCAATTTATCGAGAGATTACTTTCAGTATAGAAAAACTACGCGTGATGATTTTTTTGAAGCACTTGCAAAACACCATAGCAGAAGAAGGAATTGTTATTTTTAAAACACTTTAAAAACAAATTTGATGGTTCACTTCTTTCACATTATCTTGGATTTATCACAAAACAATGATTTGAAGAGCTGAATTAAATTTTCCATTGAGGTTTCAGGCTGCAGGAAACTATCCTTACCGGCTTAATTGTCATAATAAAATCACAAGAAAATGACGGAGCACTGTAGATGCGTAGTTATCCTATATTGAAGAGGAAGTAATCTGATTGCGTCGTAAGCTAATGTGTTGACTTCGTAAATAAAACTTGGCAGTAGAAGCGATTTTAATTCCATTTTTATTTGCAGTTGATATTTGTGGCCACAATCACTTGGCACTCTAGTCGTGCCTTTCCACAGAAGATTTACATTTTTGATATTTTTGAGATAGAAAGCAAGCCAGCGAAATTACATCTTAGCACAGTAGAGAGCAAAAGCTGAAGTGCGTAGTTATGCAAGATGGAGGCACACGAAGAGAAAAGTTTTGGTTTACAAGGACAGTTTCAGTTCCCAATGATTACATCATCAGAGCTGCGCCGATCATAGAGTGATCTAGAAATGACGCAGTGCAAAGAAGTTATTACGATTTTAGAATAGAGAGGAAAAATTAATGTTTATAGTTTAATCTATAATTTTGATTCATATATTTTTATCTTACACACACATATATATATAAAACTAAAACTGGCCAAAAAATTCACAAAGAAATGCAAATTTGGTGCAGAGATTGCTTGGTAGGGCTTTGCCTTGTTTCGAACTTTATCATAGATAGTAGGATACAAACATTTGTTACACAATAACAAAGCTGCATGTTAGCACACTCATCTTAGTTTTGAATTCAGAAGCAAAAGTGGGAGACTCATTCGGGCTCTCTCATCTAATGCTCTCATGCAAATGAATGATTTCAATTGCTCTGTGGCTACTCAGCAAAATAAACCTCATGCTCGTGACAGGAGAGATTAGTTTTATTTATGTTAACTATTTATGTCTTTTTAAGGTAGCATGAGTACATAAATGTTTGCTTTAAGCATTTTCTTATTAGATTATATAGTTTCAATCTATTACTATTCAGTTTTTTCCAATTATGACTGTAGACGTTTTACAATTTTATTAGTAATTGGCATATTAGTAACACATTTTTCAATGTTATATTTTAATTTTTTTAAACATAACGATGGCAGGTGTATTTGTAGAATTTTTGAGTATATAAGCTGACATCTGTTTTGCAATTTTTTGTCAGTTTTGCAAATGGAGGTAATAATATACATCTTGGTGCTCCAATACTGCAATACTTATGTTTTTTCTAGCTCTTTTTATGATTTAAAAAATAACACTAAAGTTTTAAATCTTCAAAATGTATGAATTACTTTAGATATTACCTCTAAATGTTAATTCATTATGTTAGAAACTAAAAATACTGAAAAATATTACGGTTGTGTCGTGAACAAATTTAAGCTACACTTTTTCTTTTCATATTTTTAAGGCATAAAAATTAGGTTGTGGCTTAAATCAAAGTGAATATGTTGACATCTTATTTCTGTCATTCTGCTACTCCTCAACAATCAGATCATTTTAAAAATGTTGCATTACTAATGATTCAAATGACACTGAAGATTATGTGTTCTGCAGTAGTGAAGAAGGGAGTTCAAGTTGTGAAAGTGAAGATGTCAAAAATTATAGTTTGTATGAAGAAGTTTCTCTATAAATTAGATGGCTTATTTTATTTATGCTAGGAGCCAAAATATTTTTTATTTTTCAGTAAACATTATAAAATAATTTTTTATTTATGTAAAAATAATTTTTATTTATTATTTTTCCAGTTTTTCAATTTTAAAATCATTCGGGGCAGGTGGCTATTTTTAATTATGTTTTCCAGTTTTAAAATCCATACTGCAGCTTAAATTTGAAGCAGAATTGTATTTTCAAAATGGTTTTGAATGCTGAAGACATGTACTGTTACACCATGCTATTCTTAAATATTTTCCACTTGTGACACTAAGAATTTTGTTTTTTATGGCAGTAACTTTATTTGAAATTGATTTATGTAGCTGGACACAAACTAAATTTTAGTTTAATTATCTCTTTTTCAATTTATTTGATAATCTGTAACATTTTAATATTACTTAGACATTTTATTTAAATATTTCACTACTAGTTCTTGACTATATGAAATGCATAGATTCCAAGTTAGTGGCAAGTTTAATAAATGAATGAACCTTAACAATTCAGTCTGTAAATACTGTTAAATTCTGTAATTTGTTAGTATAGCCATGTTTTCCATTAGTTTCTTAGAAGTCAGGACTGGACTAATTTTTAATTTTGATCGCATTTGTAAAAGAATGCGAATTCTAAGTGCATCAAATGGCATATAATTTTGAGCGTTTTCGTATTGTTACGAAGATAATTCCACAAGTAGCTCAAATTTTTTCAACCATTATAAATTCTGAATTACTTTTATAAAAGTTATCACAAAAAGAGTGAGGCCTGAAAAACTTCGATCACAAATGCTGTATTGAATTTATCAATGCAGTAATTTTCATCAATATTTTTGAATTCCAAGAGGACAATCTATATCTTTAATATTTCTTTGTTTCATTGTTACTGTGTTGTTCGTCTGAAAACAGTTACACGGATGAAGGATAATAAGTATAGTTTATGCATAACAATTTTTTTTATACCACCCAGTCACTTAACTCATTTGCCATACTCTGCTTTAAAAATACATTTAATAGACTTAATTGTTCAATATTTAAGTATTCAGTTTTATTTGTGTGACTTTATTGGGATCCATGTTTTTCGGTACATTCTGATTCAGGTTGGGCAGTTTATATTTTTTTTCTTTTAATTTTTACTGAAGTTTGATTTTTTTTTTTAAAGTCCTCTGTGGATTTTTAAAACCACTTTAACAAATTCCCAAAGTATCTTTAACCAAGTTTTTTTTATTCTGTTTTAATAATGAAAGCTTAATTTAGTCAGAATGTTCAGTGTACAAATTTTTCATAAAGAAGTAGGATTGCAAATAAAGATTATCTATCCAAAAGAGTGGATGCTTTATCTGCTTATTCATCAAATTCCTAATTTTCTGATATATCCAATATTAAGCAGCAATATTTGTTTATTTGTAATAAATTAAGCAAGTGATAGTGCACTAAAACTGCAGATTATAAAAAATAACCTTGCTTTATTAATAAAAAATAATAAATAAATTATAAATTTAGCTGTTTACCAGTAACATAAGTATGCATAAGTAGCTATACATCAAAATAACAAATATTTTTTATATACCATGCCATTTGAATCAAAGATATTTGTATGCTTTTATCAGTGCTAGAGAAAATATTTATTTGAATGTATTTGTAATATAGTTCAGTGTAGTCTCTCTTAATGCCATTTTGCCATTGCCTTAGCAATTTTTTAATTGAGAGGCAGCTTAGATTTTAATTCAAATTTTGAATTCCCTCCCATAAGCTACATGCAAATGCTTGATATTATAATATGCGGCATTAGCAATTTCTTCTCCTCAATAGAATAAAGCAAGCATAATCATATGAACTTGAATGATGATTTTAATATTCAATCAGGCAAATTTATATATGAGGCAGATTAAGGAGTTTTGCGTGTTGCAGTTATAAAGGGCTTTATGTGTCAAGGATCATTAATCAGTTAAGAAAATAAGAAAAATACCTCATATTTTTTGATGGGCAGTTCCCAGCAGAATTCAAGGGAGGTAGCCATCCCACTACATAAAACTGTCACTGCATTCAATATCTTCTCTCCATACATTTCCAGTTGCATATCAGTGAAATCTGGCATTGTCACTGAGCAAACAGTAGCAAACAGTTTTTGATTAATTCTCCATTCATTGAGAGTTTGTTGAGAACAAATATTATTCATTATTTACGTCTCTTGGCTACAAAATTCATAACAGCAGATTCCATTTTAATCCATAAGAGATATGAATGTAAACTTGGGTATGTGGACACAATTCTGTGGGCTTTCAGTTGTATTCCGTTTTTTAACTTTACCCAATATCAAACCTTTCTGTGGTGTTTGTTAGACCAGAGACAACTGCTCAACTGTTTCTGGTGGTTGTCGTAAACTAATCCATTTGATCTGACAACATTTGATCTGGATTCAGTTCATGACAGACTTGTTTCGTATTCTTGTTGGACTATTTTCAATTTTCCCTTGACCTTTGGTTTACAATATCATGGCAGTTGGACTTACAACTTTTTAAATATATTTTTTAAAAATTTTGTTACAGTAATATGGACACATGACTTATGGATTTCAGTATGATTTCACAGACCAAGATTTCAGACAGTTAAAATATTCATTTCTTGCTCTTACTTGTTTTCAGTTTCAGATTCAGATTTTTAGTCTCCACTTAAGTACTTAGTGATATTCCATCCTTCCTATCTGAAATGGTAAAACTAATCTTGTTGGATATTAATATAAATGCCATTGAAGCTTATTGTTCTAAAAGTCAAAAATTGATTCTCTCCCTTCTAAATTCATTTAATTAACAATAACATGAAAAACAAGTGGGTGTGAAAGTTAACTGATGATAGCTGTTTAACTGTAGGCACCTTTATATAAATTTTTGAAGTTGAACTCATTTGACTGGTGATTTAATATAATTCATTTTACTTAATGCAGATATATGAATAACAGTTATGTCACGAAATACAATACATTTTAAATGGATACTTTATCAGAGTGGACAGTATGGCCAAATATTTTCTTAGTGCCAATATACATAATAAATTATTTGCATTTCAAGATGTCAAGTTTTATTAATCCATAAATGTTTTTCTGCATGACAGTATGTACACCAAATATATCTGATGTGCAAATGTTGTTTCATGTTCTTTGTGTTTATTTAAAACTGTTTTTGACTTGAAATCCTTTTATGGTTTTCTTTTTAAATTTTGTGAATAATGATTCATTTTGTTAATTATGTGGTAGCAAAACGTAATATCAAATTATTTAATGCTATATGTTTCAAAAATTGTAAATTAAAAATGAATCTGAACATTTCAGACACAGGAGATTCTAGAGCTGGGTTGCTACAATCAGCTATCATATCAGCATATGTTGTTTATCTCACCTGGTCTGCTTTGTCGAGTGAGCCGAACCCATCTGGTTAGTATATGAATAAGCTTTTCAAAAAAGTTTTGCAGAACTCTTGCTATCCAAGAGGGGTTAGGATATTGGTTATCTTAATAAGGTTATTCTTTGCTCTACATATAGTTTCTCAAAGGTGTGAAGGTTTCTATTGCTTCATTATCTAAACATGTTCTGGAATGATTTTTTGTAATAATTCTAGGTGGCTCTTTCTGTGATATGATCGTTTTTTGTAAAGCAAATATGATCGTGCCCTTCCTCCTTTTCTTTTTTTTTTTTTCCCCCCTCAAAATTTTAATGTATCACATTCATTTTACTTCTGAGTCATAACAGATAGTTTTTGGTAAATAAATTCACAGTGCCAATGGCATTACATTAGCACTACACATTTACATTACCACTATGATCTGCAGTCATCTTTTATGGTTTTATTTGCTGTGTGAGATTTAAGCACTTGTCCATTATAATTCTTCTCATTCTCTTTATAAAGAAAGCACAGTACATCCAAAAGTTCAAAAATCTCTCATGTTGTAGCTAGTACAGTCAAAAGTCGTTAATTTGGACACCCATAATCCGGAATGATCTATAATCTGGACCTCAAAGCTACAAACTTTCTGCGCATGCGCGTAAGACCTTTACGACTGCGAATATGCGTGTGCGCATGTGCATAATACGTGTACGCCTGCGCGTTTAATGTATAACGGATGGTATAAGCTAAGCTAAAATTATCTAATTCAGTTAATGTTGCAGACTGCGTTGTTCCTTAATCTTCGAATTGGATCCGGCTTATTATTTTTAGCAGATTGTTAGAGCAATTTTATAAAAGTAAGCTTGAACTTTCGATTATGTCAAATAGAATTTCCGATATATATTTACTAATTTGTAAAGGATCTACAAGGCGAAAGTATGTTTCGAAGTCCATTAAACAAAAAGGGGAATTGCTGCAAAAAATGGATAAAGGCATATCCTTCGTTTCTCTAACCATTCCGAAATCTGTTTATCAATTTCACGCTGGGGGGGGGGTAGGGGAACGCTGCGGCACGCAATGAATTGGAAGTTGATCTGTCAGCACTATCCTTATCTTCAGGGCAGATGTACGCAGCAGCGCGCAATGAATTGGAAGTTGATCTGTCAGCACTATCCTTATCTTCAGGGCAGATGTTTTTATTTTATTTGGTTTATAATTCCTTACTAAATGTAGTATTTCATCTCGATGTACTCCATCTTTGATATGATTTAAATCAAATTCCTCGTCATTATAATTCACTTCCAATAGTGAAGAAAGTGACACAGAGGTTATTGAAAACGAAAAAATTTCGATTGACAAATTAGTCTGTATTCTCGACACAGCAATTATAGGACTTGAAAAGCGGAACTTTGTAACTGAACAAGAAATGATATCTGTTTATAGAATTAAAGAGGAAGTATTATCACATAAAACGAAGCAACTTAAACAACTTACATTGAAAGAAATGTTTAATAAAGTAAACAAATAAATATTAAGCTTTTTTTTTTGTAAATTTTGATACCCTTTAGATCATAATTGTTCTTTATTTCATAAATTACGGTTTCATATTTTTAATTTTATAATTTCTGCATGCCATCTTACCAGATTTAAACTGATGATCTATAATCTGGAAAAATTGATAATCCGGAATCGCCGAAGTCCCGACGAGTCCAGATTAACGACTTTTGACTGTAATTTAAATCAAGAGGAACACAGTGTTACTAATAGCAAATACACTAAGAACTAATTTATTTATCATAAGTCCTACGAAACAAATGATAATTGAAGCAATTACTATAATGTTAAAAACACAACTACCTATTACATATATAGAATTTTCATTCTTGTTGGCAATTTTGAAAAAGCATTCTTTTACTGTTTTTAAAAGTTAAATAATGTAACGATCTCCAGCATCCCAGCCGATATTGAAATGTTTCTGCATTTTAAAAGAAACATGAAAGAAGAAAAATTTCTAAGCAGTATGACAAACATCTGCTATAATATCTTTAGAGTTAATAAACTAAAGATTACTTTAAACAGTAGTGTTTCAGTGAATGGACAATACATGAGTTTTTGAAATGCATCTTACCAGTTAGGGTTCTGATGATCACCACACAAATTTTCCTATCAGGACCAGCCATTACTTTTTCTGTTTAACAGAGAGGTCATTTGCAGGGAGGTAAGGTTATCTACCTTTAACAGTGCAAAAGTGCCAGGAGAAATGTTATGTTTAGAAAATTGCCATTTAATCTTTTGTCGCAGGTGGTTAATCTAATCATGGACAGTTTTTATTCTCTGCCCATGTGCTAAGCTGTTATCTGTCCTGTCTCTAAGAGTTCTGGTTTTGAAATTGCATTTATTGCACATGTATTCAAAAAATGCCTGGATGTTAAAGCTTTAGTGTCTGGAGGCAAGGGGGTAAGGGGTCTTGAATTTTAAATGCCTTCATTTTGAGTAGAGATAATTAGTAGTTCTGCTAAGGTTAGCTTAGTTTCTCCAACTTTTCTTTTGAGGTAGTGTTTGGAAGACTTTATGCCAGGTTTCCAGAGCCCTCTGAAGTTTAGAGCTCTGAGTGGAAGACATTTCCACACTACTTCCTCAGAAACAAAAAAATCTGATGCATTGTGAATGGGATTCTTATAAGATTTTGCAAACACTTCAATTTTGTGTGAACACCTTTGGAATTTCATGTGTTATCATTAAAAATTATGGAACTTTTGCTTCATTGTGCAAAAAACCATTTCAAAGTTGCAATTAAAGCTTCAGTTGTTGCATCAGACACTACCTCAAGATGCATGGCTTTCATAGATATACATACAAAAATTGCAATGTATATGATTTTTGTAAAACACCCACTCTTTGACCTCTGTACTAACAAAAACCAATTCTAGTATTGGTAATGGAGGAACTGTGTTGGATCTTCATACGAAAGGTCACCTGTTAGTTGTGAGGCAATGGTGGACTTTTGTTGATTGTACTGTATACATTCTTGAACAATCTGCCTTGCTAAATTTCTGCCACCCATAGGCCAGAAAGTTTGACATACACTGCTAAGAAGAGTTTGAGGTCCTACATGTGAGTTCTTCGTATGATAATGTTCCATGATAAGTTTTGTTAGTTTGTGGCCAGCTGGCAAAACTGTAGGATATTTCTGATTGTAACTTGGATTTGACTGACTGAAATGTTCTTCGACACAAATGTCACCGTTTTTATATAAAAAGGGTTAAGAAATCTTAACTTACTTTTTGATGCAACAGGTGGTTTTCTGTGCTGGTCAGTTGAATTTTTTATACTATGTACGAACCTGAAAACAAAACTTAAAACTCTGATTAATTTCAAACAACTCTTAGTCAAGTTAATAAGATTATCTGAAACATCATTATCGACAATCAAACTCAACAGAAGGTCACCATTATCTTAAATAAAGATTGTGCTTAGAACTTGTCATGTTCAACCTTTTCTTGTAAAAACTGTGGACCATGCCACTACATCTATTCGATGATTCATCATTAGCATCAAGTCCATGTGATATTATGTCTGCTGGATTACTCTTTGTGGTACATGACCGCATTTGAAGTTCTTGGTGAGTTACTGAATACTTGAAACCCTGTTGCTTATGAATGTATGAATTCAGTGAGGAGACAAATTAATCCATGCAAGAATGATAGAGGAGTCCGACCATAGATAAACTTGGTCATATTGTAATTTCAGTGGTAACAGAGTCTTTGTAACCAGTTTGGTTAAAAGAAAGCACTTTGACAATTCAGGTCTAGGAATTGTCATTGTCTTGATTGTAGAAACCTGAGACTTATTGCACAAAAGATGGATGGGTACATTGAAATAGCTGTTACACAAACTTCAATTCCATGCATAGCATCTGAGCTATCAGCAGATCCATGAATAACATTTTTTTCTGTATTGCTGCCTAAAACATGCCTCGGAATGCATATATCTTTGATTATGGTAAGCATTGATGCAAAAAGTTCTTTTATAATTCTATTCCAGGTAGCAAAAGGAAATATAAGTGTATTAATTGTTCTGTTGTTATTTGTTAATTAAAACTTTCTCATTAATTGATAGTTGACGAGAAGATTTTAATAAGCAGGTCATATTAACATTATTTGAAACTTTTCTTTGTATCAAAAGCTTTAGATAGAAAATCATGATCTGTGGGTATTTAAATTATGAAATTATTTATACATTTTCTGCATTTTCATTGCACAGGAACAGGTGTTGGGACTCAAAGTGAAAAACGTGTGGAGGAAGGTGAATTTTGTGGTCCATCTGATGTTTCAATTTTGTCAAACAAGGAAATCATTTGTTATGGAGGAGTTGTCATTACATTTTTAATGGTTATAAGTTCAACGTAAGTTGGAAGTTTTTATTATTTCTCTAGATTATCATATAAAAGTACATAAATCTTCAAGAATAACTGAATGATAATAATGGTAATTTTAATTATATTTTTAAACATATCAGGAAGTAGAGAGAACACGAGAATTCTGGTTGTGTAGCTGAATATGTTGAACACACAATTAATTTTTAAATTTTGTTTTAAATCAAAAACAGAAGGAAATTCTTTTTATAGTTGCATTACTGCTTGTCTCTCTCCGGAGAGGATAGCTAATATTTGTAATTACATGAAATTAAATTTGATTTCCAGTATACATTATAAATTAGAATTACAGTTTAAAGTTCCAATGGATTCACTCAAATTTTGTGTCCAATTTTGGTAAGTAATTTTAAATTGTAATCTACATTTGTAATAATGACCTCTTCCTTTCTGGGGGGAAGGTGTTACTGTAATAAAAATAGATGTAATATGCTGTTATCAGTATGGGAGTTTTTTTGCAGTGGCTGCTATAATGATACACTTACTATAATAAATGAATGCTGACTGTAATTAATATTATTACTAGCAGCTTGCGGCCAAAGTAAAATATATAAGTTCTATGTACACCTGAAAGGAAAATGTATAAAAGCATTTTGGTATGAATGAAATCAGTTTATTCTTTCCAAGCAACAACCAATTTGTAAATAATTTTTTTGTTGCCAAACCAGGAAACAAAAACTTTTGACACGTCAGGTTTTATGATTTAATGTAATAAAATAACTTTTCCTCAGTATCAGTAAAAGAATTAACATAGCAATAAGATACCATGTCAGTTATCATAACCTGAAACCAAAAAAGTTGCCAACATTTGCCAACAAAAAGCAGCTATTTATTTAAAATGCTGACATTGAGGATTCTTCAAGGTCAGAACATGACCTTTTACAATAATAATATATTTAAAGTTTGGCAGTGCTATTTTTATTTCATATTTTATAAAACTTCAATTTTTTATTAACAAAAGATAATGTAAGTTTTTTCTCCTGATTTACAGTGCATGATTTAAAAAAAAAAAAAGATCATAAGTTTTGATATGAAACTTAGGGCAATTAATTAAAATGTAACAAAATGTAAAGTAACTAAGTTTTTTTTTATTTGTATAAATTTGTATACAATTTAAATTTGTATACATATATATATGTATATAAAACTTAAGTTGAAATGCAATATTGAGTTCTTAAGATATATTTAAACATTTAAAATTTTGAAGGATTCTTCAGATTTTTTTTTTTTTTGTTTTTTTTTTAGTTTTAATTATGCTTTGTAACAAAACATTAACTTACTATGTTAATTAAGCACTATCATCTGTTTTTTCTAATATATGCATTTTTTAAAGTTAAATAATTTTTTGCATCTGAATTATAATAAAATACTGTATTTTTTATTATAATAAAGCATAACAATTATCTTTCAGTTTTAGGTTTTTTGTGTACATTACATACTTATCTCTTTCTAACAATACTTTGCTGTTTTGAAAATAATAAAATTATTGCCTGTATATTGAAACATTTTAAACTTCTTTATATACGTGTGTAGTAATATTTATTTATCATTTTGCAGTAGGAAAATCTGTATTCTTGTGATTTGTTTTAGGCTTCTGTAATTATTTTCTTTTTTTCCGAAGCTGTGGATAATATAGTGAAACTTTAAGATCACAAACAAATTAGATAAACAAAAGCTACTTTGGAATAGAAATGGTCTCAAGTCAAAAACAAATGATTTTCAAAAGTAATCTCTGATGCTGAATTAACACTGAAGGATTTCTGGAAACATCATTTATCCCCTCCCCCAGTTAACAAAGCCTGGCAGCAAATTATTTACAGGATCATGAATTTGGCCTGGAGGAATTTATAACCAGATTGTGTTGCAAGAGAGATTCCGAGTGCTTTGACACAGAGGCATTTTTTTAAATTTGTTTATCTGTAATGCTGTGTCTCTAGCAAAGCTGATGGGCTTGGAAGTTAACAGTGAAGATACAGAGCAGCTAGTAAAGGATCATAAAAATGAGATCAACAAGAAAGAACTGAATGCCTTCAGAAGCTGCAACAGAAAGCAATCATGGAGACTCAGAGGAAGGAAGAAAAGATGAATCTAGTCCTTTGAACTGCAAAATTTGTGTCGGAGTTAGAAGAAAAGCTTCCTGTAATAATATTGTTCTGACAGAGCAGCAGCAGTTTACAGCGTAAGCATTTTCTATGACAATACCATATCTCACTTCAGACACAATTTACAATATAAGCAATAAAAAATTGCTTTCAACAAAATTTGAATGAGAAAGATCCAGTGAGTCTGAATCAAAATCAAATGACACTAGGAGACAAAAAAAGGGGGGGGAGAAGCTTTAGGAAAGACCTGATGTTTTTGAGGAAGGGGATTTTCTTCCGAGAAGTAACATTTCTTTCTCATCATTCTTCTATTATACCAGCCACTTTCTTCAGATGAGTGTAATAAAATAAAATTTTTATCTATTATATCTGTTTAGTATTGTGTTTATTTATTTTATAAATTTTTATTTTAGATTTAAAAATTTCCATTCGTTTTGTGTTATAGACACCAGGTACTGTAGTAAATTTTAAATTAGCATTCACATGTGGTTAAGGAATGGATTAATCTGATTTAATTCCTATGGAGAAAATAGTTTTGGTTAGCAATATTTTGGATGACGAACAGTCTTAAGGAGCAAATAAAATTCATGAACTGAGGTTTCATTATGTTTGGTGATAAAATAATTTTATTAAGGCTGAAATTTAGTGTATTTTATTTAATATGAAATGAAATTATCTATAAAATAATTTTATGAAACTGAGGCTGATAAATAATTTATTAAGGCTGAATTTAGTGATTTTATTTAATATGAAATGAAATATTATCTTAATATATTTTATTTAATATGGAATTTTTTTCTCCATGTAGATTACGCACATCCCATTTTTCATATAAGTTGGGAATTAGAGCTCCTGATCCTCAGGTAAAGATTTTTTAACACCCTTTTTCCTTCTAATTCATATCTTGTTTGTTTATATTAACGTGAGAAATTTAAGGTCATTGTTTTTGTGCTGTATTTAATGATCAGTAAGACCTAACTTTTTATATTTGAGAGCTGTATTTATGCAATCATTAACATAGCTAGTGGAAACGAAATAGAGTATTTGAAGCTGTTAAAATCTGAAATAATTTAAAACTGAACTCTGAGAAGTTAATTTCTGGAATGACATTGTATCAGATACATTTAAAATAATACAGGAATTTTGTGATGATATTCCTTTGAATAAGTAAATTGAAGGTCTTTTAACCTAACATTTGTACTGTAAATCACATTTATATACTAATCTTTTATCATGATTAACTTTGTATGTCATTGATAAGAATATTCAAAATCCAGCATTTCCTGATGGAGGTCCTCTCTTGCCCCTTCTAAACATACCCCATGTTTTTGAATTTATGTAGATGGATTTCAAATATGTATATCTTAGTTTCCATTAGCTTCTTTTTCTTTTCAGAAATTTCACATTGCCAGTTGCTCTTTTAAATACCCAGGAAGGTAGTAAAAACAGTAACAAACTTTTTTTTTTATGCATAATAAGTTTCTTGGGCTATTTTAAATTAAATGTTATTTGGGGGGGGGCAAAGACTTGTATCTGATCTTTCCTGTAGTTAGTTTAGAATTCAATTCCTGAAATATTATGAAGCAGCTAACATTTTATCAAATGTTGAGCAGCTTTCTAATAAAAATTATATATATATATCAGGAAAAAAGAAATAAGAAAAAACTTTAAAAATTTACTATCTAAACCAAAGGGCGTTTCACTTATCGTTAACTGTATTTTTGGACTTTATTGATAATTCATTAAGTGCTTATTGGCAGTTAAAATTGACATATTTATTTTATTTGATTTATTTTTATAGGACTTACATGCTTTGTCAATTTTTTTATCATTATTTATTATTTTCAGGTGCATTTTACTGTACATTTTTGAAGAAAGAGTAAAACAACACTTTATATGCTTTAACTTATTTTCTTGGTTGTTCAGAACAACATAGGGAATGGCGTTATGCTAATTGTTTTGAATTAATATTTTTTGTTTTCTTAGTTTGAAAATGGTATAATATAAGAAATGTTGATCTGCCCTACAGGTTGATTAGAACAAGAAACTGAATTATTTTTGTCCATTTCCCTGATGAGAGCCAAAATTGTTCAGTCTAATTGTTCTAATATTTTGGTCATTTGACCTAAGCTGCTTCACTTTTGTTAAAGTTTTAATTTTGTTTTTTACTGGTTCTCAACTTTTGCTTTTGTATTTTTGTCATATTTTGGAAGATATACATAATAAAACAATAGATTTTGATTTAATAACATAGTAGAAGCATTGATAGCATGATGTAGAACTATTCCATTTCGTAGATGCTTAATTCATCATTGTAATGTAAACACTTAGCAGTATTCATGTTGTGGAAAAATAAATTGCACAGATGGCGTAGCAAGTAAATAGCATAGAATACAGAATGTTGAATCCGTAATGAACAGCAAAGAATTTTGATTGCATAGAATGTTGATCCCTAATGAATCTGAAACTAGCAGCCAAAACAGATTAAATGTTCATTTTTATTTCGATAAGCATTTTGCATTTGTTTTATTTGTGCACAAACAATTTGGTACACTATTTGCACTTATTTCAAAACATTTAAAATTTTTAGAGCTTTGCAATTAGAAGAGAGCAGCAAGAAACAGACCAGCTAGGTTGAAGTGTAGAAAGAAAGTGCGGCTGTGTTCAGAATGAGTTAGTTTCAGTTCTTAATGCATTTGATTGAATATTTAATACTACTGTAAAATTATTATTAGCTGTTTCAATTTTAGTTCCATTTATGTTACCAGCATTATATGACATGGATTAGTCTTGAATTGATGCAGTGTAGAAAAAGATTACTATTTTTAGAATGGAGATGGAAAATAAGCATATTAAGTTTAAGTAGCTATTGATAATTTAAATTATAGTTTTATCTTTTGCAATTTTTTTTATCTTACATATTCACTCGGTGCCCCCCCTTTTTTTTTGTCTAAAATGCAAACTATGTGTAGTGAAATTTTAGGGCATGTGTAGCACCTCTAGTTTTGTATCGGTTTTAACCAGAAGTATATTTCTGAATAATTGTTCCTGTAAAAAATAAAAACTGTTTTAATCAGCAGGCCAATTGCAATTTTTGCACCAATCCTAAGAAACAGTCCTCTCGGCAATGACTCGGGTTTCATCTTTTCCCCAAAACGCACATCATAAACACACACATACACTGAAGTGACAAAAGTCATGGGATAGCAATATGCAAATATACAGATGGCAGTAATATCGCGTAGAAAATGTATAAATGCGAAATGCTTTGGCAGGGCTTTCATTTGTGTTCAAGTTATTCATGTGAAGAGGCTTTGACGTGATTATGGCCGCACGACGAGAATTAACAGACTTAATGGTAGTTGGAATGGTAGTTGGAGCTAGACGCATGGGTCATTCCATTTCGGATATCGTTAGGGAATTCAACATTCCGAGATCCACAGTGTCAAGAGTGTGCCGAGAGTATCTAATTTCAGGAATAACATCCCACCATGGACAGCGCAGTGGCCGACCACCTGCACTTAACGACTGAGACCAGTGACGTCTGCATAGAGTTGTCAATGTTCACAGACAAGCAACACTGTGTCAAATAACCGCAGAAATCAATGTGGGACGTACGAGGGATGTGTCCGATAGGACAGTGCGGCGAAATTTGTCTTCCGTGGGCTATGCCAGCAGAAGACCGACTCGAGTGCCTTTACTGACAGCACGACATCGCCTGCAGCAACTCTCGTGGGCTCGTGAGCATATCGGTTGGTCCCTAAACAAATGGAAAACCGTGGCTTGGTCAGATGAGTCACGATTTCAGTTGGTAAGAGCTGATGGTAAGGTTCGAGTGTAGCACAGACCCCACAAAGCCATGGACCAAAGTTGTCAACAAGGCACTGTTCAAGCTGGTGGTGGTTCCATAATGGTCTGGGGTGTTTTTACATGGCATGGACTCGGTCCTCTGGTGCAACTGAACCGATCATTTACTGGAAATGAATACCTTAAGCTACTTGGAGATCACTTACAGCCATTCATGGACTTCACGTTCTCAAACAACGATGGGATTTTTATGGATGACAATGCGCCATGTCACCGGGCCACAATTGTTCACGATTGGTTAGAAGAACATTCTGGACAATTCTAGCAAATGATCTGGCCACCTAGATCGCCCGACATGAATCCCATCGAACATTTATGGGACATCATCGAGAGGTCAGTTCGTGCCCCAAACCCTGCACCGTCAACACTTTCACAATTATGGACGTCTATAGAGGCAGCATGGCTCAATATTCCTGCAGGGGACTTCCAACGACTTGTTGAGTCCATGCCACGTCGAGTTGCTGCACTTCGCCGGGCAAAAGGAGGACCGACAAAATTAGGAGGTATCCCATGACTTTTGTCACTTCAGTGTATATATATGTGTGTAATGTCTGTGATCATATGGGTATATATATATATATTTAAAGGCAAGGAGTTTTGAGTAATTCAATTATTAAGCTCAGTTTGATGTGCAGTGAAGACATCAATATTATGACAAAGCAAAAAGGGTGTCCAGTCAGCATTGGAAATTTCTGAAGACAATTTGGTCTGCTGTGGTTTATCTTTCTTGTGCTAGTGTGCCTTGATGTCCTATTGTCCCAGAGGCAGAGGTAGTGAACAAATTTTGGGAAACCAGCTTGAAAAATTATTGAAAATGTCACCATTATGATGTATTTAGAGGACTTCCAACCATAATTAGAAGTAGATAACAAATTCTTTAAAAAGTACACTTTCATTGTTTTTTGTTAGAACTCTGGTGTATTATCATATCAGAATAAAACAATTTGTAGTGATCAATAATCTTTCCATAGCCAGATGTTTAGTGAAAACTGTGTGAGTCATTGTACTATCAGGTTGGAGATATCGACCATGAAAGTTGGCAGAGATACCACCAATCATTCCTGCTGAATTCAGAAGAAACAGCCTCTTTATTTAATAATAATAATAATAATAATAAAAAAAAAACATCATTCTTTATCAATTTATATAACTGTCACATACAAATTATAAATTAAACACATAAAATAAAACCTATATAAATATTAATTTAAGCTGTTAGATTAACTTACAAGAATAATTTATTAAAACCTACCTTAGATTTTACTGGAATTAGAATGCTATAAGCACAAACTTCCCACGAGTAATTGTTTCAATTGGTTACTGTTTTGTTGGCCGTGTGCAGCTGTTTTTTTCCTATATTCAAAAGTTAATGGAATTATAGATGTGATTCTACACCTCTTGATCCACATTTCTTTTCAAATGGATATTCTCTCATTACAATTTTTTTACATTATATTGGCATTGTTTATCCATTTTTAAATAAAGTACCATCTCATGTCCATTAATGTACACTTTTATTGATGGTGCAATCCCATAACTTTAAAAATAATCTGCTTACTATTAATTAGAAATCAGGCTCGAAATTCCCATCGCCCTAACTAGCTGCCTCTGCAAACTCTTTGAAAAGATGGTCAACACTCGTCTGGTCTATTATTTAGAGACAAATAATTGTATCTCCCCTTATCAGAACGGTTTTAGAAAAGGAAGAGCAACTATCGATAATATCCTACTCTTAGAAACAGGTATTCGTAGAGCGTTCGTTAGAAGAAATCATTATGTTTCCATTTTCTTTGATATAGAGAAAGCCTATGATACCACCTGGAGATACAGTATCCTTCGTGACCTATATAACAATGGTTTACGAGGAAACATGGCGATATTCATCAAACATTTCCTACAGGATCGGAAGTTTCATGTGAAGATAGGCGATACACATTCTGACATGTTTCATCAAGAAGAGGGCGTTCCGCAAGGAAGTGTATTAAGTGTTACATTATTTAGTATAAAAATTAACTCTATTTTAAAACAACTGCCTCCAGCAGTCCAGGGTATGCTCTATGTCGATGACCTGCAAGTCAGTTGCCAGGGAGAAGACCTGAAAGACATTGAATGTAAACTGCAGACATCTCTCAATAGAATTGTTAAATGGTCACAGGAAAATGGTTTTAGATTCTCTACTCAAAAGACTGTGTGTACATTTCTGTCGAAAGAAATTTCCTCACCCTGACCTCGAACTTTATCTGCAAAATGTGCTGATTCCTGTAGAAAAGGAAATAAAATTCCTAGGAATGATATTTGACCATAAGCTTACGTTCCTCCCCCATATTACCTATCTAAAAAAGAAATGTTTAAAAACCATGAATATTCTGAAAGTACTGTCAAATACTTCTTGGGATGCTGATCGAAGCTCAATGCTTCTTATATATAGAGCTCTCATTCGTTCGAAACTAGATTATGGATCAATCATTTATGGGTCGGCAAGGCCTTCAGTATTAGCCAAACTTGATCCGATACATCACCAAGCACTTCGGATATGCACTGGTGCCTTTAGAACTTCTCCAGTGGAAAGCCTATATGTGGAAAGTAATGAGACCTCCCTGCGGTTAAGACGCGAAAATCTTTGTTTTAAGCATTATTTCAAAGTCTTATCACATACGGAAAATTCTACGGTCAAAATTGCTTAATGACCAATACTCCCGTTTATATCAGGCACGACCATCATGTGTCCCATCTTTCGGCTTGATGAGTGCTTTGGTGGAGGAGTATAATTTGTCTAATATAGATATACAGATGGAGGATTTTTTTAGAATTCCTTCCTGAGAGGATTGGAGAATCCATTCTCTGGATACTTTTCGACACTGGAGTAAATCACAAACTAATGAAATCATCTACAAGCAGATATTTTTTCAACATAGAAACAAATATAGGAAATATATCCCTCTATATACAGACGGATCAAAATCCCAGGATCATGTTGGCGCCGCTTTCATCACAGAGAAAACAATAGTAGGGGTTCGATTACATACAGTTTGCTATGTGCTTACTTCTGAGCTTACTGCAATCCTATCTGGCTTTGACTTACCTTTCAAAACCAAAAGTACATAAAATTTATTATCTACACAGATTCCATGAGTGCCTTAATGTCATTGGAAAAATCCACGCTCAATGTACTCACCCAGTTGCAACCAGAATTCCTGAAAGTTGAATCATTCTTTAAAAATTCAGGGATACCAGATTCTATATTCGTGGATCCCTGTACACGTTGCCATTAAGGGGAATGAATTGGCGGATATTGCAGCTAAAACTGCAACTGCAATGTACAATCTTCAGATCCCACTAGCAGACATCAAAGGGTTTGTCAAACACAAAATCCTCAGCAAATGGCAGAAGCAATGGGATGACAAAGTATATAACAAGCTGAGAAATGTAAAACTCACCATTGGATGCTGGCCATGTATGGCTAATAGAAAGGAAGATGTCCTCTTGACTCGACTGAGAATTGGCCATTGTCGCCTGACCCATGAGTATCTTCTGAAGGGAGAAGAGAATCCCAGCTGCCCAAACTGCAATGCAGATCTGACAGTCCATTATATCTTGGTGGAATGCCAGAGTTTTAATTATTTTCGCCAAAAACATTTTAATTGTTCAGAACTAGACTTAGGAAATTTAATTGGAAAAATACATCATCGTAATTTGTTTCTATTTTTAAAAGATATTGGCTTTTATAATAGAATTTAACCTGTTTTTTTAAAAGATATCAGCTCTTATCATAGATTGTAATCTGTCTCTTCTTACCTAAGCTGGAAGTTTTTACAAATGACTAATTGCATTGTTACCATTTGTCTGGTGCAGATAACCTTGACAGGTTTTGCGCCAAATTATAATAATCCAATTCAATCCATGCTCGAAATTTTAATCTTTTTTTCAGAATGTGAGAAAAAGTACACGAATAACAGTTAATGTATATCCTTGTTCACAATAAAAGGTGGCTTATTAAAAATCAAATAGGCTTATACATGAAAGTGCAGATGTTATGAGTGTGTTGTAACATTGTGCTTATGTGTAATTATCATTATATCACACTCCTTTATTAAGTATCATGGTTAGTGGGATAATATACACGTACTCTTGTGACTTACTATGTATCAAGATTTGGAAGTGCAACAGTATCATTGTCGTTTAAAATGTGTATTTGATTATTTATCAAGGTTTTAATATCAAGAATTATATTTCTGATTAAAATAGCTTTAAAAAATGTGACCATTAGGTAATTCTAAATTTAGAAAAGATTTCAATTATAAAAAACAGATTACTACAGTGTTGCAGAGCTCTTACGTTATTTATTAATGATCATAAAAGTTAGAAATTAAGTTTCCATCTCATTATATTATGAGAATATATTATAAATATATGAGAAAATATTTGTTATGAATCTACAAATTTGTGAGACTCTAATTGTGTCTGTAATCATCTTCTGTGTTTTATTTCTCTTGTTTTTATAATTAATATTTTTCATCTTAATTTGCTCTAGTTTCATTTCAATTTCATATTTAGACTCTTACTTTCCTTTATTTCTAATACTTTCTGTATGGGCAGTCTAAATCTTCTTCTGTGTCTTATTCCTATCTAAACTCTCTTATTCCTATCTAAACTCTTTTTAATCCCAGCATCTAATTTTAGTTTAAGGTTTGTTCAAATCCATTATAAAACACCTACATTTCTCTTGTTATCTTTGTGTGTCTGTACCTAATCAAATTCTTTGTTTTGTTTCTTCTATTGCGTATTTAGCTAATCCAGTATCTCATTATTTGAGGTGTTTTCAAAGTCTTTCACATTTTAATCATCAATTTATGTTCTCAAAATTTGCAGAATTGTATGAAATGAAATTCTTAATCCATTTGTCCCTTCCCAGGATTGCTGTACTTGCTGTGATAAACATTCTACAAATAAAGGTTAGTCTCATGTCTGTCTGTAATTTCATTTATTACGTGATTTTTAAAACTTATGTTATTTTAAACTCTTTTTATTTATTTATTTATTTTTGTGCATTTTTTAAACTGAATACGTTGTATCGAGTCTTTGCTTCAGTTTTACAAATTTCTGAAAAATCGAATTTAACTGCATAAAAAGCAAAACTCACCAGGCAAACTCACTTGAGTAATACCATATCGTTATTTTTTTAAATTCAAAATAAAGCAAATAATCAGTTTTTAGGATTTACATGTTGGTTCATGTATGTAGATTAACAGTATCAAATTATGTTGTTAAACAGCATCTCCAGCAGTTTGATGAATTTTTTCTGAGTAAAGGTTTTCCTGTAGATATTCTTCATTTAAAATGCAGCCATTTTTGCAGGGTATGTGTAAATATGTTCTAGAATACATTCTGTATGGGTGTTTTTGCAGTTATATTATCATTCCATTAAGACATCAAGTTCTTGATCGTACAGTAGTTTGGATAATGTATCTATTAACATTAATTTCTAAGATATTTATGCTTGACTGAAAATTTTGTCATAACTGGCATTAGGGTTGGCAATTTTCTTCCACAGTGGAAAAGTCTGTATGGAAAATAGCAGTTGGAAGAAATTGATTTTTGTTATATCTGTTATTCATATATAGTGCTGTTATATTATTTATTGATATAAATATTTTCATTTCATATGTAATTTAATTAGCGATATTTGCATAACCTGGTAATATACTCTTATGCAAAATTAAGAGAATTTACAAATCATGTCTATTTTTATGAAAAATATTTAACTGAAGGTACTAATGATGTCGCCAAAGAATTATTCAAATATTCAGAGTCGAATAATCACTGCAGTACACAAGAGAGTGTGTTGAACATGGTGCTGACAACATGCACTTTAAACAGACTTTATTAGAGCACCATGCTCTTTTACAGAAGAGTTGAGATTCAGTCTGAACACTGAGTCTCGGTGTACCTATATCTGGAGAAAGCCTGGAACATGACAAAATCCCTGCCTCATCAGAGAAAAAGAGCTCATCCATATAGGGCTCAGCTGGTTGACGATTACCTGGAAAGTGAGGATATTCACTGCATGGATTGGTCAGCTTGATCTGACGTTAACTTATAGAGCATGTCTGGGATTCTCTCGCGAGGACAATTTCATATCACCATCCCCAACAAGAAACATCCTGGAGTTGAAAACTGCCTTGCTCAAGGAGTGGGATTGTCTACCACAGAAACTCCTCAACCGTCTTCTGTCCAGTGTTTCATCATTCTTTGCAACTTGTCTGGCTGAGAGAGGGGACCATACCTCATATTAGACTCACTTTCAACTGGATAACCGAATGTTGATTTTGGACAACCCTGCACTATGAGCTTTACTGATAATCATGCCTACAGAAAATAACTTTTGACTGGTAAATCTCTTTCTCTGTTATAAATATATATTTATACTAAATTTCATTAAAATCTTTCCTCTAGTTTTTCAGAAATTCGACATAATATGCAAATTCTCTTAATTTTGCTATTAAGTGCACATTTGTATCTTTTGTGTGCTTCATATGGTTTCTGCTTTCGCATCTGAGAATATAGATTTTGAAACTGAATTTCAGTTCATAGTTATAATAAAAAGTAGCAAGTAAATATATTCAGGACAAAACTCAGTTAAAAAGAAAAATATGCTATAAAACTAAATCTAAGTCATCATTAACTTAGCATAATAAAGTAGAAGTTTTTTGTTGTATAATGAAATATCGTTTCTTTTTTATTGCATCTCTTCAAATCCAAAAGACAAAATTTGCTCTACATAAAGTACAGATTAAAAAAATCTGGATTATTTTATATTAGAAAAGGCAAAGAGTAAAAAATGAGTATGGAGAGGATCATTCAATTACCGTAATTTCTGGAAGAAAGGCCGCATGAGCGCAAACGGCGCACTCAAGAAAAATGGCGAGAAAAAAATTAAAATTACACAGAAACGCCGCATCAGCGTAAACGCCGCAATAGATTAAATTGTGTGTGACATCGCCGTGGGCCGTATAGATGCAAAAACTCAACCTAAGTCCTGACATATGACATACCAGTTAAGAAAAATGCATGAAATGAAACCATAACTCAAAAATAAAAGGTAAGAAATGTGGAAAATATATTTACCTTCACGTATATTTACCCACTAAAGAAGTCCATATTTGTAATACTCAGACTATATTATAAAAAATGTTGCAACAACGAAATATTAAATTTGGACGACAAAAGGAAATTTTAAATTTTCCTTACGAATTACAGCAAACTATACATCATATGAAGCCATCAAAATTTGATTCTTCACTATCTGAATTAAAAAGATTTAGTAAATCCTGATCTAAGTCTTCCAGATCGTCGCATTCATCCTCTTGGTTTACAGTCTCTTTATCTAAGGATATAATTTCAGCTTCTTTGAACCCTGCTATTATTGACGATGTTTCTACCGATTTCCATGCACTTCCTGCCTACTTTGCAATTTCTTCATAAGATGCTCTACGCATTTTACCGCTTTTGGTTTACCTATGCAATACTTCACTCATCCAACACTCCCACCGCTTTCGGATTTCAGCTTTGAAGGATTCATTACCTGACAAATCTAACGGTTGTAAGATTTTGTCAAACCACCAGGAATTATTGCTTCGGTCATAGACAATTTTTGACATCTGGTTTTCACCGACTCAAAGAAATGAGCACGCATGGAATCCATTATCGATAACCCCTTTGGTTGGAAAAAAGATCCCATACGACACTGCCAAACTTTTTGTAGCCACTCATGCACAATTGTTTCGCACATCTAGCCGTTCTCGTTTGCACAAATAATTACGTCATTATGAAAATCTCCCTTCGGAACAGTCTTTCGTTTAAAAATGATCATCGGCTTTAGCTTGTCACCGTTTGTGGCACAAGCTAACACACTATGTAAATGGCGTTCTCTCATGCCCCGTCATAAACACAGATACAGTTTTTGCACCTGTTTCATCAACAGTTCTGTTTGCAGGAGAGTCGAAAGCTAACGGCATTTCATATTTCATCCATATTTATTATCTGTAACCGAATAATTTTTTTTTTTCAATTTTTAAATGTCACATTTGTAGAATAGATGACTTTTTATCCTGCCTGTCCATTGGTAATTGTTGCCCAACTGTTGTTCTAGTATGCATAGAAATATTTTTCTTTTCATAAATCTGCTATACCTCCTTTGAAATCATTTATGTTCATTCATTTTGCTATAACTTTTGTTTGTAAGCGAATTTTTACAGTCGAAATTGCCATTCCCTTTCCTCGTTGCTCCTTTATCCAGTTTGCAAGGTCGTTCTCTAGATTTGGCCACCTTACAGTACCACTTCTTTTGGCTCGTTTCTGTTGTGGCATATTTTAAGTTCTTTTTCAGTTTTCCAACGTCGAATACATCTGTCGTCCACTTCAAACTCGAGCTGCTGCTCGATTTCCAATTTGTTTAGCACGTGAAATTACATTAAGCTTAAAACTAGCAGTATAGCTTCTGTGCCGTTTAGGGACATTTTCAAAAATTTTCCACTCCCTTCTTACTTAAAAACTCTTCAACAAGTACTTGTACTCAAACTGATGGGATCTGTATCTGGCAGAATGCCAAGAAAAATCCATTCATGCTGAAGGGGAAATACATCAGAGTTCGTTATTGCGAGGCAGGTGGAGTCGTGTCCGCTTTTGAAAAAAATTGCAGAAAAGGCAGGGGTGGGGAGAGGATGGGTCTTGGAAGATTCATGGACTGGCAGAGGAGAGAGACTATTCAAACTGATGAGAATGTTGATTTGAAAGGGGAAAGAATGTTATTGTTCTGAGATCTCGTTTAGGGTGAATAAGGCATGTAGGTCCGTTCAAGGCAAAGAATGTAAACAAAATAACGTTCGCAAAAAGCTACTGAGTGGTCTTTTGTGTGGGAACAGCACCAGTCTATGCACAATGACAAGGCTATCCAAACTATGTACAATGACCATCATAGGAAATATTTTATTTTTAGTGCACCTAAATGCCGCATGGGTAGAAACGCCGCACCCACTGAAAATTTAAGTTTTAAACACGTAAACGCTAGCGTTTCTTCCGGAAATTACGGTAATCAATATTTAACTATAGAGGGAAGTTTTTAATTAATTTTATTAACCTCGCTACCTATTTGTTCTGCAAACTTTGAATGTTGTAAAATGATTAATCCATCTTTATTGAATCTTAATTTAATCTTATTGCTAAGTCTCAAAGTGTATATACAACTTTAAAGTTGACTTTATTACCTAATTTTTAGTTCCCTTACTCCCATTTTGATGCAATTCATACCATAATGAGTTTCAAACATTTGCTTATTTGTCTCATTAGAAAATTGTAGGCTTATTATTGTTTCATAGTTACCATTGAATTTTAGAAATCATATGCATTCCTTACCACTATGCAGCAAGATTTATTAAGTTTCAAATGGCAGCAGGTTAAAGGAAGATTTGAGAAATTGTATTGTTGGTTTAAAAAAAAATCACAATAGTAATAGATCAATATTTTGTGTTGTTATTCAAATTCCTTGCTGCTTTTTGTTGTTTCAGAAAGTAATTTTACCCCTTTTTTTTCTTTGGATGTGTAAATTATGCATACATGGTTTGAAAGAATGGTTTTGTTAAACTTATATTTAAAAGTTTAAAAATGAGAAAGTTCATCATTTACGAAATGCTGTATTTATTAATAACATTCATCAGTGATTTTTGCATTATCCATAAGAAATCTTAGTATTGTGTTCTTGTAACAATCTAAGATGCACTAATAAATGAGACATCTAATAAGAACTAGGGAAACACATAATTTCAGATCTTCCCATGGCCACCTAGTCAACCAGGTTTCATGTCAATTTGTAATTTGTCATCTTGATTACAAAATTTAAAAAAAAAAAAAAAAAAAAAAAAAAAAAAAAAAAAAAAAAAAAATATATATATATATATAATATATATATATATTCTTTATTCATGTCTTAAATCTTTTTAAATTTTCTAGTTTTACCATGTCTTTTTAATTCTCATATCCCTTTTACGTGTAATTCATTGCTATCTGTTATTCTTAATTACACATATACATATATATTTAATTTTGATAATGGTGGTACTGAAATAAAAGTAGATATGTGATGCTACATGGTACTGAAATAAAAATTAAAGATCTCTTTTTCCAAAGGAAACACCTATAGGTGATGACTGTGGAAATATATTCTTTGTAATTATTTTTATATTAACTTGCTTATCAAATTTGCTGCTTGTGACACTGAAGAATTTTGAATTTTTATCAACATTTAATTAATTAGTTTGAAATATATTAAAATGGTTTTGGTGATATAGTTAGTAAATCATTACTGTTTGGTAACCATGGACTTATCTCTACTTAAAATTCTATACTTTAAACTTGTAGAACATAAAGGAGAAGGGAAATTTTCTTTTATTTCATAACTTCCTCACCAATAATCGTACAGCATTTGTTAGCAAATTTATTATTTTAAGTTTTTTCTTTTAAATTTAAAAATAAGTACATACTGCATTTTCTCAGCTGCAATATTTCCAGTATTATGTAGGTGTTCCTTAAAATCATACTTGTTTTGGGGGGGGGGTTAGTCCTCTTCTTTACCAGCTAATGAGCTGTTTTTCATTCTTCTCTTTAGGAATGTAACTGTTCTGTCATTCTCTCTAGAAATGTAATTGCCCTTCAAAAATGAAATCTAGAAGTCACTATGTAATTTTATATTACAATAAATAATTATATTAACTGAGCCCTTTTGTTAGTCCTTTTATAATTCTTATTTCTTGAAATTTGTTTTGAAATACCATAGGAGTAAGAGAATGAATGATGTAACTGTTATGAATTTCTTTTATAAAAGTTTTTTCTAGAATTTAATATTTCTTTTTTAAAAATCGTATCTACATTTTTTTTTTAAATGATTTAGATGCATGTTTCTTATATTTACTTCAAACTAATGAGTAAGATAAATTTTTGTAACATTATTGAATATGTTTTTATATTGTAATTATTTGATGGTATTTATGCAGCAAACGTATAAATGTATTCAGTTGCGCATACTTTATTTGATAACTAGCTCATCATGCTTGATCATAAAAATTGTTTCATTTGATCAGGGAAAGTAAAAGCTTTCACTGGGAACCCTGGTAGAGTTTTATGTAAATGAAAACAACTTCCAAATATTAAGAGATAATTTTCTTCCACTGTTGTTATCTCACACATTTTTCTTTTTGTATGTTGTGTAGACCGTTTTATTTTGTTCTGATGGTTTGCAATAGTAGTTTTTCTATTAGTTTCAATATGTAAATTAAATTTTTTTTTTTGCTGGCAGGGCCCAACTATACACTATCAATTAATCTGGAGTTAATTGTATATAAATATTACATACATACATTACATTAATATTACATATATACACGTTTACATACATTAAACATGTAATATATACATGTTCAATTTGTGTGTAAAGACATATAACAGGTTAACTCTTACTTCAAACCTTGCATAAATTTTCTTCATTTTCTGAGCAAATATTTAAATCATTTTCTAATGCATATTTGTATTTCACACATTTTATTAAAAGAGATGATTTTTTGCCATAAAATGAAATTTTGTGGATATTTTATGGAATTGTCACTCATTTTACTAGGCAGGTACAAGTTCAAGAGTTGAAATAATAATTATTCTCATTGAACAGTTTTCTTCTCTTGTATAATGAATCGTGTACTTTTTAAGTTCAAATATTTAGTTTTCATGTAAAATCATGTTAACTTCTTTCAAAAATCTATTTATTATAGAATCTAGTCGTGTAGATAGCGGAAGAGGTCAAAAGGTGTTACGGAATGAAGCCGAAAGGGTTGTGTACAGTTATGCATTTTTCCATGTGATGTTTTTATTAGCTTCATTGTACATAATGATGCAGTTAACCCATTGGTTTAAGTAAGTACTTACTTAGCTTCATAATTAAATAAAATGTAATACTTAATTTGCTGGTTATTTTCATATCCCCCCCCCAAAAAAAAATTTCAAAAATTCAGTAATCTAAAAATAACTAAAATAACAAAATATACTTATTAATTTCATGAGAATTTGATAAAATTGAACTCAAGTAATAAACTTAGGGTAATTTACTTAGGGTAATTTAAAGATCATAGGAAATAGTAGAAATTGTGAATTGCCATGTAAAAATGTTCAGTAATAACTCTCTTCAGAAACCGAAATCAGTGTAAAATTAACACACACCAAAAAGAATTGGGACAGTCAATTTTTTGGTATGCCACTCAGACAGAATAGTGGTTAGGGGAGCCTGACTGCGATACCAAAGGGCCCAGGTTCGAATCTCAGAGAAGGCGTGGATGTAAAATTGTCTGTCTCTTCATAGGCAGGTACCTGCCATTGGGGGGGGGAATATTTTAGGACAATTTTACTATCTAACTACTTCAGACTGCTGTAGGATTATAAGGTGCAAGAAAAGTTTTAGTTGCTCTTATGCTGTGGATAATAGCGAGAGCACTCTATAGATATTAATATCTAATTCGTAGCATATGTGCAGTTTGAAGCTGTTTGGGATTGAGGGCGAAATGTTGTCTTTCTTTCTCTTGATGATAAATGAGTTGTAATGTTTTTAAAACAATTGTGTTATCTGAAATAATTTTGTGTATAATAACTGTAGGTGAAGTATTTTGTTTTAAAACTTGCTGATATTATCAGTTTCAGTACATATTTTGCCAGTATGCAATGGAAATTTGCAGAAATAAAATTATAATTCATGGTTCTTGATGTGCAAAAGCACACACATAATAATAGTCACATCATAATAATAGTTTGATTTTTACATTTTAATAATTAAAAAGCACTTTTCCATGAGAAGTTCTGTCACTGTAATAATGTATAACATAGAACACCGTTAACACTTGAATCACTGTTATTTTTTTAAAGAGTTAAAAGTTTCCTTCATCAGAGAAAAAAGAAATTTGTTAAAAACCATGGGGGAAAACTGACAAGAAATAGTTTTCTTCTACCAAAATGGAAGGAATTAATTTTTTATATTATTATATCTATTTTATTCATAAAGATTGATTTTCTGTCCAATTTAATTAGCCTGATTTGTATGTTTCAAAAATCATGTTTTGGATGATACATGTGCAGGTATTTTTGTGTATGAGGTTTGCTTTCATCTTTGGGAATTACTAGCTAGATCTTGAAACTGAAATGCAATGCTCATCAGTAACAAAACAGTATAATTATATAGCAATAATTAGGAAACAAAATTGAATCAAAAAAGAAAATTAAATTACAGAAATTAAAGAATCATCATCTTAAAAGTATCAGAATTAACTTGTTTTGTAATTTTGAAAGGATAAAATTCAAAAGAAAAGAAAATATGTACTAATCTTACTGAACTCCAATCTCAATTACATGTGCAGTTCATGAGAAATTTAAGAAAAGACACATTCTTTCCTCTTGCATAAAACTGAATTGAATATTGCAAATGGCATCAGGGAAAAATAGGATTTTAGAAATGGTGCATACTGGCAGCTGGAAAATTTTTTCCATGATGAGAAAAATCAGCTGAAGGAAATTGGCTTTTTTACTCCTTTCACATTAATATTGTTATATTTTATTCATATATAGCACTACTGTATTATTAATCAAGAATTTTCATTATGTGTCTATTAAGCCTCCTTCACAAGCCTGCAATAATCTTTTTTAGTGCTATGTATTGTATATATGCATGCACTTTTGTTTATGTTTGTATAAGAATGTGCTTTCACATCTGTAAATTTGAATGGATTTTGTAACTGAATTTCAGTTATAATTGTAATAGAAAATTAACATATTTTTTCAGAAAGAACAAAAAACAAAACTGACTCTGTGTCATCATTAAATTGTAAGGATCATTTTCTTATATGGACAACATCTTTGGAAGAAAAAAATTCAACGAATATCTAATCAAGTAATGAATAAGAATTCTACCACACTTTTCTGCGGGCTTGTTGTCTGACTTCTCTGCGGACTTCTTGTTTGGGGGAAAGGGGCAAGGATATTATTTAATTATTTACTTTGCATTTTATTCCTGAAGTAATTCATTTATTTTCAAATAAGTTAAACTCTTATTTGAAATACGCAGTGAATTTATGCCCTTTAGGTGCCACTGTTAATTTCTAGTTTTCTCCACTGTTCAGGAGAGAAAATGTTTCTTCTAGGAGAAATCCAACACTGCTTTTATGTTTGTGTTCTTGTTGAAAGCATCTGCTAAATACTTACTTACTCATCCATTACCAAACTGAAAGATCTAAATCAAGTTGCAGTAAGAATTCTGCAATTAAATTTTTGCTTTATTTATATATTTTTCTGAGATCTTCCATAGCTTTTGCATATTCTGCAGGAATAGCATTCCTTTTAACTATAAATTATATTGAAAATTTCTTTATGATTAAAATTCAGAACTACACAGGAAGGAATAGAACATTAGGTCTCCAAAGATGCTGGATAAGATATTAGATAAATTGTAAGTAGGACTTTTTCCTTAGTAACACAGGGAACTAAAGTTAATCACTAAGTTACACAATGTATTACATTTCAAACAATGGCTAGCTCAGAAAGGATTAATAAGTCATCTATCCGATGAATTAATAGCTATCTTATCATAAATGGAGCACTTCAGATCTTTTAAACTTAAGGAAAAATGTTTATTTACAGTAATGTACAAGTTAAATGAATAGGAAATATCTATCTAACTAACATCGTCCTTATCTCTCTGAAACGAAACTCCTCATTTTTTCTCTAACTGCTCTTTGATTCATGGGTTTAGTTAATGCCATTCCCAACTATATATATGTAGAAAACATATTTTGTGATTTGATAAGCCAACAATATTTTAAATTGCAAAAGGAAAACTTTAAGCTTCTGTGGATTATTACTCCTGACTATTTGGTAATTATCTAGATTATATTTAGTTAAAACTTTAAACTTTATTGATTGAAAACTTAAAAGCTTTTTAATAAGTCAATCAAAATTTAATCAAAAAGATTTTTTAAAAAGTAAGCTTGACTGGTAATGATGTTAAGAAATTTTCTTGTTATTGCAGTTTGAGTGTAATACGTGAATCAAAAAGCATTAATAAAAGATTAATTTTTTTTAAACTTTTTTTCCCAGTTAAATTCTGCCTTTGAAACTATTTTTAGATTCAGACGAAATCTCAGTTACATTTCAGATGTAATTTTTAATTAGTGCATAAATGACTAATTAAAAGTTTTATTAATTATATATTAAATAGATAATGTATGTATAAGTTGAAATTTTGTGTAATTGTCATTCACTTTTAAATAATATTAATATTTTGCAGACCTGAAAAAGCAAACTTAATGAATTTTGAGCGAAATTGGGCTTCTGTTTGGGTGAAGATTGCATCTTCTTGGACATGTATTGCCATCTACCTACTTACTCTTTTTACACCAGAATTATGTCCGGGACGCTTGAATCGAAGCAGGTCGGGAAGGAATAAAGATTTAGAAATGGGAAGAGTCAGACATGATTCATCTTCAAGTGGATAATACATAAACATCGAATATCTATGACACAAGAGAAATTTATATATAACATTAGCATTGACTTTTTATATATATATATCAAGACATATGCCATAGAGTATTCTAAGGCAAGATCATGTTTTAAGCAAATTTTATATGATTGAACATCTGAAAGCAAGTATACATGCTGTGGTGTTAATTTCATGCAATTTTTTAATCTAAAATCATTTTGCACGAGATGCCAAGGAAAGGCTGCTTTTTTATATATGTCAGCAAGATACATATTCTAGAAACCATGTTATATGAATCAGGGTATTAGTATCATTGAGAGGATTTTAATTTGTACAGTTATTTTTATTATAAGATTTAAATCTGGAGGGAGTGGGTATCTGATACCTACCTCCACAAAAACCATTTTATAATCATTACTTTCTTTTTTCTAAACTTGGAAGACTTTCTTCAGTTTTGTTCCTGATTAATTTTCATATAATGAACTCATGGTTTGCAAGTAATCCTCTTATATTGTTAACACCATGCCAAAAGCATAAATTTGTGCTTTTTACTGTTTTCAGATATCTAATTTTTTAGGTTGTTTTTTAATGTTTTTCTCCGTGCCAAAAAATATGGATATGTATTTCTAAATGAAATTGAGAGAATTTTGTAAAAACCATAATGTAACTACTTCAAATATTTGATTTATGAACTTTTAAATTGAAATAGTAAATTCACAGATTGAGGTTTTTGGAATGGTGACGGCAATATTTTAGAATACATATGTGTGTGTGTGTGTGTGTGTAGAAAAATGGACCAAAGACATTTTTACTATGAAAATACAAATTTTTAAAACAGTTTATGTGCCTTGTTTATGTAAAGAAATATGTGCTTTATTCAGTTGATCTCAGTTTCATTTGACTTATATGTTTATTATACTTCCATGTAACTTGCTACTAAAACAAAATAAAAGCAATTTAATGTATAAATATATTCAGAATATTTTATATTGTATAGCTAGTTATGAATACTCAGGTCTCTTGTTCATGTGAATAAGGGAAATCAAAAGAAGTAAAATTTATGATCGGGTTTTGCTTTTGCATTCGGATTGCTGCCCTTTATTTTGGAGGAAAATTAATGTCTATCTTCATAAATAGAGTTCATTCAAAATGAACGTCAATGCATTTACCTTACTTTTATTATAAGGAGAAAACTGTGATAAATGGATTAATGGATGTTTTATATGAACTCTCCCACCAATTGCCAATTAAATTAAAATGAAACTTTGTTGCAAGTCCAGCAAAAATAATGAAATTTTTGCAAAAATTTCATTGGTATAGAAATTCTTTTTAATCCCTTCACGATGGATGTATCACATATGCATCAATATTTAATCCTCTTATGTGATGGCATGTCGCTTAATGTACCTGAATATCTCGAATACTCGCCGAGTGTGCTACTGTTACATAACCAAGGTACGCAGGAAGGAACGACAAAATACCTTATATACCAGGGGTCCCCAACCTTTTTGTCCCTAAGAGCATATCCTAGAACATCTCTTGGGTGGTGGGCATCATTTACTTTTTTATGGTGAATTTATAGTTGGATAGAGGATAGAGTTAATAACACATGCACATAAAAAAAAAGAGATTGGTCACATTTCGCTTTGTGCTGGTATCTGTGTTGGACACAATTTCTATTTCATTAAAACTGAGAAAACTTTCTTTTTAGGATCGCACACCGGCGGGCATTCCCAAAAACCACAGCTCCACTCGCAGTCTTTCCATAGGGGGAAAAAAAAATGAAGCATCCAAAACTGTCCAATGTTTATATCATGTACAGCCTCAGCTGTGTTTTGTTTACTTTATATCTCCCACTCACACATCTAAACAAATCTCCAGAATCATAAAGTACTTTACAGACATAAGGTCAACAATGTATAGGTTCAAATAAGCTAACTGATGTGGACCCAAAGCGCCATCTAGTGATTTAAAAAAAAATCTAAAAAAACATTTTTAGAAGTGCACCCGACTGTTAGATGAATGCAGCCGATAATCTCCAGTGCATCTCCTGGCTGCTAATGACATTTGAGACTGATGCATTTATGACACATCCATCTCCAAAGGGTTAAGTTCAGCAGCATGCCATCACAAAGGGGTTAATGTATGGTTATAATTATTAAATGAAATGTATTTCAAACGTTAGCACAGATCAGAACAAATTTTTAATTCAGTTAGTTAAGGGTGCCAAATATTTTAGACCTAAAGAACTAGTTTTTACTGTAAAACATGATAGTTTAACATTCATATCTCGAAGAGTGTGTGTATATATATATTTGATAATGGGAAAGTACTGATAAAGGGACTTATCAGTACTTTCCCATTAGATGATAAAATTTGTAGATGATAAAATTTGTTCTTGGGGTAAAAGACAAAAAAATCATGTTCACCAAAAAATAATGTCACCCCAACACCATAAGTTCTCTATTATGTTGGGGAGAATAAATTTAGAGACTGAGGTTGTCCTTGGTAGCAAAATTATTACATACTCTTTTCTGTTAAGGGTTTGAAATTGGTGCAATGAAATATTTTCGATTTTATTAGTTGTGTTAAATATTTCAGACCCGGTGTGACATATCCAAAGATCAGTACTATATATATAATTGATTTTATCATCTAATTTTTATATACATATATTCTCAAGGACACCATGACAGTTCTATAGAACTGTGTGGCTCTAACTTGAATGAAAAATGGGAAAATTCCTATATAAAATGGGATTCCTATACTACACTTTCGTTCTAACATGAGTGAGCATATTAAACATATTTTAAGATACTTGATATTTTTACCTTCATTGCATTATATGTGTAGCTTGAGAATTTTTAGAATTTTTTTTAAAAATTAATATCAATTTCGCATTAAAAGGCTTAAAAATCCTTAAATTCAGTGGTACTGGGGGAAATTTCTTTTTTTTTTTTAAAGAGCATTAACAATTTAGATTTCACAGGAGAAATTTCAAAAGGCAAAAATATTTTGTAATAAAGAGGATATTCAGCTGTGCAAAGCAGTGGTGAAGATAATGATTAGTATGCATTATTTAATATTAATATATAATATGTTTGATAAAATTTCAATACTTTTAAATATACCTATTGCAACATAATACTAAAAAATCAAATTGTAATGATAATATTAACCGAAGCAAAATGGTGTAGTTCTTAGAATCTGACATTAATTTTTTAACAATTTTTCTTAGTTTCAAAATGGCATGGAATTTTGCATTAATGAAGCATTTCTCAGAATGTTAATTCCATAATTTATTAAAGGCAAAGCACATGAGGGTAATCTACTTAAAGGAGAATGTCTTTATGGACGGCTCTCTAAGTGAAATTGACTCTTGTGTTGCACGCAGAGAAAACATGGGAATATCTTGCACCTAGCCAATTTACTATAATTTAAAATTCGATTGGAATTGCCAATGTTCAATGGTCTTATGCTGGCTCACTATGGGAATAACATATGTTTTTATGATGCAATAGGTAATAATTTGATCCTATGCATATTATAAAATTATCATTACATTTTAAAAAGGAAGCTTTTGTAACTTGATGAATATAGTTGAGGAATGTATAGAAATTATCTTTTTTTAAACTATTTTATTAAATTCATTATTGAATACAAACTGCACCACTTTTTTCCATAGCCTCGTAATTCAAGAAATATTTGGAAAATTGTTATTATTTCATGAAGATTATAATTAGACAGTATCTAAGTAAATATATACATTTCATGAACCCTTTTTTATTTTTAACTAAATGATAAGAAATTTGTAATTTAATAATATTTAACATAACAAAAGTTCTTACTTGTACTCAAGTTTTTTTTTCCATCATTTTCCTCTCTCCCTTTGTTTGAATAGTGCCAAAAATGGTAAAGTTTTATAATTAACATTCTGCATAATAAAAATATATATAGCTTATTTTCCATTTTTGGGGAGAATACATATTCTGCTATACATATTTCTGTATATTATTATATAACATCTTTCATTCTCCCTTTCATATTCTTACATCGAACTTCAGTTTTTCATAAATATTTTCTATATTTAAAATAAATTGTTATGCTACATGTAACTTGAGTACTTTATTTTCTGCATTAATGTTGTAACATTCACCCATTAGTTTTATTTAATTGTGATGTTAAGTCGAGAAACAATGAAAGTGTTTCATAGCTCTATAATTTGGCATGTACTTAAATGATTAAGAGAGTGGTGACAGCTTAATGTTAAGTATTTAACATACAGTGTTTTGAAAGTCCAGGAACACTTTAAAAAATTTATTGTAGCCAACCGAGTAGTATTACAAAGTAACGAAGTACATCATTTTAGTGAATAAAGTTGTAAGTTTTTTCCAACAATTCTCATTTTATGTGAGAACGATGTGCAATCTTACAAACATTGACATGATAATCTAACTCTTGCCACACATGGCACAAAGTGTCTTCGAAGACTGTGGCTGCTACTTGTTCAATTTTCCTTTTCAATTCTGTAACATTACCTACAAGAGGATGAACATAAACAAGGTCCTTTATATAACCCCATAAATCACAAGGGGGGATATCTGAGGTCCTAAGAGGCCATTTTAGCAGACATTGGTCTGTCCCACTATGCAAAAAAGTTATTGAATTCACAAAAGCATCGTCCAGTGCACAGCAAAACTGTGATCCTGGTCTTTAGGATATAACTTTTGAACTAACTGTAGTCTGTATGGTATAATTTTTTATGCAAAAAATGCCACACAGTGGTTTTCTTAAATCATGAATTTTGACTTAAAACGACATTTCTAACTGAAGCTCAGAAGACATGGTGAGAAGAGTTAAATTATTGTGTCGACATGTTGAAACGAATGGGTTAATGAGTGTTGTTGAAAAACCTTACAACTTTACTCTCTAAAATGATGTACTCCGTTACTTTGTAATGCTACTCGTTTGGCTACAATAAATTTTTTAAAGTGTTCCCAGACTTTTGAAACACACTGTATTTTAAATGATATTGTTATAACTGCAAAGTAAATTTTTATTTGAAATGTTCCAATTTATTTGGTAATAAACTAATTTATATCTTATATGAAAATATAATTTAAATCTTAATGCAAAATTTTAATATAAGATCTAAAAAATTAAATAAGCTCCATTTGGAAATGCTAGCAAAATGAAATATTTGATAAAGTATTTTTTTTCATTGAAAGAAAGAATAATAATTATCATTCACACCTAAAATATGCCTTATTATTTGCTCATTAGAAATGGATTATTTTTGAAATTAGTATTATTTTACTCAATAGCTATAGAAGGCATTGTGCATTGTTTCATTTATTCTCCTCTTTTTTTTAAAAAATATTTTGTGTTTGAATATAAAGTGTTTAGTAGATTGGTCTTACTTCTGCTAGCATGTTTTGGTGCTAATTTTATGATATTTAAAATGTTTTTAAAGAACTATATATATTTTAATGATTATTGCTATGTGTAAAAATCTATTATACTATTATATTCCTAATTGTCATTAGGTGTTCCGATTACTAATTTGTGGATTCCTAACTGCCATTATGTATGCAAGTTACTAATTTGTAAAAATATATTTTTTAACTTAAATTATGCAATTTATATAATATGTGTTAATGTGTTGTCTAGTTGCTATTTGTATTGTTGTAAATTATGCTTACTAGAAATGTATGGATTTGTGTTATTGAATGCCATTCCATTATGTATAATTTTTTGTATTAAATATCGAATTAACAAGTATGGAAAAAATTGCATTTATACACAGTATCTGTACATCCATTAATAATTTTTATAAACTTATTGATGTATTTGTATAAAGATATTTTTTGACTATAAAAATTGTCTTTGTCAAAGTTTATAAAAATGAGCTTCCTATAAAGAGAGATTTATAAAAAGACAGCTATAAAATGCTTTATATTTAAATTCATTTTAATGAAATTTTAATTGCAGTTTTCAATATAATAAATTTTTAATTTTAAACTTTTTGTGGCCTATTTTCACATCTTAAAAAGGTTGTTTTTTAGCAATAAAATCCGGTTACCAGTCGACAGTGCACAAAAACCAATAAAAAATAATGACATTCCAATGTAAAATTTAAAATAAGCCCTATCCCAAAAAAGGCAGTCTTGAATAGCACAGATTTCGTATAAATTTCCGTAAAACTCAGAGGACAGTCTGACATAGGTCCCTCATTTTCAAAAGGGAGGACAATAATTTTGTTGTTGTTCTGAAGAAGAAGAACCTAGTTATTAAAATTTCCACTTGGGAAGTTAAACAAACCGCTTTTAGCATTGTATTCACTGAGAATACCTGGGTATATTAAGCAAATCCGACTTGCTTCTGTAACATTTCCATACCAGCAAATTTCATAAAACATCGTATGACATTTATTTATGAAAACAATGAAATAATCAGTGAATTTCAGTAAAACTGGAAAATAAAGTTTATGGTGTGAAGATTATATTAATCTGCAAATATTTTTGAATAAATGTCATTTTAGTTCATTTCTATGCAACTGAATTTCGGTAAGCTAAAATGTTTCATTATATTTTCCAATCAAATTTTAATTCACTAAGGAGTTAAATATCTTGATCCTGAAAGTTTTAGATCTTAGTTTTAGCATATTATACATAAAGAATTATTATATATGTTTCACTATTTTACACTGTTTCTTCCATGCCACTTTATATGAATAAGTTTGGAAAAAACACATTTTCAAAACTGTTGACTAAATTTTCTGATTACAGATTGTTATTCCCTAAATTCAGTCAAATTAAAAGTTTAGCTATTTACTGTTTGTACTCTTTGATTTAATTTTTCTGAAAGGTGAGAGGAAATTTATTACTGTTGGACATTTTATCACGTTTGGCTATTGCAGTTATTAACGAATTCCGAACATCCACTTGAGATAATTTATAAACCAAATTTTTGACATACAGACTTCTGATCTCTGACTAATTTAAGCATAGTTCTGGCTCTTTTCTGAGTGTATCTTTTGACAAAAGAATTTTTGCTTAATACAAGTTTTGTTTCTCTTTTGCCTCCACTTGAATGTCCCATCAAAATATATTCCCTCTCTGTTCGAAGCTTAGGACAGCGACAAAGATCTGAAGACCAAACATACTCCCGGAACAAAATGGGAACTTTGTTCTTGTATGACTGTATTACTTCCAACTCATAACGGATACTGTTTTGCTGTTTTTCAGAAGATCGGATGACTGCTCGAAGAACTGTGAAGGGGGGAAAAACATTTACAATATTCACATAATAGCCATCAGAATTATAAAATAACACTATTAATATTTAAAAATGCTCATTAAATCAAAATACAATACACATTCATTAATTCGAACATCTAGGTTAACAAAATTTGCGAGTTGATTCGATTTTGGGTAAAATTGGATAACCAGAAGTCATACTTTACCTGAAGCATATGAAGACTTCTTTATACTAGTGGGACTTTGAGCCTAAGAAACAGGCATGAACTTGACAGATCTGCTAAATGGATAAAAGGGCACTCGGTATTTCTATTACCTCACTCCAACCTGTACACATAAGTAAAGAGGTTATCACTTCTAGTCACAGTCCCTGCTAGACGGAGCTTTTCTGAGAAACAAGATTCTGGTAGCAGTGGTTTAAACATGAGGATTCCTAGAAAAAAAGAGCCCCGCTGGAAGCGAAGTCCTGCCTAGTTACGGACGATGTTGCGGCTACGTGGGATTTTTTTCAAACCTCCCCAAAAATGTCTCAGTTGGATTTCTGTCCCAGGTAGAGTTAAACCAATCAGATGAAAGTTCTGCTTCTGAAGGATCACGTGTTCCCAGTCTGAGAGATAATCGATTACTGTTTGATGCTCAAGTCTTTGTAATATGTGAAAATGGTAACCTAGCTACATGGGTTTCCTGGAAATTGCGGGTTCTGAGAATTGTCCCTTCTGACGTCCAGTCCCGTGTAGCCAAAACATAATGTGATTAGAACTTGAGGAAAGTGATGCGTTGGGTCCAAAAATGCAATAGGGAGTTTTCAGTGAGTAAGTATAAATAAGGATCCCCTCAACATACTTCTACTATTTTTACAATGATATCTCTCTCTGTATCTGTGTGTCTATATGTGTATAACAGTTTTTTTATCCATGATAACTTTTAATGAAAGCCCATAAAATAATCTAAAACCTTTCAATTTTAATATTTAAGACTTTCATATTAATGGAAATAACATTAGATTATGGCTAAAACTGATGAATTGCAAATGGTACTTGAAGTTCTGAACAGTATATAGTCTATATATGTGTGTTTATATACGAGGGTTGGAACTTTAATAGTGGCAACACAGCTGAAAAAATGCTACGCAACAAAACCAAAGAATATCGCGTATACCACACGTAACCTACATACCTACCTTACCTCCTCTCAGCAAAAAGACTCGTCCTGCCTGCATCACGCGCATGCGAAGTGATGCGAAGAACGAATCCTTTGTATTAGCTTGCGGTCTAAAGTAAGTGTTGTCAGGATGTTTTCAAAACGAGAACAACGATGTTGGATAAAAATTGAATGTGCCAGAGGTCGTACAGCACGACAGTGTCATCAATGGCTTCAAGAGGCTTGTGGGGAATCTGCATTGCCTTACAGAAGATGCCACGTAGCAAGATGGGTGAAAGCATTCAATAAAAGGACGGCAAAACGTGGCAGACATGCTGTGGCCAGGTCGTCCGAGTGTCAGCGATGCAGACGTGCAAGCTGTTGCCGCACTAATGGACAGTGATCGCCGCCAAACGATTCGTCAGCTGGCCGGACAAACAGGATTAGTGCATACGACTGTGCTGCACGTTCTGAAGGAACGCCTGTCCATGAGAAAAATTGCTTCACGATGTGTTCCACATCAATTGACAGAAATGCAGAAATGGCTATGATACGATGCTGCCAGAACCCACCTGGAGTGCTATGAGCACGAAGGAAATGCTTTTTTATGCCGTATCATTACACTGGATGAGACTTGGGCCTGATCGTACCAGCCAGAACTGAAACACCAATCAAACGAATGGCGTCATCACGGTCACCACGACGTTCGAAATTTTGTCAGAACCCCAGCAATGTGAAAGTTATGGTGATTTTCGTGTACGATTGTGTTGTTGTCATCCTAACGCATACCGTTCCCTCACAGCTGACCGTCACTGCGCAGTATTACTACTCATTTTTGGAGCACAATCTCCGACCAGCTTTGAGAAAAAAACGGTGACACTTTCTGCAGAACACTCCTCTCATTTTGCATGACAATGCTCGGCGCATGCAGCGCAAGCTGTGACTGATTTGTTCAAGCGATGGGGCTGGGAAGTGCTTTACATCCACCATACTCCCAGATCTAAGCCCTTGGACTATGACTTAATTCCTAAGATGAAGGAAACCACTCGTGGCACTCGCTTCCAAACTGTTCCTGAGATTGATTCTTGCGGCAGTAAACCGGTCCATTCAAACTATCAACAAAACAGGCGCTGCTACAGGTATTCTGCGACTTCCACATCGTTGGAAACGGGTTGTACACAATGCTGGCGACTATATTGAAGGACTGTAAAACATGGTGACATGAATCACTTTTGTATTCCTTGTAAATAAATAGTTGCCACTATTAAAGTTCAAACCCTCGTATGTCTATACATGTGTGTGTATATATATATGTATGAGATAATCCAAACTTTTGACATTTGGTATTGGCTAAATTTTTTATCATTTTGCCATTAATGGGCTTTTATTAAAATCCATAAAGAACTTATGAATTTAATTTCAATGCAGGCAATATAAGTAATAGTTTTTAAATTATCAATTTTTAAAATAAGGGAAGAAAAAAAATATTGAAAAGGCTTTTAAAAATTATAAGGCAATGAGTTAAATTTATTAAGCAATTCAAATTAGTAATCTCTTATTTAACATAATAAAAAAAATTTTAATGAAAATCTAAACTAGCAATAGAAGTAGTAGAAACTAGCAATCATAAATTTACTTTTCTCAAAGGTACACTTTATGTCTTCATTAATAATTAGAGTTATAACTAACACCTAGCCTTAGGATTAAATATTGTGACAGAATTTCAACAAAGTTTAACAGCAATGAATTTTTTCCTAACCTGTAGCATTCTAAAATTAAAAAATATTGTGCAAGAAACTTACATACATTTTATTTTCAAATTCTTTTTGTTAGATGAAAAGAAGTGTGCCATATCGGTGAAATGAAAAACAATATGAACTTACAATTAATCTAGATTTTGGATAGTGTAGCATTCACTAATTTTATTCACTCTTATTTGTGAATACACATACAGAAACTAATAATTTTATGTAACCATGTACTTACCAAAGTCACTTGTACAGAAATTTCTTGTTTGATGTCGTGGTTTTGAACAAGGTGAGCATTCATCTAAAGAAAAATTTTAGTCTTATTTTCAAAACTTTTAATTGTAACCAATTTTTTAAACAATTTGTCTTGAAAGTTAAACAGTATCAAACTTAATAAAGAAATGCTAATTCATATTTAATTTGTATTAAAATTCAAGATTTGGCACTAACAAAGAAAGACTAAAAACATAACAACACTAAATTATATTTCTGTGTAAAAAAGTAAAATGAGAAATACTGGGGGTGCAAAATTCAAATTTCCATGAATGATAAGCTGCATTTTAAAAAAGGAGATGTTAAATTAAAGAAAACTAAGCAGTTTATAAGACACCAGACAGTGGAAATTGCTATTTACACAAATGAAAAACTTTGTAAAAATTATATTTAATGATGTACATTTTCATAATTTTTAAGGAAAATTAAATCTGTGGTCAAAAATCAATAAATGCTAGGTTAACCCCTTGGATACAGATTTATTTGAGAAAATATTTGCATGTGGAATGGATATAATTTTTGGTTGCTTGGAATAGAATGTAAAAGAAGTACATTTTACGTAAGAATTTATTTTTTCTAAAATATTTTTAAAACATTGGTGACATATGTAGTATTAAGATGTCTTTAAGTAATTAGAATTGCAAAACAAAAATAAATTAATAACAACCAAATAAAACTAAATGAAATAAATTCATGCTATAACAAAAAACCAATTACTAATAATTATGCAGAGTGTGATATTTTTCAAAGCAAGTAAGTAAATGCAGTGCTACTTTGCATTGTTTGCACTGCCACGTAGTCTCTTTCCAATATTATGCTTATAACAAACACGGCACCTTTTTCCAGGGTGTTGCTTGGACTTAGTTTACGGAATGTTCTCAGGAAAGTGTGCCCAATTTTTCGCTGCCAAAGGAAATGGTGTATTACTACTTGACGGGCGCCCACGACGTTTATAATTTGGCAATGACAATTGCTCCAGCAATTCTTCGGTCAATAGCTAAACGAAAGGAAGTAATGCCTGCCTTGGTTGTGCAGTTGATTTTAGAATATAAAGTACATAAAAGAATAGCATTATAAAAGGCCATATCTATTAGATAAAAAAACATTTTCTTATAACCCTTTATACATTTTCTCATAACTGGGAAGCACGCTAGCAATTGGTCTTGTTTATCAATGCCTCCCTACCTTTATTATACTCAAGCACAGATGCCGGTTTTATAATATTTTCGATATCGCCACCTTCAATTTTTCTCCTTTTGGCCTGTGTTTATCAAATCAGCATTTGAATGTTTCGTGCTAAGTAGGTGAATCATCCGCTCCTAGGGAAAACAAATGATGTCTCTCAGATGTCAAATGTACCCAAGAGTTTAATTTTTGGTTTGACGTCTTAGACACGTCATCCGTTCATAAGGGGAAAAAGTGAATGACGTCTCAGACGTCAAATGAACCCAAGGGGTTAATTAAATTTTTTTTTTTTCGTTTTTAGAGGAATATGTTAATCATGTCCGTCTATTTCTGAAATAGCATTAAATGTTTTTCTCTCATTCAGTACCATATATTTTTATAAAACTTGCATTTTCAGCTTCAACACTAATTAAAACCAAATGTTGTTCAACGTTGATACATGTTGAGGATGCTAAATGTGCAACACAATCAAATATCACATCAGCATTCAATTTGCTACGCAGCAGAAAACGAGCACATCTTTCTCATTAGAATTTTCTTTAATTTTTGTTTGCTTAAGATAAATCTAAAGCTAATTCTTTTTATATGTATACTGTTTACCAAAGAAGTAAATTATTTACGGGAGGATAATTATTTTTATACTTTTATTTTATATTTAATATCTGGGGTTCCGAAAAAAATCTGTGATAAAAAGAGATCGCCACGATTGAAAAAAAGATTAAAAATCTCCGATTTAGAGCGAAGGAAATTCCTAATTGAAAGGTGAAACAGTTCACAAAATCGAAAGCCGAAAACTACAAAAAGCTACCAGTTTATTTTCTCGAACTGAGAAGAAAGAGAAACAATCCGGAGAAATCCGTATATGACTTAAATAAACGTTAACATGAAGACTAAAAAATTATTACCGCCAGAAAAGAAGTATGCAGAGTTTTCGCTGTTAGGAACAGACTCTGCCCGAAAATACAGAGGAAAAACCATGATGTATTTTTTGTGGTGACGAACACGTCAGCAACTATCAAGGACGTAGATTCTATAAAACGGAATTTGAAAAGACTAAAATCCAAGAAAAACCTGCAGCCACGATTTTAGAAACGATTTCCCAGTCCTACATTATAATCGAAGAAAATTTTATTAAAACACAAAAGAAAACAAACTTCATACGCAGATAAAGTTAAAGGGAAAATTAAGCCTTTCCCCGAAGATCTAATTGAAACTGCGGAATGGATAGAAAATAAGGAATCTAGAAATTTCTTGAAAACGTCATTTATTCCATAAAAAAAAAAAAAAAAAAGAAGCTAAAACTACTGCAGAAAAATTAAAAGCTGGATTGCTGGATTCAAAGCAGTACAAATACTTATTCAATTTGCTGAGAGTGAAGATCAGAACTAAGCATTATTTAAGAGTTCACTATTTTTTTCCTTTTGATGAGAAGAACCGTAGTGCAGAAGTATGGCACAGAGACAATAAGAATTAATTGGGTTTGGGTTGCTATTTCTCATCACTTGATTTTCTGCTTTCTCAAGATTCTTCATTTTTCATCTCTGATGACAGTATGAAAGCATCTTACCTTCTTTTATTCCAGGGAATGAACTCGTATAGTAAAGTTTGAAATGTTCTTTTCTTTTTAGGGTTAGTTAGTATTGGAAGAGATTACCAATTGACCTATGGTATCCTGATGTCCTCCATACTTTTACTTATACCTGTGGGGGGCCTATTCCAGTGAATGGCTCTAGGGCAAAATTTGATTTTCATGTTATTGCAATTTATTTGTAGATGCTTGGCACAGAGGGCTGATCTTGGTCCTTATTCTATTGTTCTAGCATAAAGTGGTATTGATGTCTAGTATGCATTTAATAACTGTCTACCTTTAATTCACTTCCCTAAATGTACTGTACTAGACAAGTTTCTAAAAATCCACAAAATTAAATTCCCTTCATTTGTCATAGTTACCAATGTTAAGTGTTGTTTCACATCATAAAGCCAAATATGTAATTATCCAGTTTCCTCCATTACTGTCTAGCAGTTCTGTTATAAAAATCTGATCACATACCTAAATTTCAAAAGTACCTAAAAATATTTTAAAAGCATATGCCTAAACATTTGGTATTTTAAAACTAATCAAATAATTAAAGTAATGTTAAATGAAGTTATTCTTTATTTGGTCCCTATTTGATCAGACATTCCCTATTTGATCAGATACTGCCAGTCATTGTTATATTTTTGTATATTTATTTCTACATGCATTGTAATAATTTAAGAAATAGATATCAAAACATGCAGCACATTATTGTAAATATTTGTGATTTAGGTTTCATGTAATTTTTTAAAATTTATTAACTGCATTTTATGTAATATTATTAGGTATTTTTGTTTAATGAAATCTGTGGCCACTTACTGGGCTTTAAGTGTTTATTTCATATATTATGTTGTAGATCTTGTAAGATTAATTTGAGTCCATAAATGCTTAAATAATAAAGACAGCTCAGTCAAAGCCAGAGATATGGACAGAAACAGTTAATGTCGGCAGCATTTGGCAATTTCTCATTAACTTCGTGACATTCTGAATGTTTCAGAAAAACATATCAAGTTCTAGGGGTGTTTCACCCTTTTCTCTCTTGATGCTTTAAGAATTACTTTAGTAATATATAAATATGTTGCGTTGAAACTGAGAGTCAGTTCAGTTACCCAGGTCAACTGCATCAGATTTTTGTTTGGTGATTACTTACAGGGGTTGGACAAAAATATGGAAACACCTTTAAAAAAACATGTTTCTTTGCTTAATATGGTGTAGGAAACCCGTTGGCATCCAAAACAGCTTGCAGTCTTCTCGGAATGGATAAATACAGTTCCTGTATGTTTGCCAAGGGAATATGATACCATTCTTCCTGCAAAACGGTGGCAAGTTCAGATAACGATGTTGGCGGTGGATAACGAGAGCGCACTTTCCGTTCCAATGTAGACCACAAAGGTTCGATAATATTCAGGTCTGGTGACTTTTGTGGCCAGGGGAGATGGTACAACTCATCCTCGTGCTCAGAAAACCAGTCCTGGACAATGTGAGCTGTGTGAACAGGTGCTTTGTCGTCTTGGAAGACACCATCACCATCGGGGAACAAAGTTTGTACCATGGGATGAACTTGATCGGCCAAAATGTTCACATAAGTCTTGGCAGTCATGTGCCCTGACACAGTTATCATGGGGCTAGCAGAGAACCACGATATGGCTGCCCAAACCATAACAGAACCCCCGCCATGTTTCACTCTTGGCAACAAGCAGTCTCTATTATAGGCTTGAGATGGCGTTCTCCAGACGTAAACTCGGCCAGAAGTGGGAAAACAATGTGAAAAGAAGACTCGTCAGACCATATTACTCGCTTTCCACTGCTCTATAGTCCAGGCTTTATGACTTAAACACCACCTTTTCCTGTTACGGGCATTAGCATCACTGATGAGTGGCTTCTCAATTGCAGCACGGCCAGCAATTCCCTGTGTTATTGAAGCTCCCTTCTAATTGTTTTGGGTACTCACAGGGTTCGGTAACACAACATTCATTTCAGCAGTAACTTTTGCAGCTGTGGTCTTCTTATTTTTCGTCACAATTGCCCTTAATGATCGTCTGTCACGATCACTCAGGACACAATTTCGTCCGCGCTGTGATTTAGCAGATGATGTTTTTCCGCTTTTCAAATATGCGGAATAAATCTTCGATACAGTACCTCTTGAAACACTAAACACCTTGGCTACCTTGCTTACGGAAGCACCTACCATACGTGCTCCAACAATTTGCCCACGTTCGAAGTCTGTTAACTCTGACATAATGCAATGACAACCTCACATAACAGTACTCCGACAACAACTGAACTGTTTAGCACATTTACGAAGTTGTATAGGTGGCGTCAGTAGTCAAAAACGCCAGAGCCACCTACATATTTCATTAAAATCAATCTTTCTTTTCAAACATGCATTTCACAAGGTGTTTCCATATTTTTGTCCATCCACTGTACCTTTATTCTGCAGCTGATTTTGGTGATCTGTGACACTTCTCATGTATTAAGAACTTTTCTTAAATCTCTTGTTCTCCTTGAGCTAATTACAGCTATTTAACTAGCTGTATGAGCCCCCCAATAAAGAGTCAATTTCTTTCAATTCGCCTGGCTTAGTTCTAGTAACTAAGCCAGGCGAATTGAAAGCCAAGTAATTTCAAAATATGAAACAATATTAAACATTTCAATTTTTTGACTTTTATTCATTGTAATTTGTACTTTTTTAAAATTTGTACTTTGTTATTTAAAACTTGAAATGTCCAACTGATATGATTTTCACATTTTTCTGTTTCAAAATATGGCAGTCCTAAACATCTGTGATGCATTCATTAGACAGGAATACCAGGCGAACGCTAAAACTAAGTGGCAAAACAGAGCCATGGCCTGTAGTACCCTGATATTTGCTTTCTGCATGAATATATGCCCTCGGCAAGTAGTCAGCTTTTTGCAGGCCCCCTAGTGTATAGTCCCCATGAGAACTTGGTACTCATTTTATCGACCCACTGATGGATCGACCTACTCAAGGGATGAAAGGCTGAGTCAACCTTGTCCAGCCCAGAGATCGAACTTCATCATGTGGGGGTGCTGCTGCATGACGCTCTAGCCACTGTGGCGCCAGGCCTACCAGACGAACGGTATTTTGTGAATAATTTTAATTCTTTCTTTATTGTTGGAATAATTTGAATCCATTCCAAAGCCAAGTCCAAAATCGCAAAACATCAATAGAAATTTTCAAAGAACATTAGAAACACTATTCAGTTGCTAGAACTGTTAAAAAATTATTAATTAGTTATAAAAGTATTTACTGCACCTTCTGTTCACGTCATATTTCTGAAATCTGTAGACAGTTTCACATAAATGAAGATAGATTTTTGTCTTTATCCGAGTTTTACAATTTCCCTGAACAATTCATTGATTTTTTTTTAACTATTGAATTTTATCTCGTGCAGATAAAATGGAAGGCATTTTTTCTTCAGGCATACATTTGGTTAATGGATTTTTTAAAAAATATTCTAAGCTATCGAAACAGTTGTTTTATGCGATTCTATGGATTTTATATTTTCAAGAATTTTTTCAGGTTTACATGGAGTTTTCCATTCATCGTTTTTTTCATTAGGGATTAATTTTTTTTGTTCGAGTATAGAAAGTACAGCATCAGGACCTAGTTTATCTACCGTGAGTTTTAGCGCTTTATCTAGTCCGTGAGATGTTTTCTGAGAGAAGTAATTTTCATTAATGGCTGAGTTGATTTTTAAATTTGCAATCTTAGGGTTTTCTTTTAACTAAGTTTAAAATTTTTTTTTTTTTTATTTTTGGATTTGGAAAGGGCTTTTCTTGTGTCTTTAGCTATTTCAGGATTCAACAACTTTTGCAAGTCAAAGTTTTTGCCAGTCACAGGTGAGGATTTTAAGAACTCGTCTGGTTGTGCAGTCGTAACCAGGTGGGAGCTTACCCATCTTTCAACCCATTTCTTCAAAGTCAATCTAATCACTGAAATCATCATTGTCATGGGTCCCAAAAAAGGGATATTTTCAGTCGAGTGTAAATTCAAAAGCCACACTCATAGAAATAAAAACTTAAAAGAGTACGATAAAATAAATAAAAATGAATAATAATGATTGCTAATAAAAATGAATTATTTTATGCAGATATCTTCTTGAGACAACTGTACTATTTTTTAAAAAAAATCTTAATGGAAACAATATACACACTTGCCTGTAAATGAGGTTTTCCTGCAACATAACAATATTTGAAAAGAAATTACCATTTGAGGGGTAAATAAATTTTTAGATATAATTAGCGTAACTAACAGTCGAAATTTAACCTTAATTTTAAAATAATTTTAATACACAGAAAATCAATATTTTTCAATGAAGACACCATGAATTCATTTTTTTCAGCTTCAAAACTTATGAATAAGATGCACTTGCTATTTACAAAACATGGTAAATTAAGCTTGACTATTTTTATTATTAAGATTGTTTGGTATCTGTAATTATTTCAATTTTTAGTTTTTAATCAATAATGTCAAAATCTTTCCCAAAATTTTGAAAGTACTCACAAATTCATAAAAGTTCAGGGGGTAATTGGGTTATGTGTGGATTTAATTCTGGCAAACAGTTTCATAACTAATGCAGAAATGTAACATAATTTAAGCACACAAAAGAAGATATGGATTTAAGAACTAGCTAAAAGAGATCTTTAGTGATTCCAACATATTTTCACTATGTATGTTGACAGAAGCTTATTTTGATTAAGTTTCTCACTGACGTATGAACAGTAATAGTTTGAAATCTGTTTTAAGCAGTCAGTATGGTGGTGCTTTACATAATAATAATAATAATATATAAAGAATAAGCACATAAATAAGCAAATGTCTCGAATAACGAACTCAGTTCTACATTACAAACTGCACACAAATTTCAGCACAAGGTTAATCATGGTGCTAAAATTATGTTCTTTCCGTTTGGAGTCAACAATAATAAAAAGAGTAATAATAAAAGGTCTATTCTCAAACGGAGACAATGAATAAAGAAGGGGGAAACAAAAATATTTTTTAATATTATATCATAACTGAAGAGCTGAAAAGTCTTATTTAAGCAAAAATGTGATAAAACCCACAAAAAAGTTTCCTTTAATGAAGAGGAGAACTGAAAGATTTCTAGTCTGCTGTAACTCTTTTGAAAAACAATTTCATATTTCTGAAAATGATTCCTTATTTCTTCCTTATTAAACTTAATTTAATTAGAAGTGGGAAGATACCCAGTTCACAGCCAAGCAATGGTATCTCAATAGGTGTGGAGTGGTAGATGAATGACAACACCATGCATTTGGTCAGGACCTTTGTACAGAAAAGTAATGACAAATTTAACAACATATAAAGCACTTTAGACAACTTTCTGAAATCTGAATTTTCCAAAAGAAATTAAATCTATTTCTGCAATAGAAAATGACAACTAAATCATTGAGATTCAGAGAAAGGCTAGGAAAAGTAAACTGAACAAACAAAAAAGGAGACTGCCGACAAAAGGTGCATTAAATACTTTTATAACTAATTAATAATTTTTTAACAGTTATAGCAACTGAATAGTGTTTATAATGTTCTTTGAAAATTTCTAGTGATGTTTTGCGATTTTGGACTTGGCTGTGGAATGGATTAAACTTATTCCAACATTACAGTAAGAATTAAAATTATTCACAAAATACCGTTCGTCTGGTAGACCTGGTGCCACAGTGGCTAGAGCGTCATGCAGCAGCACCACATGATGAGGTTCGATCTCTGGGCTGGACAAGGTTGACTCAGCCTTTCATCCCTGGGTGGGTTGATCCATCAGTGGGTTGATAAAATGAGTACCAAGTTCTCTTGGGGACTATACACTAGGGGGCCTGCAAAAAGCTGACTACTTGCCGAGGGCATATATTCATGCAGAAAGCAAATATCAGGGTACTACAGGCCATGGCTCTGTTTTGCCACTTAGTTTTAGTGTTCGCCTGGTATTCCTGTCTAACGAATGCATCACAGGTTAGAATTAGGATTTATGGCAATGCATCCTAAAGCTATTTGCCTGGGGATAAGGACATCTTTTTGAAGTGATTTTTAAGGAGAACTGGCTCCTATGTAATATATGGGAAAATTACTAAAACCACCATTTACAGGATTTGAAGGTAGGCCAACAGTTTTTGAACTACAACTAACAGTTTTTGAAACAACAAACAGTTTTTGAAACTCGGCCAATCAAGGAACAGATTATGTTTGTTATCCGAGGCACCACTGTGTTGCATAAACTAGTCCTTGTATTAAAAACCATTTAATGTAAGTTTCAGATATCACTCATCATTTTACAAATGTAGACTGCTATAATATTGAAAAAAATACTCACCTTTCCCAGATTTTCTTCTTTTTTTGGCACGAGGCTTCGTTTGGCCTGAAAAAATTCCAAATATAAATATTCAGACATAAAAAATTCCAAAATAAAAATAAAAATAAATAAGTTCTAAACATCTATAAAATATTTTAGAAGTTCAGTTTGTTTCAGCTACTTGGGGACAGAATTTTCAAGAGTAACAATGAAGTCTATTAAAAGAATTATGAAATGTATGTTTTTCATGACTTCAGATTTGTTAAATAAAATCTTGGTAATAGCTTCTACCAAATTCTGAAATGTGAAAAAGCTCTTTTTTTTCACTTTTGAAGGTTAAAAGAGGCAATTGTTCACATTTCTACAATCAGTTTTGTATTTAAATAAAATCTTCTGTTATGGTTTTACATTTCGTAGAAAAAACAGATTATCTCTTGATAACATGCTAAACACACACACACACACAAAATTAAACGCCAGAAAAAATTATATTTTATTCTCTGGCTTTTGTATTTTTTCTGGTTTTTGTAATTTTAGGTTTTAGTATTTCACATTTCTTTAATTCTTATTTTACATATTTATAGGGTATTTTGAAATTTATGGGTATTGAATTTCACTTCTTTTGGGTCTTTGTGAAATTAGTTCTAAATTTCGTACTTTTTATCTATACTCATCAATTTTCCGCGGCGTATTGTGCGGCAATACTTGGAATAATTTTGTTTTGAAATAAAAAATTTTATAATACGATATATAGTATATATATATATATATTTGAATTTAACAAACATTCTCTATTCGTATAAAGCAAATTTCTCTCCCCAAGTAGCTGAAACAAACTGAACTTCTAAAATATTTTATAGATGTTTAGAACTTATTTTTATTTTTATTTTGGAATTTTTTTATGTCTGAATATTTATATTTGGAATTTAAATTTTAAATATGAAATTTTAATTGCATACAAATAAATGATTAATTGTTGCCGTGATTTAATTTACAATATTATTTAAATTCTGAGAGCATATGTAAATTAAGTGCAAGTATCTAAAACCACGAATAAAAATATAATATTCCAAAAAGCAATCCCCCTATATCATACGCAATTAAACTGAGAACTGCATAGAAGTGAACAAGTGATACATAATTATAAAAAAACTATATATATGAAATTTAAAATCTACAAAAACTGCATATCAAAAGGATAAAACTTACTATTTATATTTGAATTCACGAAGGTAGAACTTGTTTCTTTAGAACTAAGTTTTTGTTTCATAGTTTGACTTCTTCCTGATGGCAATGATTTTGCTTCTATCCCTTTTATAGAATAATCTACATCCATATGACCTCTCCTTGATTGGGTTAATGTAGATTTAGGTCTTCCGTATTCATCTAATAAGTTATGTAAATTTTCTTGCTTTTTTACTGTTTTAACTGGTATTGGTGTTGGTCTAACTTCGAAAGTAAGAATGGGAGTTACACTGAAATTAGCTCGGGAATTAAAGTATTGTTTATTAGTGTCATATTTCTCTGATGGCGTTTCAAGGTGACCCAATTTATGGGCAATTTGAGTACTCGTTTTCACACTAGAAATAAAATTATCAGTCACTGGAGAATATATATTATGTTTATAATTATCGTGCCTTCTTTTACTCCAAGAAGGAACGGATTTCAGTACTTCATTTCTGTGATAATATGATCTGTAGCCATGAGATCTGGTAACAACAGGTAGGGATTTTCTATCAGTTGGAATGTTTTGATGAATAATGTTGTTGAATGGATGGTTAGATTCTTCTAAATTCAAAATATCTTTATTGAAAATTTCAGATGTTTTGATGGAATCTAATGAAAGAAATGAAGACGATGTAGTGGAATGCCTGGATTTAGAAATCCAGTATTCGTAATTAACTGTAGGAATATCACCAGATCCTAAAACCTAAAATAAAGAAATCGTCAATGAATCAAAGGTAAAAAAATTCATATTTCCAAGCAAATAAATATTTGGTATTGTCGCCAATGGCGATGTACCGAATTTCGTCAGTTAGTTAATCAGTTTTATAACAGATGGCGCCACCTCCTTTATCAGATACGATTTTATCTGTAATAGTTCATCTTGTCTTTCACATGCAATTTTTCCATTGAATTTGCGATGAGCTTTTAAAATGCTGTTTTCTAATCTTTGTTATCGATTTACTTTCAAATAAATTTCACATTTACATTACGGAGAATTGAAATAAGAAGCAAATGAAATAAGTGCTAATTTTTAAATGGCTACTGTGCTTAATGTATCTCTCTTAAATTCTTTCACTCTCTTTTTTAATACTGCTTACAACAAATTGTTTCTAAATAGGTTTTGAAACAACTAAATATAGCAATACAAAAACTGGGTGTATTTTTACCTCTTGTCTGTTTCCATCACTAAGTGCACAAAATTCTTGATATAATCTATATCAAGAATCTGTGCTCTATCTGTGTTCATATGCATTTTTGTAAAAATAACATGTATATTAAAGGCTTCTTTAAAAATTTCAATTATTTTCACCTGTTTTTTGTTAATAATATGCAGTGTTTTCAAACAAATTTAACAAAACTTAATGGAAAATGTAGCAACATTTAAGAGAAACATTAAACTGAAATTTGAAACAAAGAGCATTAAAGGAAAATGATTTTTAACTGTGCCTGCACAAAATGTATCGCTTTTTTATTTTATTGGTGATTGTGATAATATGTACGTATCGACTTGTCTAATTGATATAACGGTTCAGTTTTCAAAACTTGAACTACACTCATGTCCATAAATTAAGGATAATTCGGAGTCACGCGGAAATCGAACTCTAAAATAAATATATCACCTGTAAAATCACTACACACATCTTCAAGAATCATATGCAAATTTCAGGAAGTAACCAGATGACACCGATGGTACGTCACAATGACGAGAGTGATATAAGGAATACAGGCAAAGAAGTAAAATTGTTCGCAGCCGCTTTATAAGCATTTCAGTGCAATAACCGAATAGTTATGACACAAAGGACACATTCGGATGATTTTTTATGTGGTAGAATTATCGGCCGTCTGGAATGTGGGCGTACCCCAACTGGAAGTATCAGACAAACTTGGAATTGCCCAGAGTGTCATCTCCAGGCTTTGGCAGCGATTCCAAGATGATGGTAATGTGAGTAGACGTTACAGCACAGGTCGCCCCAGAGTTACAACGCCGAATGAGGACCGGTATTTCACAGTTACTGCCAAATGAAACTGGCGGAGCACAGCTTCAGACCTGTCTCGTCAGCTCTCTTCAGCCACTGGCTCTCTAGCCTGGAGTAGAGAGCATGCATTGTGGACACCGCAATAGTGGGCTTGTGTGATGTTTTCTGACGAGTACAGGGTTAGTTTGCAGTCTGATTCTCACCGGACTTTCATATGGAGAGCTCCAGGTACCCGTTACCACCAAGAAAACATCATTGAACGACACCATTACGGTGGTGCAGGAGTGCTTGGTGGACTTATTCTGGGTTCCAGAACTGACCTGCATGTTCAAATTGGAACCATGACAAGCCAAATCTATCGGGACGTCATTCTGGAACAACATGTATGTTTGTTTCGGGGCGCCATAGGCGCACAATTTGTGTTTATGGATGACAACGCCTGTCCTCACCGTGCAAACATCGTAAGCGAATGCCTTCAATCGGAGGATATCACCAGTATGGACTGGCCAGCATTCTCACCGGACTTGAATCCAGTAGAGCACATGTGGGAGATGCTTGGCCGACAAGTTGCAGCCCGTCAACCTCCTCCTACATGTCTACCGGAACTTCGGAGAGCATTGCTTTTTGAGTGGTGTAATATCCCCCAAGATCAGATCGATAATTTGATACTCAGCAGGCCTAGGCGTTGTACGGACTGTATTGCATTGTCTGGGAGACATACAATGTATTAACAATCATACCAACCATGTAATATTGGATTTTGTAACTAGGTTTTTTTTTTGTAATTTGCTCCAAGGAGAAAAAATCGCTATTTTTTTTTAATAATATCAAACATATAGCATCTTATTTTGCTCTTTACCTTTTGTTTAATAAATAAGCTTTACAAATAAGTCAAATTTGTTTTGCTTCTAACTCTTCCTTTGCCTGATTTTGCATTATCCTTAATTTGTGGACATGAGTGTATTAAAAGCAAGTAACAACCAAGCAATACAACAATACAATTAAGCAGTAAATTAACCCTCTGAGCGGCACAGGATTTTAGATCCGTCATGAAAACTGATATTTAACTATAATTTATTAATTGAGATTGTATAATTTTTTATTTTAGTTCGCATTTTCATAAACTTACATTCCTTAACATGATATTTACATTATTAAAGAAACAAAGAAAGCAAAATATCTTAAATTATAAGCCAATATATGCCCAAAGAAGCAAAACTTCTGATGACCGGATAAAGCCAGTCATAATGCTCAGAGGGTTTTAATAAAATTTTTCCCTATAGATAAGTATATATTAGAGGTTTAATGTGAACATACTTACACATATAAATATATTGAATCTAATAGGTCCTGTAGATGACAATGATTCATACCCATCCCACGTCCTGTTATATAAGAATTCAGATCCATGTATGATGAAGCGCCCTGGTGATTGGATCCTCCAATTACCATTGATTTGGTAACTGCCTTTATGATCAACTAAAACTTGAAAAAAAAGGTACTCATAAGAATGTACTTTAAATTATGTTGATTACATATGCCATTAAAATACAAACAAATTTAAAGGAAGTGAGTTTATAATTTTAAAATTGATCAGTTTGTTAAGGAATGTAATTTGAAATTTAAAGATCTTACTATGTCATATCAATGATAGCATTCTGGAAATCGATTATTGGCTCACAGCAAGTCTGATAAATTAACGACGTTGAAATGGCAAAAAATTGTCAAGATGCGCGGATAGTAAATGCTGGATAAAGTTCCAAAAATTTTGGAACATATCTCTAAAACCATTTCTAATGTTTATATTTATGAAATTAGAATAATTTGTTTTTCAAAATACTAAAAAATAACAATTAAATTAGAACTTTTGCAGTGGGAATCGAAAACAAATGAAAATATTCTTACCCAAAAAATTCGTTTCACTTTTTTCTGTCACGAGTATGCGTGTCGCTCCCTCTGGAATAGCAACTATTTCGTTGTAATCATAATGATGATCTGAAAATAACATGAATGAATCATAACACTGTATTCATAGCACTTATTCACTTAACAGTAGCATTGTATTTAATTTTATTTCCAATTAACAACATTTTATGAAGTTTTGTCCAAATAGTTTAGTCCAGTACAGTCTAAACAGTTAGTACGAGTGTCCAAATAGTTAAGAATTTTGAATACTGGGAGTTCGATCTTAGATGAACGGATGGCTGCATGGTTAGGTTTCACAGGTTTTCCCCATATGTAACGTCAATAAGAGTCAATTTTTCATAGAATGTCTTCCACTGAGCCATACCTTCTTTTAGAGAGATAGCCATTTTCAGTGAAGTTCTGAAGAGTTAAGGATTAAAGCGATTCATTTAACAAAAAGCATGCAAATTTGAACTTAAAATTAGATGGTATTCGAACACTGGGAATAATTTTGAAAAACAAAATTATAATAATTATAATTAAAAATATGATAAAAAATCTGAAAGGTTTCAGATTTTAAATTACATCCGTAGGGGCTTTTTTTTTTAACGTTTTGTGTGTTGCCTTTATTTATTAAATATCATGTTCCATAAAATTCAGTTCAGTAGCAATGTCGTAAAATAATTTTAAAATGAGCATGTCTTTAGAAAACAAATTCCAAATTTCAAACTTGGTCTTCCACATGCCCATATTCGTAGGAGAATTACGTCATTCAAAATTCGAGGCTCTATGTACTGTTGTTTTATCACAATGCGAGAAATATACATACATTTATGCATATTTTTCATTATTTAATTTCTTCAAATATAATGCAGGGCTCTAATATTGGGTGGCAACAGTTTGAAAAGTGAAACGGGCATTTCTAGTGATTCGAAGCAAAATCGCAAAACGAAAACTACAGTTCTTCAGGAACAAAGCCCCTTTGGACTAAAAAAAAAAAAAAAAAAATTCCTGAAAGTTTTGGCTAGCTGTCACTTCACGCAATTATGCAAAATGTCTTACCAAATAAACTGTCAAGATAAAACTTTGTCTTCGGTTACTTTCCGCTGTTGAATATGTCATATTTAAAGTACTCTTAATTTTTTCCTCTGTAGATTAAAGACTTATTCTTCTCTGTTGACTGTTTATAAGATTAGACATTGCATTAGAAAATCTAGCCGTATTCTTTTCCCAATTTCTTGCTTCTTCCTGTTTCTGTGATTTGAAATACTTATTTTGATTAACTGCCCAGATGGTATAGAGGTTAGGGGAGCCTGACAGCGATACCAAAGGGCCCGGGTTCGAATCCCAGAGATGGCATGGATGTAAAATTGTATGTCCCTTCATAGGAGGTAACAATGGCTCTCTATTAAGTGCCTCCACAATAAAATGGCCATCACTTCTGGCCTTAGGAGTCGCCAATGCCGTTATAGGCAAGTGTCCACCATCGGGGAAAAAAATATTTTGTCACTTGATGATTATTTTTATTGTTGACGATCTTTTTGGAATAAAATTTTGGAAATATTCTATTAGCTTACCTTAAATATTCAGTTTTGTTTTATTATTTAATAAATGAAATAAAGGAATGCAATTAAAAATAATCAAACAACAAAAATAAATTTTGAATAAAATTCTATAAATTTTGATTGCAAGTCCCTCTTCTTCAAAAGCAATTTTTTTTAACACTGGCATTTTTTCTCTTTCGCTTGTTAGACATCGAGAAGATGACAGAAAGTTTAGTACAAAATACTATGTTTCCTCTACTGACTGTTAAGATAAGAGATGATGTGCAGATTCACAAAAAGTAGTTAAAATATTGAGGAAAATGTCACCTGTACATTGGGCTTTCTGACATATTTAATATATGCACAGAGAAGCTACATTTACAGGTATATTAAATTGCGAATTTAATTACACCAAAGATTACAAATATTTTCTTGCATCGACACCATTTAAAAGAATAGTTTTCAACATCAACTCCCTTATAAGCTTCTTTGAAATATACAACACGCGACATAATGAATAATACAAACAACTGCACACAAATAATATAAAGATAACATATTAAGAATATGAACTACTGTTTGGAAAATATGTTTTATTACATTTATGATTAATTAATTTTTGTATTATTATTATTTTTTTAATTTTACAAATATAGACAAGTTTTCAGAAACAATATCATAGATTCTAATTGCATAAAGTTCGATTTTAATTAATGTGACGGCCGCGCCTCACGCATTGATGCAATTTTATTTAAAAATTCAGATAAAATTGTTTGTTTCTTAGATCACCCCGTTCAAACATTTTTCAACCTGTTTCTTGTTTTCGATATTAAATTTAGAGCCTGTTATCACTATGTAGGCAGAAGGAAAGTCAATGATGTTGGTTCAGTAACAACTTTTATTGAGGGATATTTCTTTCGGATGATTTTTAAATTCTGAAACTTGGCACAACCCCGTGTTTTAAATAATACTTGTGCTTGAGCATCCCCTTTCAATGAAGTCAAACTGTTTTTGAATCTTAATATCAAGAGAAGATATATGGAGGTTCAGCGGTTCCATGAGCTATGCTAGCACATTTAAATTTCGAATGCCTTGGAAGCGAAAATCCAAAGATTCTTTAAAATTTTGCAAGTGGTTTCTGTATAACAATATATCTTATGAGAAAACTCAACCTTTTTAAATAAAGGACAGTCACATTAATGGGCAACAGTGAACAATCACATCATTCCATGGACAAATTCCTGCTTTGTATTATTTTGATTGAGTTTTATGTTCCTGCCTTTTACTTTTCATATTGCACTTATTGCCTAAAATGTTTACATATTTAAAAATAATTGTAGTGTATTTTTCCTTATATTTATTTTATGTAATTTATTCCTTATTACATAACATAAAAATTTATATCAATAAATTAATTATCAATTTTATTAACTTTTTTTTTTGAAATCAAGGGAATCTTCACTTCACCATTAACCTGCGACTGTTCGAACATTTTTTGATGACTTTGCTTTGCTGTTAAAAAATCTCGCGTTTGGAAACATTTTTTTTAACTGCAACTATATTTTTGAAAATGTAAATTAACGTCTGCTATTCGACAATTTTGTTTTCATGCAAAATGGTGCTTTTAAAGAAGCAATGGATGGAAGGCTTTATTTGTGCTCTTTCCAAAAAAAAATTATTTGTATTTAGTTAATAAAAAATGCCGTAAAAGCCCTGATTTTTTGGTACCTAAAGTACGATAGATAATATTGTCAATAAGAAAGGAAAAAAAGGTCAACATTTAGCTTCAAGCAGAAAATGGTTCAAAACACATATCCAAGGGAAAAAATGGAATATTTCGAAAGTTGTAAAATTAAGGTCTTTAATAGCACACGAAAATCCGCAAAGTCAAAAGACAGTCGCGAAGTCATTAAAATGCTAAGTGTCAGCCGTAAACAAAGTGATTAATGTTAACTTGAATCTTCGAAAATCAGAAGAAACGTAATGTACATCGTTTTTATCCACGACACATAGCAGAAAGCAGAATGTGCTGCATAATTCTCTATGAGCAACAATTATTCGAACACAAATGGAAAACGTTGTCACAATAGATGAATCTTGGCATATTTAAATGACCGCAATAAAAAGAGATCCATTAATTATCATAAAAGACAAGAAAGAAACTTCGAAGATGGTTCAAATAATCAAAAGAAAGTTTTTCGAAAGGGTTGTTGGTTTTTGATATAACGACAAATAAAAATTAAAGAGGGTGCAGGAAACTGTTAAGGTAAACTTCACATATTATCAGGAACACGTTTTATGCCCAATTTTCAAATGAAATAATGAAATATGAAATAATTTTTATAACATAAACACACGTGCATGCAATCATACATTTCTGATAAACAGAACAATATCCGGTCCTGATAAACAGAACAATACCTAAATAAATACTAAGGAAAACAACAGCAAAACTAATAATGAAATACTCAGTTCACTTTCACGTTAGAGGACATTATCAATTTGTAATGTCCCTCGTTACTTTGCCAATGACAAAATGTCGATGAATACAGTGAACTTATTAGGTATTTCTCCCGCCTTCTTAGCATGCCTTTGCTAGTCAAGTGGTCAGCACGCACGACGCGTATTCGAGAGGTCCGTGGTTTGAGTCCCGGGAGAGTATTGCTCCTTTTTCACATCTCCTGCTTCCAAATAACCTAATATCGCTACAAACTAAGTAGCGACGTATCAATGAGATCAAGCAACTCGAGAAAGGTTAAAATACCCTTTTATTTACTCAAAGAAATAATAACAGATGGCCCCTTCTCAGGCTTATAGGAAAGCCTCCATTGGGGCTTTTAAATCAGGATAAAAAATAAGAAGCTAGACACAAATATTTAATGTAGTTAGCCCTTAACTTAAACTAGCCGCCGATCCTCTTCAGGCACGTACTATACGACCTAGCGTAATAGATTTAAGAAGGAATTAGCCAGAAGGCAAACACGCTCCATTAAGGATTCTGAAGCAAATTGAACTTTCGAAGTAAATTGAACTTCCTTTAAATACTTCTTCTAACTCATTTACATTCAACGCGATTCTAAAAGCTTATTCTGGCAGGGAGTTGTAGGTGAGGAACAAAAATTAAAAAATTCAAAATTAAAAATAACTGTTATAAAATTAACACACACCTTACAAATTTAATTCTTCACTGCCTTAAATTGACAATCATTGTCAAATTTCTTCTTTCGTTTCCATCCCACACTAAAGTCTTTTTATACTACTTGTACTTTACATGCAAATGCAGCTTTGGTTTCGTCTGTATATTGTAAAGAATTCACTGGTTCAAATCCGTGAGTTGGGAAAATAGGTTAGTTCACTTTTTCATTTAAATTTGGTTTTTAAAGTTAGCTACTTTTTCATCATTATTCTGAAGATGACTTTAATGTTTCTATTCGAAGCAAATGCAAAGAAAATTCCTCGCAGACCTATATCCGCTTTGACTTGAATATATGTGATTGCCATAAAATATACGTCATACAAAACTGCATGTTAACCCTAAATTTTATGACGCAGATATGACATAGAATTAAGGAAAATATAGCTTACTTGCCTTGGTCACCAGAATCTCCGACTCTTGGTCGTCCCCAGAATGTACTTCTGTGCTTTACGCAGGTAGAATTATCACCTCTACATACTCCGCAGCTGTCAAGGCGATTATCTGAGCCTATGTAACCTGCACAGTCCACAGGCTATGGAATAGAAACATGCCATCATTATTTGATTCAACAGATGAAAAATTCAGAATAATAATGTTTTGTAAAGATGTGTTATGCCATCTTAGAATATTATAAAACGGAATTAAGATAGTTGAATTTCATCATAATTTTCAGTATGCATGTAATCCCACAAGATTTATATCTATTGACGAAACGTCTTCTTATCTATCCATAGCATACACATGGAAAAAGCATTTAAGTTGAGTATATCTATAAAATGGATTTTCAATATCCATTTTATGGATATTGAAAAACACTTTTGGTCTGCACCCATCATCTCGGTTCTAAGAAGACAATGAAAGTGATTACTTCATATGTTGATACAAATTTAAGTAAGAGATGGTAGAAGAGCTATTTTCAGTTCCTTTTTATTTAGAAAAGGCTAACTTTCTTCATGATTTCTTTTCATTTGGAAATACTGTGATGGCAATCCAATATCTAAAATTAAAACTCGATCTGGTCAACGCACGATTTCTAGTCAATTCCATGTTTTAAATAGCGAAGTAAGTGAAGTATTTCCTGTTGATCGTTTGACAAAACAATCTAATTTGTTGTTCCAGTAAATAGAAAGGTCTGCAATATGAAGTTTTGGATTACGTTTTATTAGATATTATTGGATACATGTGTAAAAGTTTGTTTTTCAAATTTATACCAACGGAACCAAAAGATCAATCTGTAAAGAGAAGGCAGTAGCTTATGTAATTCAGTAGGATGCGGTCTTCCTATTAATCAAGAAGCCGTACTAGAAAGAAGAATCAAGAAGCCGTACTAGAAAGAAGCTTTTCCCTTTCCCGGAGAATCATACAATTTTCAATTACGGACAGGAAACAAGCACCACAGGCGGCCATCATTTATCGCAGTCCAACATGATCTCAGATTAAAAGTTGAGAGAGACCGCATTTCCCATCCTACTGGAATCTAATACTTTCGCAATAATTCTCAGCTCTATACACTCGATGCCAACTAACGAAATTACAGAAACCGGAACGGCACTCGATTCCATCAATCCAAATACCTTTCCATATCGCACATAATAAGAGATGACTTTAACGCACGTGATACCAGATGGGTTTACACAGTTACTAATAACAAAGACCTACAGGATTATATCGTACCACTCTCCTAAGGTGGATAATGCCCCGTCTATTTTTAACAGATCCTATAGAAATGGGTGGCCGGACTTGACTATCTCTATCAGCAATGCAGCACCCCTGGTACAGAACTGGAAAGGAGATGACGCAGAAAGGACCTCCGATCACAAATATATCTACTTAGAAATTCCCGCTAGCCCTTCATTAACGGTACAAATACGCTAAAAAAAGTAAACTTCGTACATTAACAAGATTTCTTAAAAATATCCTCACTAATGAAGATGTGCGCGCACACTCAGTTGCATCAACCGAGGTGATCTAAAATACCTCTCAGACGACCTTATCAAGCAAATATAACACAGCTGCAACCAAACTCTTCAGCACGAACGGCTAAAAACTGCAAGGGATCACATGGTGGACGAAGGAACTCCGTCAGCAACGAAAAGAAAAAGAATGTAGAGCCCTAAGGAGAAGGCCTTTCCTGAGGAGGAGGCTTAGAAAAGACCCCAATCGGCACAGAAAAAGGTGCATTATCTAATGGCCTACAGATGACAGAGGGCTAATTCAAAAATCATCCTAACGGAAAAAACAACTAACTGTAGGAACTTCTGCAATTCAGACAAGAATACTGTGGAATCCTCCATAAAATATCTACCGGGATTTCGCATCCAACCAGACCATGACGACTATTACAGAGCTATGCCGCCTAGCACAGCTAATATTGTTTTTTAACACAGCCTTCCCGCAGATGATCCAGCCAGTAACACATCACCTCAGAGAACTGACAGAGAAGACACCTTTACTCTGATTACAACTTAATAACGTTCCTTTTTCTAGCAAGGACATCAGCCAGTGTGTCCCACGTTGCCCAAAAATGAGACCAGACAGACTAGTACTATTACTAGACTATGGATTCAAAGTGATATATATCACCTTGAACCCAGAAAGATTATTTGAGTTACTGGCCATATCAAAAGCTATATTTGTTAGCATAAATTTAGGTATTTTGCATAATGAAACTCGAAAGGCATACGAAACGAACGTGCGCCAAGGTATATATTGGCGAGAGAAAGTAAAGCTCGTGTGCAATGCAGTATATTTGATTTTCACCCTAGCTACTTGTACCCAGGACTTAGAAGAGAAGGGCTAGCTCATAGAGCTTTTCTCCCTGAAACAGAAAGTGAGAAGTGATGACGTAGCCATGATGACACTGAGCGCCCCAATATAATTCACAGCTTGGAAGTTAGCGTTTTTGAACCAGCGTTTGAAATGAGCTGTGTGTGAAAGATAGCTATAATTTGGAAGAGGCAATGTTACTGCTTTATGCATTTTAGACTGAACCATTAAAAAATTTAATAATGCTTACTCAATTTTAAAATAATAGATAAAATGTGCATAACACATTTTATATATTATTTTAAAACCACGGAACTTTTAACATAAAGTTCCGTGGTTTTTTTTATTTTTATTTGAAGGTTTTTTTTATTTAATGCACGTTTATTTCTAATCATTTCTTTATTTCCATGCTAACTGAGAGAATTTTTATGCTGCTTCTAAGATAACTATAATAGTAGCTATTTAAATTTACTCAAAAAACAACTTTACATTGACATAGGTTTAAACATATATGACATATATGGCAACATTTCTGCTAACCTACGTTTGATTTTTTGCCTAATTGTAAATTTTACATTGTTATAATTCTCTTCCGATTCAATATAATAGATATTTTTTAAATAATTTTGTAATTTATACTTATATCTATATTACAATTAAATAAATGTATATAAGATTGTTACCTTAATTTTGACAAAATAGCTTTATTCAGAGTACCTAAAACAGTTATTTAATTTTTCAAAAGTGTGAGTAAAGGAAAGTCTTTTTATGCCAATTACTTTGATGTTTTATACTATTATATTTTATCTAGAATGCTAATCTAGCACAAAATCTAATCAATAATTAGTTACAAAGGATACAATAAGAATAACTTTAACAAGTACTTTACAAAATTATTTTGTTAAATACTTGTTATTCTTGTTGGTACTATTTTGGTACTATTCATAATACCGAAGAGGCCCACCAGCGGCCGAGCGGTAAAGTCGCTGAACACTGGTAGTTCTGTCCGAGGTTCTAATCCCGCGAATGGGCTGGCTGCATGGGTGTTTTCGTGGTTTTCCCCATGTGTAACGAGCCAGTTTCCCTTAGAAAGTTCTCCACGAAGGCATCCCTCCCCTTAGGCAGATAGCTCTAGTGTGCTTTGCCATAATTAAATACACACATACAGATAATACCGAAGATATTATCGATTAACTCATAGAAGTCAGATGCTTTCTGATTTCCTGTGGGGTAGAGTATACCTTTTGCGGAACTTTTTGAAAATAATGTTTTCTATGGAGCGACTTTTTGTCTCTCGTTTCCCTTGACCATTAAATAATTTGGTTTTAGTTTGTGACACAATTTGATTTCTTCTCAATCTCTATTTAAAACCTCTTTAATAATATCAAAATTTAAAACAGTTACATCTTCTAAAACAAATCCTCTATCTAAAACGCGGTTTCTCAGTAATTTGAGGCAGAGCGCGAAATGAGACCTCTGATTAAAACAAACTGCACATTTTAAAAAGAACCAACTTAGTCCAGTTTAGAGCCATAGCAGAGTTTTCAATCTATATGCATTTCGTCGAAACTGAGAACGCATATTTTTTCTACAGAATACAAATATTCGCCTCTTTTTTTCTTTAGAGTAAGAACATTACTTTGAATTCTTGGACTACACTAAAATTTAGAAAACACTAAAAAATAAAATAAACACAATTTCTTTAATTTGATAACACTAGGTAAAGATATTCCAATTTTTTTTCTTTCCAAAAATCATAGCTTTAAGATGACAGAGCTCTTATGACGATGCTACGTGAAATATGTTCACTAGTCCACCTGATTTTTTTCTTCTTTTTCAGTAATGCATTAATCTGCGTCTTTATAAAAATAGGCTTTAGACATTTTTCCAAATTCTCCGATTTGTGCTCCCCCCCCCAAATTTCGCTATTTGAGATTTTAATTTTTGATACCAATTTCTGTCTAGATGTCGTCCACCTTCTTGGTCGCTGAACAAACATTCTAAAATCGTTCTTTTCTCTATTTTTCAATACTTTAATACAATTTTCTAAGGATATTATTTTGTTCTTCAAATTATCAATGCATTCTTGTTTATGCTTAAACATTCAGGATGATCTACATTTTCATTTGTGAGTTTTATTTCAAAATCATTAAAATTTGATTCATTATTGTCATCATCAATTTCGATTTATTATTGCCATCATAATTTGCTTTCGGAACAGCATTCCATTCCAACAGTTTCTTTTTGTGGCTATCCAAACAAGCGATTTTTCATATCATCTTCATAAACACTGCATAGAAAATGTTCGCTGCAAATTTTTCCGCTCTTCACATTAACAGAATCTTCTCTTTGACATCTGTGTATCCATACTTTCTTCAAAAGCAAACTCTCATTTGGATCCTTTGGTCCCATGAAATAAAATATCTCACCCTTTCATACTTCTGTAAGTGCTACGGCACGTTACTGCAGCGCAAAAAGCCATATTACGTAAACGATACTTCACAATATAGAATTTAAAATAAAAACTGACTAAAATTACATATATATAAATTATTTTAAATATATATATTATTAGAAAACAGATATATATATTATTAAAATTAATTTGGGATATGTAACCTCTAGAAAATCGTTTCGCAGCTCAATGAAAATACTGTTTTAAACGCGGGAAATCAGGACAGGTGGCATCACAGTGACGTCAGGTTATTACCTGTTACGTCCCCCCCCATTAGGCTCGCGTCGGCGAGGAGTCGAACAAAGAAATGA